GCAGTAATATGAGGCAAAAAGCAGTAAAATTCAGTGAAAACCCAACAATTACAAAGCTTTTTTTAAACCGGAACTAAAAGATGAATTATAATTTAATACAGAAAAAAAAACAACAAGAATAGTATCGTTTTTTTGCAGTCTAAAGTTTGAATTGATCAAATTTCAAGCATTTTCTTTCTCTTTCCTTCCTTTTGTATCCCAGTTTTGGAGATCGTTTGATTGATAAGAAGTCACGTTTGGTGGGAGACAAAACTCAAGAGTTTTTCACGGAAACGCACGTTATCTGGGGCACGGAAAAAGGGCAAGCAGTGGAGCAAAGCACAAATAGACAGGGAAAGATTCAATCTTTCGGCTGTGCCTAAAGAATTATAGAACTAAAGAACTAAAAAAAAATAGAATGATTCTAAATCAGTTCTTTAAAGACTGAAAAGCGGAAACACTCTATTTCTGGTGCACTGAATTCTTTATTCTCTTGGCATTAAAGCAAGATAAATGGAAGTGAATCAAGTGCGCTGCAAGGGGTGCGTATGAACGCCAAAAAGTACACTAAATTGTTATCCCATAAAAAGTATAAGAGTTTCGTTATGTAAATTCAATTCACAACATTGAAAGAGCTGTGATTGAAAGCTAGTGAATCAATGGCAAAGCAAGATAAATGGAAGTGAATCAAGTGGGCTAGAAGGGGTGCGTATGAACGCCAAAAAGTACACTAAATTGTTGTCCCATAAAAAGCATGAGAGTTTCGTTATGTAAATTCAATTCACAACATTGAAAGAGCTGTGATTGAATGAGTGAATGCTAGTGAATCAGTGACCAAAAAATACGCTTATTTTTCGGTGCCTCTTTAGACAATATTGAATTTTTCTCATTGTTAATCAAAAAACAAAAATCGTAATAATCCCGAAAAACATAATTCAAATATGCGATTTGCAAGTGTTTTTGGATTACGGTTGAATTGAGACAAAAAATCTAAGAATCGTCAAGCTTTCCACAGCAATAATTGAAATATAATTGAAAAATTGAGCATAGCTAAATGGCGAAAAAATCTAAGAATCGTCAAGCTTTCCACAGCAATTATAATTGAAAAATTGAGCATGGTTAAATGGCGAAAAAAAATGAGGAGAAATTAGTGTGCTTGTTGGAGAAAATGGAGAAATTAGTTTAAAAATAAATCGAGAAATTAGTGTGCTTGTTTTGAGATTTTTCGAGTAGAAAAATGGGGAAAAATAATTACAAGTTTTTGTAGTTTTTGCACTTATTACAGCAAAAAAAGAAACTAATTTTACTTGTTTATTTGCACGATTCACATGTGAGCAATTGTTGGCTGAGTTTTCAAGGGAAAAATCAAGAACAGGTGAGAGAATTTTGTAGTGCAAAAGGAGTAAACAACTAAAGGAAAGAAGGGGGGTTTTTTGAGGTTAAAATTTGAAAATACAACTGGAAATTTGGTTTTAAATTGAAATTTTGTCATGAAATGTGACTAATGAAGAAATAAAACAAACAAGCTAGATAGAGTTGAGGTTGTAGATAGATAGAGTTGAGGTTGTAGATAGATAGAGTTGAGGTTGTAGATAGATAGAGTTGAGGTTGTAGATAGATAGAGTTGAGGTTGTAGATAGATAGAGTTGAGGTTGTAGATAGATATATATAAATATATATGTTGTGTCCGATTTAGATTTCCGTCCGATTTAGATTCAATCTAAATCGGACGTCCGATTTAGATTGAACTTATCGCGGACGTCCGATTTAGATTACAGTCTATATCGGACGACTCAATCTAAATCGGACGTCTTATATAGATTGAACAATAATATAAACATGTTTAGTATATGTTCTTAAGCGTTTTCTGTAGTTTTCTGCATTTTCAAAGGTCTTTTATTGATTATTTCATAGTTGGGTTTTCTTTTCAGAAAAAGACAGTAACAGACCTTTGAAAAATGCAGAAAACTACAGAAAACGCTTAAGAACATATACTAAACATGTTTATATTATTGTTCAATCTATATAAGACGTCCGATTTAGATTGAGTCTAAATCGGACGTCCGATATAGACTGTAATCTAAATCGGACGGAAATCTAAATCGGACACAACATATATATATATGTATGCTTTATTCAGTTGAATAGCGACAAAACAAAATCACAATAATTACCCGGGACACCACTCAAAACACACCCAAAAGATAGATAGATAGATTTGAGATCATAGATAGATAGATAGATTTGAGGTTGTAGATAGATCGATTTGGGTTTATAGATAGATAGATTTGAGCTTGTAGATACAACTGTAGATAGCTGTAGATAGCTTTGAGATTATTGATAGATAGATTTGAGCTTATAGAAAGAGATTTGAGCCTATAGATCTGGAACTTATAGATAGATTTAAGGCTTGAAAGCCGAATCGGATTTGATGAAGTGGTGCTGAATAAGCTGGATCATGTGATTATTGGATACAGTTGATTAAAGTATTTTTTCTAAAACGCATTCTCGATTACTGTAATCATGCCTCTTTTATTTACCTCTCTATTAAATATTTTCAATTTGTTTATTGGAGATTACGGTAGAGAATGTCTGAAAGGTGACAATCACCGTAATCTTGTCTCTAGTTTTTCTCCAATTTATTCATTTTAGATTTTTAATATTCTTTATGAACCCTTGCAGAATCGTGGTTTGGTTGGATATCTATCTATAAGCTCAAAGCTATCTACCTATAACCTCAATTCGATCTATCTATCTATAACTATAGACAAGATTACGGTAATTGAGAAATTTGACAGTTGATAAAGCCAATTCTTTGTTAACTAATCGTTAAAAGGATTAAATTTTAACAGAATTTGTAACAGAATGCACTAATTAGATTTCTTTTCAAAGCATTTCTTTTCTTTAGTTGACTGTTTGAGTTTTCTTTTTTGTTTCATTGAAGTAACACGATAGACAAGGCAGACTTCACCCCAATCTCCTTAAAAGAGATTGGGGTGAAGAAAAAAAGTTGAACACGAGGTCGAATTTCCACAAGAGTCTATTCAAAAGGAAAATGTCTTAAGTCTATCTTTCTCATCTATCTTTCTCGTCTATCTTTCTCGTAGCTTTGCACAAGTTGTTGTCAAGTTTACGATAAGTGTTTAATCGAGAAAGAATTTGTATTACTATTGAGTTGGCTACCGTAGTGAAACTTCTAATTTTTGAGCTTTGAGCATTCTTTCTAAAAGACAGAAATTTCACCTGCAGCTCTCTCTCTCTTCCAAGCAAAGAGTGTTCTTTTTTTTAAAACTCTCGTCACCCCATCCACTCACTAGATGGTCATCACAAAACATTCACGCAAAAATAGCTCGTTTTTTTTCCTTTCTTTCTCTATTTGGCTACTCTAAAAACGGTGTGGGGGAGGGATTTGTTTATCCAGTCTCTTTCCATCCATTTCTCCCTTTTCTAAAGCTGCAAAAAAAAAATTTGTTAACTCTCTGTAAATAGTGAATTGAAGAGAGTGACAAGTGCTTTTTTTTCTGAGAGATTAAAGATCGAAGACTAGAAAGTAGGACCTACGTCCTACTTTCTAGTCTTCTAGTTTCTAGGACTGTGCATCTTGTACTATTCATCAATTTTTCCAAATACTATACTGGATTCAACAAAGCAAATCGAAAAAGGAAAAGAATCTTTGGCCTAAGCTCAAGAAATTGAATGAGAAGATGAGGATAAGTCTCATTATTTGAAGTCGTACAAAAGCAGATGTTTATCTTTTCATGTGATGAGAAAAAAACTTTCGATTGATGCCAATTAGAAAATAGACAAAATAGCTACAGTAACCACTGGGCACTTGTTACAGGTGATTTCCTCAAAATAGACTCTGTGGCTGAAAATGAAATATCCGGGGGTCTATAAATTAAGAACAGGCGGAAAGAATAGGGATACACAAAATCAACAATAATAATTTCGCAACCAAAGACAAATTTGCTAAGAATAGTGTTGAAAGGCAGAAAATTTTTAATTAAAAGCAATGCCCACCACCGTGAAAATTTGATAGCTATTAGAGGGATTTAATAAAGAAGAACAATGCGAATCATCACTAGATGACTGGTTAATCATTAGATGATTGGTTAATCATTAGATAATTGGTTAATCATTAGATGATTAACCAATCATCTAATGAAACCTGGCGCCTTTTGAGGGAATTAAAAGCAATACCCCACCACGTGACTCTTAAAAGCACTATTTCTATCACAACGAATAGATAGCTATTAGAGGGATTTAATAAAGAGGAACAATGCGAATCATCTAACCAACTTTCAGTAATAGCTAATATGGGGTAAACTTTCGATTGATGCCAATTAGAAAATAGACAAAATAGCCACAGTAACCACTGGACACTTGTTACAGGTGATTTCCTCAAAGGAAAACACTCTCGAAAAAGTGATTGTGTTTTTGCCAAAAAGACTATCGAATTTGTGAGGAAAAACTGCACGTAAAAGTTGATTTTTGGATAAGTACAGAGTATAGGATGCGAATCAAATGTTTACCTTTGAGGAAATCACCTGTAACAAGTGTCCAGTGGTTACTGTAGCTATTTGAGGCCTCCCTATTTAAGAGGCTCTCAGCTAGAAATGTGTTATTAACAAACACAATCTTTTTTTTTTTGACAAAGCAACATTTTCTTTAAACTTTTGACAGGAAAAATGATTAAGTTGCTGTTTCTTCTGACTGTCTTGCACAAGAATTGCGTGTGAGTGAAGAGATGCTATTAATGAAAATTTTTGTGGAATAAACTTTTAACTAATTCAACAATATCTATCTAGAAGATTTAAATATATAAAATCTATAAAAGATAGAAGATTTAAAAAAAATGATTATAGGGATTTCATTTCATTTCATTTAATTTAATTTAATTTATTTAATAGGCTCATAATTAATACGCATTCTGTAGAATTTTGTAAAGAAATGAGAGAAATGAAAAAAAAATAAGGTAAATAAATGTAAGTCTATATCTTTTTTTTTTGGATTGATCAAACCTGGTGTTCGTGAGAGCAGTAGACGGTTGAGAGGCAAGAAGTGCAAAGGAGAAGGGGAAATGATGGGGATGAGCCAGCCTTTCGACCACAAAAACCACACTCCGACATTCGATTGGGGAAACTGTTGAGATTTTTTTTTGTTTTGGTATATTTAAACGTGAAAATGAAATGCAAAACGAAAAGGGTTAATTGAATATTTAAAAAATTTAATCTTTTGATATGTTGTGTCCGATTTAGATTGAATCTAAATCGGACGTCCGCGATAAGTTCAATCTAAATCCAAGGCCAGATGGCCGACCGGTTAGAAGTCTTGTCTTTTAAGCGGAAGGTCGAGGGTTCAATCACGCTGGCAAGATAAAAATGTTTCTTTTTCCCACCAAGTGGGTTTTTTCTTTCACAACATTTGGGTAATAGGGATAATAGGGGTAACGGCCGCAGTGCCATAAAAATTGTGTATTTAGCCCGTTATGTCTTATTATGTATCCTTTGTTTGTATCACATTATTGGCTTTCAATAAATGTATTTTTTTTTTTTTAAATCGGACACAACAGATACATATAATTGAAAAGAAAAGATAATGAAAATTGCAAAAAAAATTAAAATTAGTTTAGACATTTCTTAAAAACGAATCACCTAAAAGTTTTCCACAAAATAAAAAAAGACTTTGTTAAATTTGAGTTGCAATTGAGAAAGAGTAAAAAGAAAGCTCTTTAAAAATCGAAAGAAACAACTGTTCCAATATCATGTGTTTCGATCAGAGTTCGAAAGATTTTGATTAAGTAGGTTGATAGATAGTAGGTTGATAGATACCGTAGAGTACACAAAACTTATACCGTAAATACTGTAATAGTACCCCACCCCCTCGTACAGTCGCGTAGTCGCAAAAGTTTTTTAGTATTTCATTTTTTTTTCAAAGCGCCCGTACTTTCAAAAAAATGCGTCTTTGGTATCAAAAAATAGCCCTGAATTTCAGCTATTTTTTGATACCTAAGCGCGCATTGTAGCATAAACCAGTGTCGAGAAAACTCGTTCAAAGCTAGACTACGCAACAATCCGCACCATCATTATTGGGGGTGGGGTACTATTATAGTATTTACGGTTGATAGATAAGTCTTTGAACACTTTTTTTCTTTATAAATCTCTTTAGAAATGAAATATTCAACAATTAAAAGATGTTTATTATACATTTTTCTATCTTTTTCTCAAGAAAATTCGAACCGAAAAACTCCTTTTTCGTAAAAATCGATAAAATTTGATAAAAAGAAATTGGTTGAAGATATTTTTCTGAAAATTTGGCTATAAACCAAACTTTTTATGCTCTTTCCTTTTTTCTATTGATAAAATCGATTTCTTTGGACAAAAGTGTTTAAATCACAAAAATGGACGCTATCCTTTTTGACTGCTTGAAGAAAAAGTCAGAAAAAAGAGATTTCTTCAGATTTCAATGGTCTTTTATAGAAATATAGTAGATGTTTCTAACCGATCTTCCTAACCGATCTTTCTAACCGATCTTTCTAACCGATCTTCCTAACCGATCTTTCTAACTAATCAATTGATAAATTGATTATTTCTAAATAACCAATTTGTAAGTTCAAAGACTTATTGATCAACTTGAAATTTGCCATACATATCCCAGAAATAGTAATAAGTTTGGAGGCTGGGAATTGAAGAAGGAAATTTGCAAGTTTTTTCTTAAGAGAAGGAGCTGAGTTCACCCCGAAAAATTGTTCTCGAGGTGAAAAAAGGAGGGGGGAAAGGAAAAGAAGAGTTCAGACTTGGACGAAAGAAAAAAAAAAGAATAGCAAAGAGGAAGTAGAAAATGCATACGAACTGCAAAGAGTTCTCCGAGCTCTCTTTGAAGTTTTGTTTTGCAAATTTCAAGAGCAACATGAGAATAATAGCTTTTTTAAAAATGTTTTGTGCAAAATGAAATAATTGACTTGAATGGTAAAATATTGGAAGGTTTGAGGCAAGACGAAAAACATTATCTTTAAAGATCTTTGAAGAGATTAGAAATCTTGAGGAAAACAAAGAAAAATGAGATCGAGAGCCGCGAATTTGAAATATTTTCTCTGGAAGTTTAGAAAGAGATGGATCGATCTTTTCACATCCACCTTTTTTTTGAGAAGAGAGACACGCGAGACATTTCTTTTTCATGAATGTCTATAGCAGAGAGATGTCCTCATTTGGACTTTGTCGCGGAATTAATTTTTGAAAAGCAGTGAAAGAGTAATGTAGCATTTTTTGACCCAAAACTCAACTCTATTCTTCCCTATTCCCTAGTCAACCCTATTGCTTCTGGGTGTATTTTGAGCTCAAAAGTGGAAATATATCCTTTCTGGTATGCAGATATTTGTTTCTTTCTCAAAAGTTCACCAGAAAGGGTGCGTTTCCAAATTTGAGAGTGCAAAGTGGAATCTCTACGGTATGTAACCAAGGTCTAGACAAAATGTCCAGTAAGTACAAATGCTCAAAGACAAAATGTCCAGTCTAGTAAGTACAAATGCTCAAAGACAAAACGTCCAGTAAGTACAAATGCTCAAAGACAAAACGTCCAGTCTAGTAAGTACAAATGCTTCTTCTTTGACTGAGCAAGGAAAATTTCAACATTTCAAGTTTTTCCCTTCGGTATTCGGAGATCCGAAATGAGATCGGAGATCCGAAATGAATCGAAAAAGTGGAGGAAGAGATTTTAAAGCAGAGAGGCTTTGAGTGAATAACACTTTGAACAAAGGAACAGGGGAAATCTTTCCTTGGTGGTATTCTGATGGAAAAACGATTGAATAAGTACTCGAATTTTAATGAGAAACAATTTAAATCACCGAGAAGAGTCGAGCGAGGCATAAATGAAAGCACTGTGGGCAGAAATTTCGTCTGACAATGAGAAAACCAAGTGATTGATTGGTGGAAAATTCTCACTTTCTTTACTAAGACGCACTAAGACCGAGTATTGTTAAAATACTTAAACGTAGAGAATTGAGTACACCAGATACCAAAGTTTTCGAAGGTTTAATGGGAGCAAAAAAATCAACTGGGTATAGCTAGGTGAAAAAAAAACAGACTCTAAAGCATGGGTAATGGCTAGATAGGAGAGGAACTGGACGGCTGTTCAAGCACAGAAAAGCACACAAAATATTGAGAGCAGAGGAAAAGAAACAAAGAAAAAAAATGGCAATATTGAGTGTTATGATGAGAAACGAGAGAAAAAGATTGAGAAAGATGAATGAATGAATGAGAGGTGATATTTGTCGAGAGATTGTTAAGAGATGTGCCCTTTCCTTTTAAAGTCGATTCGTGCCTCTTAAAAGAAAAGAGATAAGGGTCACACACGGCTAGAGAGGTCTGTGATTCGCATGCAAATTTTGATCGAGAGAGGGGAGCGGAAATCAAGCTTTTGTAAGATCGAAAGATCGCTGGATGGGGGAAAATAATTTTCATTGCATTTTCATTTAAAAATACAGATGTTTCAGGAAGCGACAAGTTAATGAAGTTAAAAAAGTCTGATCCATAGATTCTCTCTTCAAACGTAAAGGATCATTTGATTCGTTTTGAACTGGTATACCGAATACCGATAGCTTTAGGTAATTGTTAAGCGAGCCTGACTCCCATTACTCCTAGGTTTCTCAGTTTCCCTGATTTTGGTCTCTTTTATCCACCATCCGAGACATACAATTTTCAATTTGCAAAATTAAGACGGCTAGCAAAGAGCTAGCTTTTTAAAGCCAGCGTCAAAACTCTATAAGAGCTGGAGTAGCACGCAAAACTCAGTGGTGACTTTGAAAGAGTTTTGTCGAATGAGTTTTTCCAGTTGACGATCATGAAATCAAGAATCAACACACAAACTAACAGTGATCTCCTATAAACTAGACTATAGGTAGTTCTAAATCCTATTCAACATATTTCCTCATCAACTCATCTTTCACAAAATCTTCAACTCCCATTCAATTACATGTTTCTAATGTGGTAAATGGGTGCGAAATGGCGGTGATGACGAATGGGAGATTGGGATGAAAGAATAAAAGGAAAGGGTAGGAGATAAATGGAGTATGAAAGAAGCGAGACTAATTGAGGTGACCATTGGCAACCGATCGGGTCAGATAAATGGGGAAAGCGAAAGGGGAAATGCGCGTGTGATGGACAACTCATTGATGAGGGGTAATTCGAGAAGAAGGGCTCATTTGGCATAGGTCAATCACACCTCCGATTCTTGGATTCTTGGTGATTTTTGCAGTTTCTGAAGGGTTGAATGGGTTAAAATGAGAAAATCTAATCACAAACTCATCGTCATTCTCATCATCCCATAACTAGGTCATATTTGCATGAACAGCCTTTCGGGAGTCAGGTACACTATTACGCAACAGTTGTATATGGATTGGAAAGAGACGAAATCATTTATTTGTGTCTCTAGTTTGGTCTGATAGAATAAAATCTAAAATATAGCCGGCATGTAGGCGTTGGATAGTTTTGTTGTACATTTGAGATCAGCTTTTTAAGTTCAATTAACTTATGCTACAAGAGCCAAAGTGCAAACATTTTTCATTTCCCGTCTTTGTTTTTAGAGTCTTTATCACGTTTTACTGCTTACTGAACCAAATCAATAAAGTTTATATCATTCACTAATAACTTAACAGACATATGAGCTAACGAGGAAAAAAAGTGTCAATTACAAACACTGACACTGACTATATTAATGAGATAAGAGAAAACAGGCACCACAAAAACGAAGAGAATACTAAAGTTAAATCTGAAAACTTGCATACCGTATTTTCTGTAATAGTACTATTTTTGCACTACTATTTTTTCAACCCCCCTCCAGCCTGCACTACTATTAGAGTTTCTTTTTTTCACTAGATCCATACCTTTACCATGCAATAATAATAGGTATCATGTACGTATGTCATCTCTTTCTTCCAAATGAATCGAGTTGTTGGTCGACGCGTCGAGAGGTGATGTCTTTCTATAAAACAACTTAGCCAGCCAATTGATGCTGAAAATTTTTCGTCGTTTTTCCATATCATTCGAGCTTGGTTTTGGATCATTTTGCGAGTCAATCGCAATTTCTTTAATCGCTTTTCTCGGATCCAATTGACAAGCTCGTTGTCGAAAGCTGCGTCCTTCAATTTCCGACCACCACCTTCCAGGCGCTTCAATCGTTTTCGCTTTTGTTTCACAAGATCGTCCTTTTGCTTACACCACTGGAGAACATTTTGCCGATGAACACCGAATCTTCTAGCGGCGCCTGATTTGTCCGTCTTTTCCGCAAAAGCGACAACCATAAGCTTGGTCTCGACGTCAAAACAGCGTTTTTTCTTCGACCCCATCTCGGATGGGATCACTTGGGTTTTCGAGAAGGTTCCTCATCAGGCTCCTCTTCGCCAGTTGCCGATAGGTTGTCAGCAATGTCGGTTTCATTTGCATCCAAGTTTATTTCATCTTCAGGCACGAGAAAATCCTCTTTGCATTGAGCGTTCCAATCTCGAGCATCCTTTTCGAATTGATAGTGTCCTTGCTTTGTACAAAATTCTTGCAATTGTTTGTCGGAATCGCCGTCGAGTTCCATTTCTAAAAAATCAAACTTTGAAAAGAATAAGAAAATGCTTGTAAACGAATAAAATAGAAGAGTACTTATGGGTTATAGCCACCGCATATTTTTCCATCATAAAAATATGCCAATTTTAGTGCAAGTAGATTTATTTTATGGGCAAACTACGTTTAAATTATACTTGTAGATAAAATTATAGTAGATAAAGCTTAAACGTGCTTAAATGTGCGATGGGTAAAACCCATAAGTACCAAAAGAAGTAGTAGCAATATGTCAAAAAGTTAATTACAAGCACAATACAGTCATGCACAAAAGTCTTGTAACATCCAGTTTAGCAAATTTCAAAGTGTAATAACTTTTTTTGCAAAGAGGCGAATTCCCAAGCAGTTTTTGGTTTTCAGTTGTCAAAAATTTCTATTTTTATATGCAAGAAAAACTTTATTGAAACGATTAACAAAAATTAAGAAAAACAAATAAAATTGAAGTATTTTGCTTTTTTTTGTTTTTATTTTCTTTTTACATAACAAAAAATTATTTTTTTAGATGTCTGGACAATATTTGTCAACTCGGGACAAAGAAAAAATTGTGGAAGCGCGAGAGAAAGGGATTCAGAGGAATTCAAATGCAGTGAAAAAACGGTATCTGTAAATGTCGGGACGTTCAAAACGACTGGATCTGTTCACCGAGCTTCAAAATCAGGCCGTCCACCAATTACAACACCCAGAGAGGATAAAGCGCTCGTCAAAGCTCACAAAAATAACAAGGATCTCAATGCGAGCGATGGAGTCGTCATGATGAAGAGTCAATTCGGCAAGGATGTATCACGAATGACAGTGAGCCGACGCTGGATTCGTGGTGGGTTCGTGACAAGAAGCCCTTGATGAATGCCAAGCATCGGAAGATTCGTTTGGAGTTTGCAAAGAAGTATGCTTCCTGGACGACAAATGATTGGGCAAATGTGATTTTTACTGATGAGTCAAAAGTCAATCTTTTTCGCTCGGATGGCAACCACTTGGTCAGAAGACCAATAGGAAAGCGGTACAACATCAGATATGTGCGACCAACCTTGAAATTAGGCCAAGGATCAATCATGCTTTGGGGTAAGGGCTACTTTCATGGTGCACACTCTCAACTCTGTCTTTCAGGTGCAATGTCGAGAAATTCACCAGGTCCGCTAGTGCTACTAAACTCAACGCTCAACGCTGAAGGCTACAAATCAGTTCTCCAGAATCATCTTCTGCCATTTTCAATTGCAAAAATGGGTCCTGGATGGCTGCTTTATCAGGATAATGCGCCTTGCCACAAGAGCCAATTGCTAATGGGCGGGGTCGTCAGTCTCGCAAATGGTGGAAAAGCTCGCCTTCCAGGATGGTTCAAAGCAAATCGTGTTCAGCTTATCTCAGCTCCTCCATACAGCCCAGATTTGAACGTCATTGAGCATCTTTGGGCTTTTTTGAAGTCAAAGCTGAAGGGAAAGCGATTCAACTCGAAGATAGAGCTTTGGTTCTTCATACTCCGTACCTGGTCATCCCTGAGAGCCCAAATTCTACGCGATTTAGTTGATTCAATGCCAAAGCGGATCCAGGAAGTCATCAAAGCTAAAGGTGGACCAACGAAGTATTAAAAATTTGGTAATTTCTGTTTTTTTCAAATGTTACAAGACTTTTGAGCATCAAAAATACGCCCGTTTTTTGTTTTTCTTATTTTTTGTTAATCGTTTCAATAAAGCTTTTCTTGCATATAAAAATAGAAATTTTTGACAACTGAAAACCAAAAAAAGTTATTACACTTTGAAATTTGCTAAACAGGATGTTACAAGACTTTTGTGCATGACTGTATGTTAGTCAGTACTAAATAAATAGCCACAATCTCATAACAGCATCTCATTTAGCTACCAGTATGCTTTTAAAGCAAAGGAAGTCAAAGTGAACAACAACAGAGCAAATTTTAGCAGGGTGCACTACTATTTTTTTTTCAACCTCCCTCCTGCCTGCACTACTATTACAGAAAATACGGTAATTAAGACAACATTTAAAAGAGAGCAATAAATCCGTTTCTATCTTTAATTATTTCTTCCTTTTTTCGTCCATCAACCGCAGAAATTTGCCTCTGCGAGCAACCTAAATCAATACAATATAATGATATCTTCTCAATTGTGTTGTTTTGAAGCCAAGCATTTTTCCCAGACTGAGCATTTCGAAATACTTACATAAGATCGAATTTCCATTGATCCTCTGGTGCCACTTGTTTCGTCATACATGCAGTGGTATTCGAATGCCATCTTCTCATCCGGCGCACATTCGGGGCGCACGCGTATGAAAATCTGAAATTTTATAATTAATATAATATAACCAAAAACTCACTTCGAAACTCTTCAATTCCGTATATTGATACAGCTGTGTAAGCTCCCTGATGACATGTGAGGGGAAATAGCAATCTTTCTGTTGTTTCTCGAGAAATTCATTGCGCAGACTATTCCTAAACAGTGTAAACCGAAGCCGGCACTGAAAAAAATACGTATAGGTGTTATAGCTAAACTCCAAAACTAGCGCCGCTGCTTAAGATCTTTGACCAAATCTACCTTGATTGTGTCCTTCTTGGGAGGGTCGTCGACGGTAAAGCTTTCTGTTCTAGGTGTGCAGAGCTAAACAAAAGAGTTTCAACGTAAAAAAAAAACTTTTAAACTTGAAACTTGATATTAGGCGCATCCTCTTCCACTGACACATCGACAGCCTAAAGATCACACTGCAAACTATTCGACTACCACAATTTTTCCAAACCTCTAAAACTGAATAATCACTACCTGAAGATTCACACTTTCCTCGTTGTTTGCGGCGCCGGGGCAACATGAAAAATCGACCATCTTCGTAAAAGTGACAGCGACCGTTGGCTCATGAGAAAGCTAAACAAATGAAAGATAAGTCAAATCGACAATTTAATCATCATCAAAATCACCTGCGTTATTTTCGAGATCTTCGTCAAATCGTACCAGATCAAATTGCGTTGGAAACTGTATGCGATTGCGTACTTGCCATGGACGACTCGAACGATGTAGGCGATTTCTAAACGTCAGCTATTTTAAAAGTTACAAACGCGTTTCCAGAATTTTCTAAAGGTAGTCCCATAAACGCTAATCATCAACTGACCTGGTGATGCTAGATTTGCAGTGCTAACTGAAGCATTATCCCGAGATTGCGTTTTCCAGATGCTTTCACTAGTTATCGCTTTATTTGTTCTAAGCCATCCTCTGGATTCACCAAATCCTTGAAGCGCTTTCTTTGACGATTTTGGGTGCGCTGACCAAGTTTTATCTTCCTCAGCGGCCTTATCTTGCTTGATCTCAAAAGACTTTTTGAGTGCAGACCTTGGTGGCGTCATGATGCTTGGTGACAATTGCTTCTGCTCATCATCCATTTGTGACCATGAAATAGGCGGTGGTGAGCGAAATGGATTAGTGACATCATCCATGATCGTTTGAGCTCCTTGTGACTGGAAATTGAGGACAATGGGGCTTGGTTGTTTGACAGGAGGCGGCGCCCTCATCGGTTTATCGTAAATGCTGATGTTCAAGGAGCTAGGCGGAAGAAAACTCTAAATTGTAAACGCTTATTCAATTTTTAAATACTTCTGCTTGTTTTCTTCCTCGCAAAAAAGAACCTAGCAATAAATAATTGCTCGTTTGTAAAATCTTATTTTTTCATTAGCAATTGACTTCTAGGTTAGGCAAAAAAAACTCACCCAAACGGTAGCTGGTTTTTCTTGTGAGGCTACCGGTATTTCCTAAATGATTAAAATTATCCAGTTTGTGGACTATCATGATACCTGTGTAAAAAGTTTCTGTAGAGAGCCACGCAGCTCAGGGACGGACCTCACAAGATCCTGCACAAGCCACATACTTTCATGTTGATGCATCAGTTGTCTTTCCTTTTTAATAGAATTTCGTGCGGGGCTAAACCGGCAACATGATATGTAATAGATATAGCCAATTGTTTTTCCGCATAGGCACTATTGCGAAAATTGCTTCGACTTGCTATTAATGAAAGATTTTATCAAAAAAAAACCCATACCAGTAAATGAGTCCTTGATAGACGATTCCAGGAAGGAGCCTCCCACCGCGCCTGTCTGTCAATGAAGAATTCGACACCATGACTCGCCCAACTTGGAGGTTCCATCCAATCAGTCCGTCCAGTGCGTCCTTGTCAGCAAATTTCTCGTTGAAAACGACAAGCGATTCAAACTAAAAATAAATTACTTCAGTCTTTAAAAAAACCAACCGCAACAATTTCATTGTCATCGAAGAAGTCAGTTGGTAAACACTTCTCCGTCTTCTCGAAAGTAATGTAGGTGCTGCTTTGCGTGTCGTAAGTGGAGCTTTTGAGCCTTATTACTTCCCCAATCCAAAAATTAATGAAATTATATATCGTATTCATTCTAACACGCCACAACTACCCACTTTTAACGGCGTTATCTCATCGCAATGAACCAGGACTGGTCTTCCATTATGATTGTTTTCGCTTTGCAGAGGTGATGCATACGCTCGAAGAGCGTCCGGATCTAGTGCAACGACCAACGCAAAAAACCGTGACATCGCGATCTGGAAATTTGAAAAAAAATTGCATTTGCCGGACAACAAAAGCGTTTGCAACGTAAAGACTACATAAATAAAATCGAAACAAGCGATTTATGACCAAGTTGAGTGAAAGCAATAGGTATTATTTATTCATAGTAAACGAACAAGACTAAAATAAAAATAAAAACAAACAGAACACCTGTCAAACAAACAAATCTTACAACAAAAGACTAGCACATCATAACTTATACTTGAGAGTGGGAGGTTTAGCGAGAGATGAGGCACAATTAATCACCAAATGGATTTAAGTCCTAAAAACATGTGATCAAAAAAAGAAAAACAAATATTACCGCTGATGAGCCAGAGTATGTCGTTAACACAGAGTATGTCGTTTCATTGAATGGGTCTTGCTCATCGCTTTCTTGATCAATTGGTATCGTGACATCAAGCTCGCTGAAAATAGGAATGTTGGTCACGATCTGCAAATCCAGAACTAACCTATTTTGGTTTTGAATGGTGTCCTCCGGTTGAGATCCAGAATGCCGCGTTGAATTGAGCGACACGCAAACGGGTACTTCGCCCTCTAGTTGATCACTCTAAGAACTTTGATTAAAACAAAAAACAAATCAAATAGTTCACGGTTGGAAATAGGGATTCTCCGAACTCTTCCTCAAGTCGACAAAAACTGGGAAATGAGCGAAGAACCACACCGCACGAGACCATGGCTAACTAAAAAACAATAGTGTCGTTTCAAATTTACTAACTTGATATTCACGGGGAGAATCGCTTTTCCAACGCTTAAAAGCATCCGACACTCTTCCAACCTAAATCCAATAAAGATACCTTGAATAGTAAAAAACATACGTCGTTTGGTCCCCGCATTTCTGATCGAGAAACATCTACCTCATTTCTTGGTTGATTCAGAGGCTAAAACAAAATCAGATAGAACATTGAATACGATAGTTACCACGTTTTCCTTTTCAATATTTGTTTGTGATTTGAGCTGTCGAGAAAGTCCCTCATCCTTTACAGTGCGCAGTTGGGTGGATCGTGATTTCTCGTTCAGGGTTTCATACTCCTAAAAAAATAATTATTGGTTGATTCAGAGGCTAAAACGAAATCAGATAGAATACGATAATTACCACGTTTTCCTTTTCAATATTTGTTTGCGATTTGAGCCGTCGAGGAGGAGTTTCGTCCTTTACAGTGCACAGTTGGGCGGATTGTGATTGCTCGTTTGGCGTTTCATACCCCTAAAAATAATTATTTACGAACTTTTTCTCCTTATCTTACACTCTTTCCTGGTTCCACTTTGATGTAACGCCCAAGTTCAGCGCAGAGCATCATCACGCTGCTTTCATCAAACAAAGTAACTCGAAATCTACAAAAATGTCATTAAAACAACATTCAATATAAACCTGTAGTTTTTGTTGGCACTTCTTGACTCAAAATAGATTTGTTTCTTGAAGAAGTAAGCACAAGGACCAGGGTTTAGAAGAGATACCTAAAACACAGAAATAAGGTTTGCTAACAAATCCTCACCTGTTGCAGAATCTCTTGATCTTTGACAATGACTAACATGTGCATTTGATGATGGATTGTGAGCTCAAAGGATCCTGCCTTAAACAGAAACAATCATAAGAAATATTACCAGCTAAAACATTTGTTACCTCTTCCAGTTAAGGACAGACGTTACATAAAACTTGAAATGTTTTTATCGTGTTGTTATCTAGTTTATGCATTAGATTTGATATTCACACAAATAATAAAGGTTTTGGTCCCAATTTGGTGTTGAAAAACAAAAGACTGCTTACCAAATGCTGGTCAGCATTTAAATCCTTGTAGCGAGTCAGCATCGTTCGGTATGTCGATGGCGACGTTTGCTCCGACATCTGAAAAGCAACAAACCATTAAACGATCAATAGAAACGAAACAATCAAATGGAAAAAGCTACAGTTCTAACAAATCCAATACAAAAGCTATTACCCGTGTTGGGCTCAGGGTCTTCTACCGACGCTGTTTCTTTTAACATGGCTCAAAACAATGGTTGATCTTGGAACTAATAGTAAGCACAGGGAACGAGTTACTAATAAATCATCAAACGATTCAGTTTTTAGAGTTTAGCCTCCTGCAAGGCAAAAGCTCACTTCATGCAACCCCTCAAAAAGCCCGTTAAACGTTTAACGAACATGAAGAAATGAATTGAAAACTAAAAATGTTGGACACAAATCGGGGGTGGGACAAATGCGACCTTTTTTTTGCGCACCTGGACATTTGCGCACCTTTTTTTGCTGGAAAAGGCCTTGGGAAAGACCGTAGAACTTCGAAAATATTTCGAAAATTTTTCCATATAAGGGAATCGTATGCGTAGATTCCGAATTTCGACAAATCAGACCTCGCTGACACGTCAAATTTGGGCTAAAAGGCAAAAACTGCGGAAAAGCGTTAAGTTGCGTAGTTTTTGCCTTTTAACCCAAATTTGATGTGTCAGCGAGGTCCGATTTGTCGAAATTCGGAATCTACGCATACGATTCCCTTATATGGAAAAATTTTCGAAATATTTTCGAAGCTCTACGGTCTTTCCTAAGGCCTTTTCCAGCAAAAAAAAGGTGCGCAAATGTCCAGGTGCGCAAAAAAAAGGTCGCATTTGTCCCACCCCCCACAAATCATCAGAAGTTTATTGGAACAGGGTGATTAGTGTGTTTTAGGAAATACAATAAACATCCCTAACTAAACCCCTCAAATCCTTTTGCGGGGTTGTTTTAATATGGCGAATGCTGTTTGTTTTCAATGAGCACTAGAAAATTAAAAGAATATCATATGTTTGTTTGTCTAGTCTGACCTTAGATTTTGCTTGATCTCAAAATCCTAGAGGACAAAATGAGCTTCACTCGTAAGGTGTAAATGAAATTTTCACAAAATCACCATTTATTTTGGAAAACAAGGCGTACCAAAGGGTCATCACAATGAAAATAAACAATCACCCGAAGAATAAAATAGTCTTGACATCGACTCACATCTGAACAAGCGTTTAATAAATTAATGAAAGAAAGAAAAGTGTAAATGAATTTTATAAAAAAAGATACATTTTACAAAAGAGATTTCATCACTTGTTGGACATTCTGAGTGGGCAAATCGACACGTCGCGTGAGAATGTTCTGTATTTCCCTTTCGCTCACAAAAGCTGCCGGCGCTTGTCTCCAAAGCTCGCACGCTTCTTCGACACTATCCACATTGAACAAAGCCACAATCTAAAATTTTTATTACATATTTTTAGTTTTTAGCCCAACTCTATTTTTTTAATAAACTAAGTAAGTAATTACAATAAAACAACAACCCAAGCAACCACACCTGAGCCAATCTTGTACATTTCTCCCTAGCCGGCCAGCCACCAATCGCCGAGAAATAACTAAAATCAGCTTTAAGATATTCACTGCAAAAAAGTACCTTGTAATTTGCCGAAATTCTTTGTCCAACAATAGGCCACCAAGTCGATTGAAAGAACACTTCAAAATGACACGTTCGAACTGTTTGCAAAATTCACCACAAGAAGAAATCAATAAGGCCTAAAGTATAACAAAAATAAATGTATGAAAATAAAAAAGTAAACCTTATAATTTAGCGGATGAAGTGAGGCTTGGAACGGAGCTAGCACTTTGTCAATTGCCGCAATACCTCCATCAACCCAGGGATTCATCTCATACGCAGAGAGTTGGTCATCATTCAACACATGGTTCAAATCAATGTACTGATCACAACTAAAGCATTATTAAATAACTTGAGTTGCGCAAAGATTTACCTTGTTTTGATTCTTGGACAAAACGCCGCCACACACAACGAGCTTATACCGGCATCGGCGAGATTCGACATTTTGTGCGAGATTTCCACAAATTGTGAAACTGAGTGCTCAAATTTTGATGCCGCCACTGGATCTTTCTAAAATAACAATATTCAAAGATGTGCAAAATTTTACTCACAAATAATTTTGATGCTTCAGGTATGAGTCCATCCTTGAGTTCGGTGATTAGCTCGGAGGTAGCACGGGCATTGTTGACAGCCAAGATGAATTGTTCACGTTGAGCATCAGGTCCGGCCTAAATTTCAAGAATATTTAGACCGTAAGTCATGTAGGAAACTCTTAATTTAACAAATTTAAAACAGATGGTATAAAAACATGAAAAATGAAACCTCTTGTGTTGATTTTCCGTGTTGCAACACATTGTAGGCAGTTTGGGCCGTTTGGAAGGCCTCTGCCACGTAGCCGACTGATGGATAACCAGACTAATTTTAATTTTTAAAAATGAGCAAACTAGGTCATCACCTTTATTGTTTCAGAGATGTACTCGTAAAATGTCGTCTCCAGCAACATGGACGCATTATTGATCACGGCACAAGTTCCATCCACGTAATTGCTACTAAGAGAACGACGAATCGAGCGGCGACAAAGAAAAAGCACATCATCAATCACAGAACTAAAAAATCTCCAATTTAACAAATTGCGTTCCAAGTTACCTATTCATTTGCTCATCTTCTTTATGATCCATATTAATAGCCTTGTTGATCGTTTCCAACATGTAAAAGTGCTCAAGTTGAATGTACTTGCTGGTGATATCCTGGCAACAAGAGGTTCTTCATGCTTTAAATTTTATATTACCTGCATGCTGGATCCAAGATAACTTTCATTTAGCAACTTCGCTAGTTTCTGTTTTCGTTTCTCAATTTGGATGCTCTCCGCTTCCGCTTTCTTTGAGTTTGTATCTCCAGAATCATCTGTTAGTTCTTTCTAAAAGAAAATTTTGGTCTTTTATTTTAGGGAATGGCTACCTGAATATTTTCAATGTAGTTGAATTGGCGCTCAAGGAAACGGGAGAACTTCTTCGTAAATGATTGCATCAAAACGACTTCATTCAACAATTTGTCAAGTGTTGGCGCATCCGGCTTTTCTAAAAAAAGTAGCAATACTATTTGTCAAGCTTAAGCTTTCCTAAAGGACTAAAAATTACAAACCTGTAGCGCGAGCGGGATCGCGTAAATATTTCTCCACTGTTTTTGCAATTCTATCCCATTGCCGACTTTTGATGAAATCCTTCACAACATTTTGAGCAGTTTTGTCAATCTCATTCTAAAAAATGTACTCAAAAAATCATTGGTTAAAAAGTAAAAAGTAAAAACCTGCAAGATTTTGATGTACTCCAAATACCTCTCGGGTCCATATCCATTAGCAATAATCTTATCACTTGTCTCAATGATCAAAGCAACGCCTAAATTGAGCTGTATCGACAAAACTGCTGGTCGAAACATACCATCAAAGAATCGAATCAGCGTATCTGAATAAAGAACATCCAAACGATCACTCGTTCCTCCAGCTTTCATGACCTTAAAAGTCAATAAAAAAGTTCAAGCTTTGAATTTTAGCAAACCTTAATGCTCTCATCTCCCAGTTTCGCAATTTGCTTTGATACATAATGTCCAAAGATTTCTAGACCAGTGAAATGCTCGTTGATGAGTGGGAAAAGGCGAACAAATCTAAACAAAATAATTTTCAAAAGGTTTATAATCAAGGCAGTATGTTTGCTTACCGTTTAATTTGCACGTCATCATTTCTTTCCACTGCATCGTTTAGCCTCCGAGTGATCACTTCTTTTAGACGAGCTGTTGCCGTGGTCAAAATATCGTAGCTCTGTTTAATTGACTGGCCAGCTTCTAAATGTACGGATTTCTATTTTTTCAGATTCACGGACACTTCCCCAACCTTTATCAGACGAATCACGTAGCTGAAACACGGCTTTGTCAAGCGTAAGAAACCTGAAAGAACATACATTAAGAAAAAGGACAACACCTATGAATATTACCTATGAATATGGTGTGCAGCTTGTTCAAAATCTTCTCCACTGATTGCCGCATCGACTTGTTCACTTGAAACGCCCAAATCACGCATATCACCTAAAAATATTTCCTGGTTGTCAAAATAAAATCTTCCAACAAACCTGCTAGTTGAAGGCACTCAACGACTCTAGTTTTTGCTTCATCCAAAGAAGAAACCTAAAAGTTTATTAACCAGGCACAACAAAAAGATAAAACCTTTGAACTGATGCTGTCAGCCAATTTTGAATTGACTTTCAATGTGTTGGCAAGTTGTTTTGTGTCGGTTTCAACCAGAAGAAGAGCGTTGTTCAAACGGGAAACAGCCAACCCGAAAGCTCTGTTCAAGTCGACACTTCCTAAAAATACAAATACAGCATCGAAGCTTGTGTGCCGCACCTGAGTTTGTTTGGCTCATCTTGTCGTTGATCTCCTTGATCAGACGGGCCTCTTCTCGGTGTTTCAAATCCAATTCTGATCTAAAAGAAAAAAAAATTCAAATAGAACTTTAAGTGCTTACCTAAGCTGCGCTATCCTTTCGCTAAAATCTATGCCAAAAGGATTCGGCTCATCAGAGGCGTTACGATTGGCATTGCGACGACGAGATTCTGACTTCTGTGTTGGTTTCTAAAACAAACACCATACAACTCAAATTTACCGTGATCTAAAACTAAAAACTAAATCAAATTTTGTTTTGTCAAAGACTTTAATAACAACTATTTAAATTCACCCTAACCGATTCCGATTGTATGATTGGCGTTGGCTTTGCTTTTTGAAAGTCATTGGCAATCGTGACTTCACCGTTAATTTTACGGTGTGAAGATGGTTCGATTGACATTTCCGGCATTGACAAATTAGTGTGAGAAGAAACTAAACTATTCAATTGAATCCGAAAAATGCTACTTCAAACTTACACAATCATCAAAAAGATAATGAACACGTTCCAAAAAGCAATAAACACCCGAAAGTATTGTAGGGCAAGCAAGAATTCACGAATTCTAAATGAAAAAGTTTAATTGGTAAAGTGAATTGGTAGACGGCTTCGTTTCTGATCATTTATTGCTCTAAAAGTAATTTTTTTTTGTTTAAAATGGCAATCATACGCAACTATTCCATTTCCGCACATTTATACTATTAGTGCTACTACAAAATAGTAAAAATTAACGCAAAAACCCAAATTCCAACCTGTCACCGATCGATTTCTCCTCGCTCTCAACGATGAAATGATTTGCGTCAGCGGGCTTTTTTCCTCTAGAAAACAAATACCTATAGAAATGCAAAAAAAAAAATATTTAAACTTACAGCTTAAAATTGAGAACAGCAAAGGCGTTAATGAGTAGAGTGCCTGAGATGATCAGCTCTGATAGCATCCCTTTCAACAAGCGCACATCAACAATGTCGGGAGCGACAGAAGATTCGTTTTCTGGAACAACAACGTCAGTTAGATGCTTGAAAAAGTTAAGAAAAATGCCAAACAAATGAATTCACTGGAACCATTTACTTTATTAAAATCAGTGCCACGCTACTGATTCAACAAATGATTCAAGACATAAAAGCGGGACAGCTACGGTAAATAGAGCGTAAAATCTTGTGCACTCTCCCCGTCAGGCGTAGGAAACTGATTGTGAGAATATTGCTGAAGCGTGTAGTTTTTTTTACGGTACAGTTCTTTTCAAATTACAAACGAAAGCTTTTGATTTTATTTCAAGTGCGAGCAATTAGAGGTAGGTAGATATGGTGTGGTTAAGCCTTGCTTAACTAATGCATTGTCAACGGATCAATTTACTTTCATATTTGGTAATGCTTATCTCGAAAAATTCTTAGAATTGAAAAAACAACATTTATTAAAGTTGAAATCAGAAAATAAGCATGTCAATTGAATTGTCAGTTGATAAAAAATTAAAATTCTAAATTCATCAAAGCAATTAAAAAAATAAGCATTCATTTCGCGATGTGAATTTTTAGGGTTCCTCGCTCAATTCAGTCAAGACGACTCTTCTATAAATTCGAGATGAAAGATGTTTAAAACACTTTTACCTTGGATTGAGGAGGTTCGTCGTGCTTTTGATCCTTGTTCAAATCGCGCTCGTGCATTTCCTTCTCGATCAGCAAAAGTAAGGTGTTGCATCGGCGTTCAAGCTCCTAAGACATTTTATGCACAGAAATTGTATGGCAAAACATACAGCTGGCGTGCGACTCTTCAGGTACCAATTGAGGCGAAACTGTGGAGTTTTATGGATACTTTCTTTCAATTCATTATAGACGGTTTTCTTCTCAGGGCCGATACGATACAACTCACAAACCAGGAATCTAAAGTTTATAAACTAAACAGAATCTGCAAAATACCAAAAACCTGTCTTCGTTCTCCGTAAAGGTTCTGGCCTGTTTATGGTGATGGCCATATGTAATCTTCAGTTGATGATATGGGGCTGAATATTTTGCAATTTTCTCAGCCAAAGCCCGATGATTTTTCTTGTTGCGTTCAATTCGACCCTCACCCTAAATTGCATCTTACACAAACTAGTCATAGAATGTATACCTTTTCAATTCGAGCCAAAATCTTTTCGCCGTTTGCAAGATTGGATAAGCGAACCCAGAAAGCTTTTGCATATTCGACCACTTGCTCGCGAGTTTTGGTTTTCTAAATGTGCTTATTAAAGCTTGAAATCAAAAATGGCTAACGATTTCGTCACAAATAGCATCGATATTTTCACGACCGTACGCCTCGTTTGCTGCAACAAAGATAGAAAACTCCTGGTGTGACCAGTCAGGAAATCCATCTTTTATGAGTTCATCGCGTTCAGCCTAAACATACTTTGGGAAATTGATCAAATAACAAGTCAACCTTTTCGTCATCTGTAAGCGGTTTAGCTCGATCAATTTTTTCTTGTTCCAGTAAGAGTTTTTCTTCAGCATTAGCCACATGACCTTTCTTGGGAGGCTAAAATTATTCGATTTGGCTTTTGGGACATCCTAGCCACATTTAAACCAACTTTTTACCTTCCATCCAGTGACTTTTCGATAATGATACATCTCTTGGTCGAGTAGTTCAAACAAACGTCGAGGATAAAGCTAAATAAATTTATAACATAGCATTAGCAAGTCAGCAAACCTGGAAATCGTGAGCGTTCGGCAACTTAGGAGGAGGAACGCTGCGTTTTGGAAGCGTATTTGATGCTTCGTGAACTAATTCAACGTCGGAACCACTTGACTCTGGAGCTGGTTTTCGATTTTCCTAAAAGATGTACCATTAAATTTTTATAATTAAGTGTTCAAACCCCATAATTCACTTTACGTCGTTCTCTTTTTGAAGGCTTAATCCAAAAACCCGTCAAGCCGCCTTGCGATCGATCAGCCTCTTTCCTTAAATTGAAAAATTTCAAAAAATTATTCAGTAAGCCACCTCCAATCTTTGCCGTTCCAATTATAACATGTCCATCTATCGGTGCCGTCAATTTTAGATGAATCGTATTCCGTTGCAAGTGAGTGCGATGACTCACCACCAAATTTCTGAATTAGCAGATTTATTTTATCGAACCGCAAATTTTATTAATTTCACAAAAATTTATTCGAACACTAAACAAAAAGTGATCACCTGCATTTTCTCATTGAATTCTTTTGTTTTATCTTCGGATCGAGCAAGAATAGCATCAATGTCTTCATCGCTGATTGTCGAATCCTTCGAAGCAAACACCTAAATTATTATGCGCTTGAGATCTATCTAGCAATTACCATGTTGGCGCCGCAACGAATCATTGAAAGTAGGTCACCTTTATCCAATGTTTTTGCTGCTTGAGCAACTCTAGAGATTTGTTTCACAAAATAACAAAAGATTATCAAACCTGCCCTGTTGAATCACGATTGAGTCAAGGCGTAACTTCATTTCAGCACGTTCGATGATGCGCTCATCTACCGTGTTCTCACTAATAAATCGAAAAATCCGAACCTAGAATTTTCGAGACATTTAAATTGAAAAGACAAATAACTTGTTTCTTTTGTCCGATACGATGAGAGCGATCCATCGCTTGCAAGTCAACTTGTGGGTTCCAATCAGAGTCGTAAATGATCACCACATCAGCTGTAGCCAAATTGATTCCAAGCCCTGTAAATCTAAGTTGAAAAATAATGTTTAAAAACAAGCCTCCGGCGCGAGTCGTAAGCATAAAAATGAACTTTTCCGAGCCATCTCGATTGTATTCCTCAATTTCCTGTTGGCGGTCTTCAAAATGGGTATCTCCGTCCAATCTAAAAGTAAGGCTTTTGGAATCGTAGGAGCAATGGATACCTGCAATATTTATAGTTCTTCCAAATACAATAATCTTCGAATATGTCCAACATCATCTTGAACTGCGAAAAAGAAGAACACGAGATCCTGAAAGGTTGATATTATAAAAAACAGACTTATAAAACGTACCCTGTTCTTGCAATTTTGGCAACAACTTATTGAGCAAAACCATTTTTCCAGAGTTATCAACAATGTGCTGATCCGTCGTATATGGAGGTCCTGAGCTATTCACTAACAACATTTTATCACAGAAAAACCTGGCTCAGAGGCAGGAAAAAGATATGGATGATTGGAGCATTTTCGTAAGTGCATCAAAATCATTTGCAAACTAAATTTGTAGGTGGATTATGGCGAAAATATCTAAACCGAGATTTTGCCGGTTCTCCCGCTCCATTCAAAATGTCGATTTCTTTCAGGAGAACCTTCTGATACCACTCTAGTTGCAATTTTGACATTCCGACATAAACCTAAAGAAACATAATTAAACGTTAATCGACAAAGCTTACTTTTATTTCCTTTTTCGGTAGAAGCGATTTTTCCACATCCGATTTAATGCGACGAAGCATAAACGGTTGCAAAAAGCTGAAAGCTTAGTTTTGTTTGCAGTTTAGTGAAGTGAAGTTACCTTATGCAAGCGTGAAACCACACTTTGATCATTGATGGAATTCGCTGCAAACCAGGCATCAAAATCTTCGGAGCTGGAGAACATTTCTGGTAAGAGAAAGTTGAGAAGTGCCCATAACTAAACAAAAACTTTGACAAGTTTTGATAAAAAAATCGACCTCATGCAAATTGTTTTGAAGAGGTGTACCCGTGAGTAGCAAGCGATAACTTGACGACAAAGAGCGTACAATCACAGCCAGCTAAATATGCCTTGTAAGCACAGAGTATCTTTAAATAACCTTTGTATCTTCATTTTTGATACGCTGTGCCTCGTCAATGACTATGTACGTCCAGGCAAATTTCTTCAAGATGCTTTTCTCCTAAGAATACAGATTAGTCTAACCCTTAATAAGCCTACACTAAGGACGTTGTTATAAGAAGTCACTAGCACATCAAACTCTCCGGAAAGAATTTGCTCTTGAATAACGGCTTTCTAAATAACATTTGAACCTTCGTGAAACTTCTAGACAATACCCTCTCATCCTTATCGCCAATCAAAGAAACAGCTTTCAAAGTAGGGCACCATTTCTCGATTTCCTTAATCCAATTCAGACAAGTCGATTTTGGATTGATCACCAAATAAGGACCGACATCCTTTTTGCAGTGTTTCATATAGCCAAGAAGAGCAATCGTTTGAAGCGTCTTTCCAAGACCCTAAAAGTTCATAGCGCTTTGTGCAAAGAGTTATCAAACCATTTCATCTGCCAGAATTCCGTTAATTCCATTGTTCTGCAGTTGAATCATCCAATTGAGCCCACGAATTTGGTAATCCCGCATTTCCCGTTTTTGATATAGCTCGGAGACTTGTCGAACAGCATAGGTCCCACATCGGTAGCTAAACGACAAAAATTCAAAATGAGACGCAGAAAAACAAACTCGGTTTATCCATGAGCTCCTGCTCATCTTCCTCGCTTGCCTGATGTCGCCGAACAGTTCCCGCCGTCATTTTTGCACGTCGATCGTGCTTGCGGGAAATACCATGTCTAAAGCAGAAGCTTTAATTGAGTTTTTAAGAACAAAATACTACCTCCATCTGCCTCAACACAAACACCGGTATCGATAGCTTTCGCGAAGTTCTCCGTCTTCTTCAAGAGATTCTCGAAACGACTGACAGCGCCTGTTTCATCTAAAGAGGTTTGTCGTAAAGTTAAACAGATTATCCCTCAAAAACATTTTTAAAGGATCAAACTCTTTCCTTTAATTCAAACATTGTTAATCAATTAAAAATCTTACCCGCTTGGTTTTCATCGCCTTGTTCTTTTCGTGGCCTTTTTCTTTCAGTCATAGCGCAACTAAATAACATGAAAATTAAGTGGTATTCATAAATTAAATCGCAAATCAATATAAAACAAAGAAAGGTTGTGACGAACTACTAACAATTCATTTAAAATTTGGGTGCTATAGTAGTTGTTGAGGGAAGCCAATTTTTTGTATTTTTGAGATTTATAAGATGAAGATATTCAATCAAGTAGCTGACACACTTACAACTAGACATTTTTTGGGGACTACGCAATTCAACGCCGACCATTTCAGCGCCAAATCAACTTTATACTTCTTTTGCATGTTTTTATGGTTTTACGAAAAATTTTATTTTTTTCAACAACAATAAATTAACCAATTTTTCAACAAAACAAAAAAATCACTTACAATGAACAAATAAAGACAAAGATTTTAAATGACCAACGGTTGATTTGCCTAAATTACCATTTTGAAGAGCGATCTTTCGACGACGATGACATTCTCGGATCCTTGGCGGCTGTAAGAAAATTTTTGGTGGGTTTGCCCACATCCTTCTCGTTTGAAACTATCAAGTAGACGCTCTAGAAGAAAAAGTTAACAAGAAGAAAAAAGCTAAAACTCGCGCATGTGACGGATGTGCACAAACACATGTTCCCGATACTAAAAACAAAATAGATGAACAGACAACACTCGCAAAGCTACCTGGAAAAAGCTCGAGATCGTGAGATGTCGACGGAAACATTCACTTTCTGAATTCTGAAAATTGTGAAAAGCATAGGATACAAACAGTAATTATGCTTATAAAATCGTTAAATATTTACCCCGCAGAAATAGTCGTTCGATGAGAAATGTATTGACATTGAGAAGATCGCACGAAAACTGCTCAATTGAAGCTTCACATAGCGAATTTGATCAACTCTAAATGCACAAATGCCATGAAAGTGCTATACAGTGATCCGCTTACTGAATCATTGTCGGACCAAGAGGCGCTGCTCGAATGATGTCGGATCTGATCTTTGGCGGAAGAAAATCTAAATCAAAAGCTTGCAAAAATTCAACAAAACCAGCTTACTTTAATCGATCGCCAACAATTCGCACGAAAAATTCGGCGCTGAAATCAGCATTTTTAGTGCTTTTTTGCTCGGCGCTGAAATGGGCGGCGCTGATTTTTTCGCGCTGATTTGGGTAGTCCCCATTTTTGGGCGTTATTTGGAAAACCGTGTCTGTTTCTGTCCTGTGCATTTCTCTCGCTTGTACAAAGTAAGATTTATCAAAGTTCTGAAATGGTTTTGTGCATAAAAATGAGATTAATTTGGGTATATTGATGAATCAATTTGGATCCCTTCAAGCATTCGACACAGTACCCGCTGCTCCCTTCGACATGACATTCAATTCACTCGTCCCGATACTGCTCGCACTTCTGTACCGACCCACTGTCCTACATAGCGTATTAATTTTAATTTTAATTTTGTAACTGTGCCTCTATCAAAACTGGATGAAAATCTAATGGCATAGTCTGAATTTAAGAGTCGAATTTGAAAGTAAGAAGGGCGGTGGGACAAATGCGATTTTTTTGCGCACCTGGACATTTGCACACCTTTTTTCGCTGGCAAAGGCCTTAGGAAAGACCGTAGAGCTTCAAAAAATGTTTTCATATAAGGGGAATCGTATGCGTAGATTCCGAATTTCAACAAATCAGACCTCGTTGACACGTCAAATTTGGGCTAAAAGGCAAAAAACTGCAGAAAAACGTTGAGTTGCGTAGTTTTTGCCTTTTAGCCCAAATTTGACGTGTCAACGAGGTCTGATTTGTCGAAATTCGGAATCTACGCATACGATTCCCTTATATGAAAACATTTTTGAAGCTCTACGGTCTTTCCTAAGGCCTTTTCCAGCGAAAAAGGTAGCATTTGTCCCACCCCGTAAAAAGACTGTCATTTAAAATTAGCACGAAATTGGTCTATCTCAGGGTGCCTTACGGTATATATTTGAACCAACAAACCCTTATGGATTACGGTATCAAGTCAAGTGATACTACGAGCAACTGTACCCAGCCAGATTACGGTACTCGTAGAGTTAATGTAACTGTACCAAAGACAAGATTATTACTGTCTATCCACTAATAGAGCTAATTTTATTTTGACTTTCCTATTCAAAACCTACTTTCTAAAGCAGCTAATGAAATATCTGCGATAATCCTTGATAAATAAAATGGTGGACAAAAAATGCGAGGTTGCGTAGAATTGTAGCAACAAAGCTAACGGGAAGGGTAAATAGTTGGCTGAAAAAAGTTATGAATTTTTGTGCTCAATCTCTTTACGTTGTTGAAATCCGGTGGCTGTTGAGACAATGTTGAAAAAAGATGGCGTTTGGAGGAAAACGATTGGACAACAAGTCTAAAATCATTGGCTTAAATTTACTGTTAACCTTTTCCCACCTGCACGAGTAACATAAAGAAGATTTTCCTCTGCAGTGATCTCGTTTTTCGACTTCTGCCATTCTGCTTTAACATTGTGTAGATTTTGAGGCCACAGAACATCATGATCGCTGAACAAATCGAGAAAACGATCATCAAGAAAGTCATCGAAATGAGAAGACCAACGAGAAACTCCAATTGCTTTGTGCTCTGAGAAATATTTCGTTTGCATTTTTTTTTCAAAATTCAAAATTTCACTTCAAGTGCAAATCCCATAAAGGCTCCTTTTGTTATCTGAATATTTTTCGCCATAGCCGGTTCTTTTTGCCAACGAGTAAACTGTATCAGAAGCGCCACAAAATATCTCCACAACAACTGTCCAAATGATCGTCAACGAGAAATGGACAAACGCCACGACAAGGATTACAGTAGTTGATCGGAGATACATTTTGAGAGATGGTCTAGAGTGTTCTTTCATTGATAGTATGCACATATTGATTACTTGCACATATTGATGTAATTGAAAAGGAAAGTCGTTGCCAACATCACATTCACTTCTCCACAGAGTCCACACAGTACATAACAGACCCAGGCTCCGTAGGGTGTGTCACTAAAAGTCGATTTTGAAAGAAAACGCTGACTTTTTACCGAAGTATTCCGGTTGGCATCAGCACAAAGGCGCCTGGGACGGAGATCCAGTACTGGAAATGGAAAGTTGAGTGTAACTGTGACCGTATTATGACTGTATTATTGTTCAACCATAAAAACACTCAAATGACAGTATTCTATTGGTGTTCAAGTACAGTTGGTAGTGTTTTTGAACACAAGTACTTAACAAGTACTTACAAGTACTTACAAGTACTTAACAAGTACTTACAAGTACTTAACAAGTACTTACAAGTACTTAACAAGTACTTACAAGTACTTACAAAGTACTTAAAATGATGAACTCAAGTTGAACTCACCGGCAATGAGACAGCTTGCAGTGAGGCGAATCCCAGTGACAATAGTGTCTGCAGAGTTAGTATATGTTTATATGCACTCATCTCTTTTCCCGATTTCAATCGAATCACCACAATGAGCAAAATGTTCAATAGAATATTCATGACGGAGATCGGTTGAGCAATCGTCGCAAAGAGTCGATCCTCGGTCATCGTCATTCTAATGACAAGAGCGGATAAATTGAACATTTGAACGAATTCAATGTAAGCTAAACTTTTTTGATCCAAGAACTTTCAATTTTTTCTCGTTTGTGCTTTTGTTTCTAAATTTTTTTTGACGCCCGACACCTCGTGGTTACGAAAATTCGCTAAAACTCTAATTTAATCATTCAATTTTTTGAGATTTCCAATTCGAACGTTGCATTTTGAATTCCCTGGAGGGAAGAGAAAGAGAAAATAACTTTGAATTCATAAGTTACATTTTTTCAAACTTCTAAAATAACAAATAGTAAAGAAAGTTGCGGTAGAGTCTCAAATGAAAATAGTCAAGAAAGTTGCGGTAGAGTCATTTCTAATCTGAAGTAGAGTCATTTCTAATCTCAATCATTTCTAATCTGAAGCTTAGAAATGATTCTAAGCTTCAGAAAGCTCGTGTAGAAAATTTGTTTTCCAAAACGATTAGATTGGTAACTTGAAAGTTCCATAAAACATATTTAAGACGCCAAATTGAATTAGACTTCTCTAAATCTCTAAATAAAAAGTTATATATTAACTAATTTAAGACATTCTTAAGGAAATTTGGGTAACTTTTGAAACGAATTTCAGTAGAAATTAGAGTTTTTTTCTGAAAATTCTTCAAATGGAACTATAATAAAAACGACTGAATAGATCTAGCTGAAAATTTAGCTATTTATCTAAATTGTTATGCTCTCTCTTTTTTTTATTTACACTAAAATCGTTTTATGTGGAAGAAAGTGCTCAAATTGTTTCATCGAGTATTCATCATTTTTGGGTCCTCAACGTCTTACCCCCTAAAAACCTACAAAATCGAAGCTTTTCTAAAGCTATTAAAAGCCTATTTTAGACAATAAATGAACCTTTTTATTCGTGAAAACTGTAGATTAATTGGTGCGCTAGTTATTTCTAAAAAATGCAATGAATAAGTGTACCAACTTTCAAGTTTCCAATCTAATATCTCCATGTGACAAGTGACTAACTGTTAAACTGACAACAAGAAATGAGAAAACAAGAGACAACTATTACACGTTCTTGCATTATAGATGTTACAATGATTGTTTTTGAAGTGTAAAACGAAGAAACCCGTACGAATTCCTGTAAAACTTGGCGTTTTTACCCTTTCAGACAATTCGTCATCTACTCACTCTATCAAAAAAACCCGTCTACTTCTCATCAATTTTCTTTAAGTATTCCACCAGGAGAAGGCACATTTTTAAAACAAAAATAGCACATTTTCTATCCCATGGTCTGTATTAGAAATCAAATCAAATCAAAAAATAAAATAAAATTATTACTAATCATATGGAAAGAAAAATGAAAAGGAAATCTCCCTTGGAACACATTTAAATGTATAGTTAAATAGAATTGTTTAAGTTGAGAAAATAATGGAAGAAATATATGAATTTTCTTCCAATTACATGTAATCGATTAGATTGACCATGAAGAACATTTTTTATAGTGGCCAGGAGCGAGATTTGTATTTTTGCATTGAAAATTTTCTCTTAGGGAGGGGTAGATTTCAAATGGTGATACAAATTGACACGCAATTGTCTTAAAAAGGAAACTTTTTGTAGGGTAAAGAAATGAATTCTGCTATTTTGAATGAATGAAACTTCCGTTGGAACCATAAAGAGAATTTATTATAAAATCCTAATAACAGAACCTCAGTCCAAAGATATTCGCCATCATTATCAATGACTCTTTGCCATCTTCCACGCAGAGAATGGATGCCCTTTTCGAAGAACTCAGGGCAACTGCGACTCGGGAAGAAGTTGGACACCCAGATTTCAACTTCTTCGCGGTTTTTGAATTTTTTTCTGCTAAAGAGTGCTGCATGGACCGAAATAAGTGGTAGTCGGATGGGGCCAAGTCCGGCTATATGGCGGATGAGGCAGAAACTCCCAGCCTCACCCCGATCTGCTGAGTGATCTCCGCGGGTGTGGGGTCGAGCGTTATCGGAAGGAATGCCGCAGGCGCCGTGTTATTGCCTTGACGACGTAATGCCTGGTTCACGCGGCTCAATTCGGGCTTTGTAGAGATCCGCCGTGACTCTTTGGCCCGAATCCAGCACCTCCAAAATACACGAGACTCTACGGTCTGCACCAAATACAAAGCATCACCTTTTTCCGTGGATATTCGGTTTTGGAGTCGGTTTTGGGGGTTCACCGGCGTCCAACCACCGCTGCTCTCGTTGTGTTGTCGTAACATTTCCACTTTCATCTTCGCCGTAACAATGGAGTCGAAAAACCGGCGGTCTTTGCGCGGCGGACGAGAATTCCAGCCATCGTAACTCGAGTCGGCTTGTTTGGGTCGCTGAGCTGATGTGGCATCCATTTTCCACACCGACTCGCCCAACCAATTGCGTGCAAATGGCGGAGGATGGTTGCATGGTCGAGAGTCAAACGGCTCTGCAAACTCCCAAGTTGTCTGGCATGGATCCGATTCGATGGCGTTCTTCAACTCATCGTTGTTGACAATTTCCAGAGGCGGATTCCCGCGTTTTTCGTCTTCCAAACTTTCATCACCGTCTCAGAAGCGCTGAAAAACCAAGTCTGGCATTGACGTTCGGCCAACACGTCATTGCCGAATGCTTTGACAGAGCACGATGAGATTCCGCAGCCAACTCCCCAAGCCTTGTTTAAAATCATACAATAAAAGCAAACCCGCACTCGACATTTTTGGTCAACCATTTTCTAGAAGCTAAAAATTACTTCAAATTAATTAAAACGCATGAGTCCTAGATATCAAAAGACGCGCAAAGAGACGCACTTTCAGATAGACAAATATATCAATAAAAACTTTTTATTAGGTCCAAAATGTAAAGAAACAAGCGTGACGGGAAGTTTCATCTGCACCAACCTAATAGAATTTTAGAAGCTAAATTCAATAACAGACTGTACACTTGTACACTTTTTTTTTTTATGACATAAACAGGCTGATGCATAAGTCTTTTCTGTTTTTTCGTCTGCCGTTTCAAGCCAACAAATGCACCAATTAAATTGGCTTTGTTGATTTCATTAGAAAAACCAATTATTTTTCTGCAAAATAACATTAAAACGGGTTTAAAAATATTTTATGCTCGGATTTTCTTGAGAGTATGAAGTCGGGTAGTCAAAAAGGGCTAACTCGATGATGCGGTTTAGACACCTTAGCTAAAGAAAACCTATCTTCGTGTCAATAGATAAAAGATAGAGAAAAAAAACGTTTGATATTTCGCCAAAATTTCAGAGAAATTCATTCAGCCAATTTTTCCGTAGAGTTTTTTATAGATTTTTACGAAAAAGGCGTTTTTCACTCTCGAATTTGCTTGAAAGTGAACCGAAATTCATTTAAAAAGATGCAAATTGAACAAAAAAACACTTTTTTTATAGAGCAAACTATAGATTAATTGGTGAATTTGTTACTTTTTAACAGAAGTACGAAAAAAACGAAAAGACTTATGCATCAACCTAATAAACTTGTACTTTTTCTGATAAAAACAAGCCTTTTCTAGCACAAAAAAGCAAAAATTTAATGTATTTCCAACAAGTTTCTTCTGTTTTAGAATTAGAATTAGAAATTACAATATTTTTTAGAATTACTACCGTAAATACTGTAATAGTACCCCACCCCCATAATGACGGTGCGGAGCGTTGCGTAGTCTAGCTTTGGACGCGTTTTTCTTGACACTGGTTTATACTATTTTTTTTTTTTTCCTTTCTTTCTTTTTTTTTTTTTTTTTTTTTTTAAAAAAAAAAAAAATTTAAATTTTTTTTTTTTTTTTTTTTTTTTTTTTTTTTTCCCCCCCCCCCCCTTCTCCTTTTTCTTTTTTTTTTTTCCTTTTTTTTTCCCCCCCCCCAAAAAAAAAAAAAATTTAATTTTTTCCCCCTTCCTCCTTTTTTTTTTTTTTTTTTTTTTTTTTTTTTTTTTTTTTTTTTTTTTTTTTTTTTTTTTTTTTTTTTTTCTTTTTTTTCCCTTTTTCCCTTTTCCCTTTTCTTTTTTTTATAAAACCAAAACCCCCCCCCCCCCCTCCTTTCCTTTTTTAAAGAATAAAAATAAAATAAAAAAAAATAATTTTTTTTTAAACACTTTTTTTTTTTAAAAAAAAAAAAAAAAAAAAAAAAAAAAAAAAAAAAAAAAAAAAAAAAAAAAAAAAAAAAAAAAAAAAAAAAAAAAAAAAAAAATTTAAAAAAAAACCAACCAATGCGCGCTTAGATATCAAAAAATAGCTGAAATTCAGGGCTATTTTTTGATACCAAAGACGCATTTTTTGAAAGTGCGGGTGCTTTGAAAAAATGAAATACTAAAAAACTTTTGCGACTACGCGACTGTACGAGGGGGTGGGGTACTATTACAGTATTTACGGTAGCTGAGTACAGATAGTTTTTCGGTAAACGCATTTCTACATCAGTTTTCTCAAAAAGAACTTTCCATTAGTTTAGTTTGATCAACGAACAAAAACCAATTTTTCTTTACGCGAAAACAGCGTCAAAGTCGATTTGTCATCAGGTTTATATGCAAGATAAGCTTTGCAATGAGCTTTTAAGACGCTGAATCATCAGAGTTTAGAGAAAGTCGTCTTATTGTTTAATTGCCTGCAAAAAAGTGGGCAATGATCTGAAATCTAAAATATGTGAAGATCAATGATTTAAGAAATTCTCGAAAAATATTGCACTTGCACAAGTAAGCAATTTTCTCGAGCCAGGACAAGTAAAGCCAAGCCAGAAGCCAGTCTTTGCTGAAAACCTGATCCATAAAAGTGCCTGGGTCTACGAGAAACCAAAACTCAACTCCTGACTTCTGAATCATGGAAACATCCTTCAAATGGTCACAATGCTTCACAATGTCTTATCATTTGCTTTTCATTTGGCTAAGAAATGTCAAATGAATAAACTCTCTGTCTTTTCATTTGTTTATTGTTTCCGGTGGCTATTTTGTGTCACTTTTTGACTGGCTCTGATCTCTTCCAGACTGTTGTTCAAAAAAAAAATTCTTTATTTGAAATTCAATCTCTAATCAAATTGATCGAGAAAATGATTTCAGAAAAAAGATTACAGATTTTCTGATTTACGAGTCTTTTGCCCGTTCTTATCAGCTCGTTTGTTATTCAATGGTTCGTGAAAGAAATGAAGGGAAAGGGGGTGATCACCGGAAATAGAGATGTACCAAAAAGAACAATGTTCGTATCTCTTTTGATCTTGAAAGTGGGTTGGCAAAGTTTTTTTGTCTATGTAAATTTTGAATTGGTTAGGGTTAAGGGGAAGTTCGAATAAAAACCAAAAACGAAATCGGTACTCGTTAAATCTCAATCAAGACGGAAAACTAGAGTATCTCTGAATTGGGAATACGAATTTCAATTGTGTGTAGATTGTAAAAAAATATGAGCATAAAAAGACATGCCTTTTCAAAGAGTTTACGAAAAATTGTGCTGTAAATCTCATCAATTAATCGATTTTCGAAAGTAGACTTGTGCACTTTCTTTGGTATATACAAAATGTTACACACATCCAATGTGAGAAGGCAAGATTTTTGAGTAGCTCAAAAAGTATATGATTGCATTTCATGACTGCATTTCATTTCATGACTATTGAGTATCATTTATATTTCTCAAAGTCATAAATGTGTAAAAATAAAGATTTTACAATAACAAAAAACACGCATTTTCTTTCTTACTTGCTTTCGAATGCTTTCGAATTCTTTATCCAAAAGAGTGGTTTAAAAAACGATTGTGAGAAGCCCAGTTAAAAGCACGACATTTTTTTCAAACAGTTTTTCTTAAACAAATTCTTATCCAATGCTTACAAAACAAAAACTTAAAAACCAATGGTCAGAGCTGATTTTGGAAGAGATTAAAAACGATAAAGAGGTATGCTAGAGAGGGTGCGTTTTCCAGGGGCATAAAGTACTGGTTAACACCTAGTTGTGTCTTGTGCTCTATCATCAAAACAGGCACTGTTTTTTCAGCAATGATTCCCTGCCATCCACAATCAGCTGACCACCCCCGCTTTCCCATTTTCTTTAATTTCCATATATATTCATTTACAATCGAATTGATTCTGAAGTTCGCCTCTGTGAATAATCACCCGAAACACATAAAGATATCGAGAAAGCAAACGTCACGGATGAGATGAGTCAACTTTTAGGGAAATTAAAGTGATTACCAAAAAGAGAAAGGTAAAAAAGGACAAGAAAGTCGATGGAATTAGGTGTGAAAGATGACGGGAGAAAAGGAAAGATAAGGGAAATAAGTAAGGGAAATAAGATTAAATGTCTATATAATAAAGGGTTCATTCGGTGCTAATCGCTAATCTTCTTGGTTCAATGATTTGGGAATCACTAGCACTTGGCAATCTTTCGATTTTTCAAAGCAATGCTGCTTTCTGAGCTACCTTTCTCACTACAGTACCCCAGAAAGCATGATCTTTAGATTGAAATTAACTACCGTAAATACTGTAATAGTACCCCACCCCCCTCGTACAGTCGCCTAGTCGCAAAAGTTTTTTTTAGTATTTCATTTTTTGCAAAGCACCCGTACTTTCAAAAATGCGTTTTTTGGTATCAGAAAATAGCCCTGAATTTCAGCTATATTTTTGATACCTAAGCGCGCGTTGTAGCATAAACCAGTGTCGAGAAAAACTCGTTCAAAGCTAGACTACGCAAAACTCCGCACCGTCATTATGGGGGTGGGGTACTATTACAGTATTTACGGTAGTTTCAGTGTCTAGGTTGAATATCTTTAACAGCAAGTTTCTTTGATAGATATCCAGTCCCATATTATTCCTGAATTTAAAATTTAAACCTAATTCTTTTCAGCTTAGTTGGCTTTGACTTTCAGCTCTGACTTTTCAGCTTTACAAGAATTTCTCACTGTGCCAGATCGCCTCTCATCTCTCCATTCTAACATTTATTGTTCTTCTTTTAACACTTGCAATATTATAACCAAGCCTTTAAATGCTCTGAATTTTTAGTCAATGGCAATAAACCGAATAGCTTTCTTCACCGGGATTCTCACCATTTGTGTGACCGGTCAACAACTTTTCGATGCTTTCCCAAAGCCCCCGAAAAACTTCTGGGCAAGAAATGGGCTTGAGATAAATGATGTAAGTTGGAAAAAACAATTTCATATTTCAAATCTGAACTTCTTATACTGTCTAAACTTCTCGTTTCAGCAGATACCGCAAAGCATTCGCAGCTTCGAGATGAAAGATTGGCTTTTCCGAGTGATCAAGGTTTGAAATCCATTTGAAATCGGATTTAAATCCAAAAGTTTAACAAAAGATTTACTTACATTTTATTAACATAAAAATTTCAGCGAATTGGTGCCACGAATTGGGCAAACGCGGCCTGCATGGAAGATATGGCCGATCTCGAGGAATCGTATGCGAGAATTCTGGAGGCGTTCGTTGAAAAGAATGTGACGATGAACGATTTCGATAAACAAGTCACACTAAGTGGTGGGGTGAAATTGAAATTGCTTAGCGTTTACTGTACTGTAAAAGTTTTCAACTCTTTTCAGTGATCGACTCAAATGGTGTTTACAGTGGAGGGTTTTTGCGTGGGCGAAAAGTCTATCAAGGTGCTTATGCTTTACAAATCAATAAAATTGGTTTAATTATAAAAATAAAATAAAATAAAATAAATAATATGAAATCTAGGTAATCTAGATAATCTCTATATTTTATTGGGTAAAAGTTTTACAGAAAAAGGATTTCAGGACGATTCGATGAGTGCCGTCAGATCGAGTACCGAGATCCGTCTCGATCGCATACCTGGGAGGGTGATATTTTTAGGTGAATGAAACAAAGTTTATTCTAAAAACATTTTAATATAAAAGCTAAAATGAAAATCCAATTCGAATCTTGATGATTTTAGATTCTATTTTGGTAAAGAAGATGGTGATATCTGTGCGACAGGGACAATTGTTGCTGCTTTCGATCAATGTCTTCCAAAATCATGCAAAGTGCCTGAATTGAGAAAACTTCACGAAAATGAGAGTTCGTTTAAGTTTCAATTATTTCAATTATTTCAATTATTTCAATTTAAATGCAAAATCGAAAGTGACTTTTCAGCAAATATCTGCCTTATAGTCAACAACGACTTTGCTCGAGTCAACAAAACGAATTGGTTCTCGTGGTTTATCGGGTTTGTGATTTAGGAAAATGAGATTTCATTCGAAAGATTTTAGAATTTTAATGATAATCATCATCGTGATGAGTATCGCTTCGGGAATTGTCGACTATTTCCTTTCCGGATTACATTAAAGAGACAACGATTGAGAAATGTTGGTCATAAACTCAATTTGTTTATTATTTTGCTTTTGTTTTGTTTATAGAAATTTCTATTATTTATATTCGATCTTTTAGTGTTATGGTATCGTCTTTTCATGGCATTTTCTCTGTCAACCAATGTGAAAGGGATCATGAATGTGAAAGGAGCGAGTAAGGTACTGAAAATACTGAAAATTGGTTAATTTGGCAACTTTTTTTTAGTAATTAGTTGTTATCGTATTTTCTCTAAGAGTAGTGCATCCCCGGCGAGCCGAGTTGGTGACTATTTTACGGTTTCAAAGCTTTTGCAGAAGCTCAACACTCAAATCCCCACTAGATCTCATCGTCAGCTACATTTTCCGACCCCACATCGATAGGTTCTGATAAGTGGTTCTCGAGATTTCGAGTAATTTAGGGAAGCTTAGGGTACACTACTATTAGAGAGAAGACGGTATATTATTCTAGGTTAGGCTAGTAGATCAGACTGATCTATTTCCCTAATATTTCCCGGTGAGCCAAGTTGGTGACTATTTTACAGTTTCCAAGTTTTCCCCAGAAGCTCAACACTTAAATCCCCCACTAGATCTCATCGTCAGCTACATTTTCCGACCCCACATCGATAGGTTCTGATAAGCGCTTTTCGAGATTTCGAGGAATTTAGGCAAAGCTTTGGGTACACTACTATTAGAGAAAATACGGTAGTTGTTAATTAGTTGATTAAAGTTTCAATATTTCTTTTTTCAGTCTGGTCAAATCGGTCCCCTTCATTGTATGCGTTTCTTGTCGATGGTTTGGATTATCATGGGGCACACAAACGAGAATCTCATCAGTTTTGCTTGTAAGTTTCGTTTGTTAAATGAATTATTTATAAATGAATGAACTTTTCAGCAAACGTTTTGGATATTGTCGACGATGCAAAAGCGGCTCCATTCTACGTTTTGTCGAATTCTTTCTTTTCCGTCGACACATTCTTCTTCATTGGCGGCGTTCTGCTGTCATATATTTGGTGAGTTCATTGGCGGCGTTCTGCTGTCATAGTGGAGAGAAAATGATTAAAATATTTCAATAATTATATTAAGATTATCAAAATCGACATTACAAAAATCTAGAGTACTTATTCTAAAAGAAAATCAAAAATTTCCAGGTTTAAAGAGTTCAAGAAAGATCGCAATTCGGTGATGTCCAGCAAGGGATGGATGATGTTTTATGTGCACAGAATTTTACGGTACCTTTTCCACAATATAAAAATCGATAATAATATGTCATTTGAAGATTTTAAAGGAAATTTTAGCCTCTCACCTCCCTACTATTTCGCCTTTTTCTTTTGGGGTTACGTTTTCTTACCAAACTTGCCCGATGCACCAAATCGACTCTTTTTCGGGTAAGAAAATTCTCCATTATATATATATATATATATATATGCTTTATTCAGTTAAATAGCGACAAAAAAAAATCACAATAATTACCGGGGACACCACTCAAAACACACCCAAAAGATAAAAAGATATCTCAAGAAAGAATCACAGAGCAGTCAAATCAATTGCCGAAATTGCGGCTTTAAATCTAGCTAAGGTGGGAATATCACGAACATGTGGGGGTAAAATGTTACAGGATTTAATAACTCGGTTAAAAAAGAAACTGTGGGGGCTTTTAGAGGAAACGGAAGGTTGGCGTATGAGAAAAGGCCTCCTTCTGGCCTCCTTCTGGCCTCTAGAAGCCCCGTAGAGAGCCGAATTCTACATTATCTAGTGAAACGTATTTAAACGAAATATTAATACTTTATTCTTTAGTGGAAGCGAAGAGGATTCATGCCGAGAATTCTGGTGGCCTGCAATGCTCTATATTCAGAATCTAGTTCACTCTCACCATCAGGTTTTTGGAAATGGTTGTAAATGTTAAAGCTGAGATTTCCAGTGTTACGGTGTTTCGTGGTATTTGGCGGCTGATATGCAAATGTACGTCTTCTCACCAATTCTTCTCGTTGCTCTGGCGATGAATGTGGTAAGGAGTGAGTGTTTGTAGGGAAAGTTCAGGCAATCGTTTTGAATCACTGATTAAAACAAAACTTAGCTAAACAAGTTGGACAGCTTAAAATTGTGTTAAAGGGGAAGTATCGAAAGGATTTTTGGTGTCAAATCGTGAAAATGCTGACATTTGATAAGAAGAGATGATTATTTTTTTGAATTTTGTTCTTCAAATGATCTTTGCGCCATTTTTGGTGTCACGGAAAAAATGCTTGAAAGAAAAGGAGAAAAGAGAGCAATGAAACACCAAAAGCAGAGAATTCTGGGGGATTCGTGAGAAATTTTTGCAGAAAGCTTTAACTCGAAATTGTTTGCGAATACTGTCGTATTGTACAGTAGGACATCAGAAAGGATGTGTTTCCCCTTTCGGAGTTTTATGTAGAGTGTGTTCCTCGCGAGTAAGTTAATTATTCGAGTAAAATTTGCATGAGTACCTTTTACTCGATTAATCGACGTTTTTTCGTCGAGTAGCTACGAGTAAATCCTCTTTACACGACGAGTAAATTCAATATCTTTACATTGGAAGGGAATTACCCACCAAATCAGTTAAACGGCTGAGTATCTTTAAAAAGTGTCGTATATAATGTGGGGCTCGTCATTTTTGCGTCATTTTTTTGTTGCAATAATTTTTGCTAAAAGTACGGTAATTTTTTCCCAAGAAGAGATGATGCGTTTTAAAAAACGTATTACTCGCGAGGAACACACTCTAGTTTTAAGTACGCGAGAGTTGATACTGTAAACTATATACCGTATTTTCTCTAATAGTAGTGCACCCCGGCGAGCTGAGTTGGTGACTATTTTGCGGTTTCCAAGGTTTTGCAGAAGCTCAACACTCAAATCCCTCACTAGATCTCATCGTCAGCTACATTTTCCGACCCCACATCGATAGGTTCTGATAAGTGGTTCTCGAGATTTCGAGTAATTTAGGGGAAGCTTAGGGTACACTACTATTAGAGAGAAGACGGTATATTATTCTAGGTTAGTAGATCAGACTGATCTATTTCCCTAATATTTCCCGGTGAGCCGAGTTGGTGACTATTTTACGGTTTCAAAGTTTTCACAGAACCTCAACACTCAAATCCCCCACTAGATCTCATCGTCAGCTACATTTTCCGACCCCACATCGATAGGTTCTGATAAGCGGTTCTCGAGATTTCCAGCAATTTAGGCGACGCTCAGGGTGCACTACTATTAGAGAAAATATGATAGTTTAACTATTCAAAATCTGATTACATGTCATCATAAAAAACAATCAGTGGAATGGTTTTTTTTGGTGCAAAAACAGGATATCAAAAAAATTCATTTTTCAGTACCTTGGCCTCGGTGTCGCGGGAGCGATTCTCTTCTTGTCAACCGGCGGCAACATTGCCACAATCTATCGATACCGTTATCCAGCAACTGTTGACATTTTTGATGCACCCGATCCAAAAATGAAGGAATCCGACTATGAGTGAGTTTCAATAACTAGGCAATCACGACTTTTACACTTTTACAGAGTGTTCAATATTTATGGGAACCAGTAGATTACTGGGTTCATTTTGTACAAGTTTAATTCTAGAAAAAAGAAACCCACTTATCAATACGCCCAACGTTAAAAACTTTAAGTTACTTTTTTCTTTCAAAACTATTACCTTTTGCACTGTTGCTTGCCTAGGAACACCTGTGAAAAGCGTCTACTGTGGCAAAAGGTTGGATAAACTATCACAAACTGAATTTATCACAAACTCTCGTTAAGCTTTCTTGGAAAAGCCAAAACTAAAAGGTGATTCTAACATTTTTAATGACCTGTAGATTCTAAAACTGTTAAATAGTGAGGATTTTGTTATCGTTAAACAAGAACGGGGTCTGACTGGGGTCTGACAAGAACTGGGGGTCTGACTTTTGGTGAAATTTGGTGATCGACTTTTGATGAATCGATTTTTGGAAGATCAAATTTAGAAAACTGTAAAAATCCTCTAGAAAGTCGAGTTTTTTCCAACACCTATGCAGTGCTTTCTTGACGTTTTTCTTTCTTCTTCATAAATCACTTTTGAGAGTGCTAAACGATCTGCTCAAAAGCTCAAAAGTTCCCATAAATATTGAACACCCTGTACAAACTCCAAATTCTTCAGCAACTACATGTTCTTGATGTACACGGCCGCATGGATTCGTTGTCAGATCTACGTGATGGGCATTCTCGTCGGATATTTTCTTCAAATGAAGAAAACGCTCAAAATCAATAAGGTAACGAAAAGCTAAAGATAATCTAAAGATATTCTAAAGATAATCTAAAGATATTCTAAAGATCATCTAAAGATAATCTAAAGATCTTCTAAAGATCTTCTAAAGATCTTCTAAAGATAATCTAAAGATCTTCCAAAGATCTTCTAAAGATAATCTAAAGATCTTCCAAAGATCTTCTAAAGATCTTCTAAAGATAATCTAAAGATCTTCCAAAGATCTTCTAAAGATAATCTAAAGATCTTCCAAAGATCTTCTAAAGATAATCTAAAGATCTTCCAAAGATCTTCTAAAGATAATCTAAAGATCTTCCAAAGATCTTCTAAAGATAATCTAAAGATCTTCCAAAGATCTTCTAAAGATCTTCTAAAGATAATCTAAAGATCTTCCAAAGATCTTCTAAAGATCTTCTAAAGATCTTCTAAAGATAATCTAAAGATCTTCCAAAGATCTTCTAAAGATAATCTAAAGATCTTCCAAAGATCTTCTAAAGATCTTCTAAAGATCTTCTAAAGATAATCTAAAGATCTTCCAAAGATCTTCTAAAGATAATCTAAAGATCTTCTAAAGATCTTCTAAACATATTCTAAACATATTCTATTCTATTTTAGTATCTCAACTTGGGTCTTCTCATTTTCTCGATGGCTTTCATGCTGTTCGATGTGATGATTCTTCATGTGTCACCCCATGAGTGAGTTACCTCAGATAATATTATTTTGGCGGATATTTTGAGTCAATGGCATACGGCTTAAAATTATTAAGATAAGCAGATCAAATTCCAGCAAAGTGATGCCAATCTTTTGGCGTGCAATCTATTCGGCTTTCTCGAAGCCTTTATGGGGTCTCTGCCTTACATGGATCGTCGTCTCATGCTATTATGGATATGGAGGTGAGGTTTTTGTATTCAAACTCAAACTCTATTAATACTATTAATCCATTCAGTCATCTTAATTAAAAGTTTCTATATTTACAGGCATAGTCAACTCTTTCATGTCGTGGCCTGGATGGACTCCATTGGGTCGTCTAACCTATTCCGCTTATCTCATCCATCTAATCGTTGTCTATTACTTGCTCACCATTCATCCATCCGAAATCATTTGGGGAGCCTACGCGGACATTGTGAGGAAATAGCTAAATTTAGAAGCTGATTTTCTGTAAAGGGATTGGGTTGATCAAAATCATTTTCCAGGCAAACGAGGAAAAGCCAGACTCTGGTCCACTAATAAAGCCTTAGTTTAGCCTGGTTTACAAGCCATAGCCAACTCCAGGCAAACGAGGCAAAGCCAAACTCTGGTCCACTGATAAAGCCTTAATTTAGCTTGGTTTATAAGCCATAGCCAATTCCGGTTTTAACAGCCGTTATCTAAAGCTTTCAGCTAAATATAATTAATTTTTTTTTAGTTTTCGAGCTTCGTGATTCCATCTATTGTGATCACTTATGTTCTAGCCATATTCTGGAGTTCTTGTTTCGAAGTGGCTATGGGAAAGGTTAGTTAATACGGTTAGTTAATACAGTTAGTTAATACAGTTATTTTATTTGTTAATATCTATAGTATCTAAAGAATACAAAAAGTTTCAGGTCGAAGTGATCCTTGTTGGTGGTCGTCAAAGAGCACGATCGGTGGTTGAGAAGAAAGATGAAATCAAAGGGAATGGTGTTCCTGAAAAGGCACATCAAATAGAAAATGGGGTAAGTTGAAAGCACACACTGTTAGAATGAGTATTCAGTATTCAAGTATTGAAAGATTATTCAAGATTATTCGGTATTCAAGTATTGAGTGTTTGATTCAATTTCAGCACACTAATGGCTATATGGTGACACCGATGAAAGTCACTCCGATTTCATCGTCAAAAGATGAAGCATGGTCATAAAAGAAATCATATGTGAAATGTTTTCCCTTCTATTGTACATAATAAAGATTTTGTAGAGGTTTATTGTAGAAAGCAGTTTTTTTGTACCTATCCTTTATCTTTCAAAGTAAAAGAAATTTACAAAATCTTTACTTTAAAATAAACTCTGATCGGATGGAGTGAAAATGACCAAAATGTGTAAGATTGAGGAGAGAGAACAAGAGTGGAAAAATCGAGAAGAACGGCCCATCTCTTTTTTTTTTCTTTCTTTTTACCCAGTTGCCCATTTTGTTCTCTCCAAATGCAAAAAAAAATGTTTCTCATTTTTATTACAGCTATCTAAAGTCAATTTTTGCTTTTCGAAATGAAAAATTGCCTGATCTGTTGTTGTTCGGTAATGAAAAGCGTCCGATAGGATAGGAGTCTTAAGACCGGATAGGAGTCTTGTCTAGTCCTAGTCAGAGTCCTAGTCAGAGTCCTAGTCAGAGTCCTAGTCAGAGTCCTAGTCAGAGTCCTAGTCAGAGTCCTAGTCAGAGTCCTAGTCAGAGTCCTAGTCAGAGTCCTAGTCAGAGTCCTAGTCAGAGTCCTAGTCGGAGTCCTAGTCGGAGTCCTAGTCGGGGGGTCAAAGGTTCGATTCTGGTGGCCAGAAAAATTGGTTCTTTTTCCCATCATTATGGGTTTTTTTTCTTAACGACATTTGGGTAATAGGATAATAATAAATAGGGTAATAATAAATAGCCTAATAATAAAGGTAACAATTTCTTTCCTCCGTTGTGTTGTAATTGATTATTCGTGAGACTTTTAAAAGCTTTAAAAACAGTTCACTTTATATCGAGTTGCTTTGGAACTTTTTAGACAGTGAAGTTCAACGGTAATTTAGGTTAAAGTTCACCGCAACTTGGCTTGATATAATGATATTATTAGACTATTATTAGATTTTGGATTTGATACTAGATTTAAATTGAGTTTAAATCAACGAATTGAGCATATCAAATCCAAAAGTTAAACTAAAAAAAGAACAAATTTGGGCCCTCATGGTGTATTGGCTAAGTTCTCACTTCCAAACTGAGGGTGTGGGGTTCGGCCCCCCTAGGGTTCTCTTCCCTAGCCCATGCGCCCAGACTAGAGGTCTCTTCTCTAGAGCTGACTAGAGATCCCTTCTCTAGCGGAGTTCACTCTTCCACTGGGTTGGCCCATTCATGGCTTGAGGTTATTAAAGCAAGAAGCCTATCTTCTATCTATCTTCTTTTCTCCCCGCCTCCACATCGCCGAGTAAAATATCTCATCTTTCTCTATGTATTTATGTGTAGATTTGTGTATTGTCTGACTGATTACGCTTTATTTCATGTCCTGAATAAAGTATGAATATATGAATATATAAATAAAGTAGGTAAAAAAATAGCCTTCAACCCTTTCCAATAACTTCTAGCAAGACTTTAATTGTACTTAAGTTAAATACCGTATTCTCTCTAATAGTAGGGCACCCCGGCGAGCCGAGTTCATGACTATTTACAGTTTCAAAGTTTTCAAAGAAGCTCAACACTCAAATCCCCCACTAGATCTCATCGTCAGCTACATTTTCCGACCCCACATCGATAGGTTCTGATAAGGGGTTCTCGAGAGTTCGAGCAATTTGGGGGAAGCTTTGGGTACACTACTATTAGAGAGAAGAGGGTATATTATTCCAGGTTAGGCTAGTAGATCAGACTGATCTATTTTCCTAATATTTCCCGGTGAGCCGAGTTGGTGACTATTTTACAGTTTCAAAGTTTTCACAGAACCTCAACACTCAAATCCCCCACTAGATCTCATCGTCAGCTACATTTTCCGACCCCACATCAATAGGTTCTGATAAGCGCTTTTCGAGATTTCGAGCAATTTAGGCAACGCTCTGGGTGCACTGGTATTAGAGAGAATACGGTATATAATTTTTTCATTTCCATTTCCCCATTGCTCACTCAATTTGTTTTCATGTAATTAAGTGTTGTCGTAGGTTTAGATTTGTTTGTAATTGGAAAAGAAAAGAAATGGAATTGAATGGAATGGAATGGAAGAGTGTTTTTATGTGATAAATCGGTTTTGATCCAGTGGAACAGTTGTTCAAGATTTGGGGAAAAAGAGGACAAAAGATTGACCTTTTCATCTTGATCTTCGACTTGAGAAAAATGAGGGAAATCCCTCAAAAAAAAAGGCTCAATCGAACTCAAGAAATCCTCAATGATTATCATTCAATGTTGTCGATGATCTATCTTTCTTTTTGGGGTTTATTTTAATTTGTTATTAGTTTATTTGTTCAGAAAACAATTTTCAGTTGACCATTTGCTGATAGATTCGTTAGAGCTTTCATTTTAAACGAATCCTAAACAAATCAGTTTAGAATTCGTTAGAAATGAAAGCTTTTTTTTGAGTCAGATATCAAATTTTCCCTTTCTAAAGTTTACTTTACATTGCTTTCCATTACTGTACTTTGTTCGCTTAAAAGTTGTTGTCTTTTGTGAAAAATTTGAGTACAAATTTGAATATCAGATTCAAGCTTACCTGAACTTTTTCAAAAGTTTACATTCAATTTTATCGAATCAATTTCTCCAACACTTTAATCGCATCTTTTTCTTGAGTCAAATATCAATCTGCTCTGCATATCGATCTCAGATCAGAGTCAGCTTTCAATCTGCTCTGCATATCGATCTCAGATCAGAGTCAGATTTCAGTCTGCTCTGCATATCGATCTCAGATCAGAGTCAGATTTCAATCTGCTCTGCATATCGATCTCAGATCAGAGTCAGATTTCAATCTGCCCACTCATCTGCTACTGTAACTTACTACTTTAACTAACTAACTACTTTAACTTTAACATCTGCTACTGCTACTTAGCGTTTAAAAAGAAAAATTGAGAAGTAACGGTAAAGAAAACTGGGGTGAAGATTGAGGGTTTTTTTTTTCTCTAAAGTGAACAAGTTGTTTGGACAAGAAACACTTTCTCTTGAGAGATCCCATTCTCTTTCTCATTCTCTTTCTCATTCTCTTTCTCATTCTCTTTCTCATTCTCTTTCCTCTTTCCCCTTTCTCTTACAAGAGATTTACCAATCCCTTTCACCACTTCAACTGCTTCACACCGTTCTTTTTTGCGTTTGCTTGAATTTTTCAAGAAAAATGTTTGATACATTGATTTTAATTTCAAAATTTCCCATTTTCTTTCAAAATTCCAATTTGAATTTGAAACGATTTTAGTAAAAACAAGAATGAAGGTTCGTCTGGAGCAAAAAGAGTTTGATGCGCTGAAGAAATTCGAGTCGCTTCACCATCCAGATATCTGGAATTGGATTATGGATAAGGTGAGCGAAAGAAATATGCCAAAAAAAGAAAATCTTATTTAGGTGGGTCGACGCGAGAATCTGAACATTTTGGATGTCTCTGAGGAGTGCGCTGTCTTTGCAGTGATGCTCGCCGAACAATATCCAACAAATAAGTGAGTGCAGAGGATTCGGCTTTGTTTTCAAATTTAACACAAGACGTTTCTTGAGGGATTATCAATAATCCTCAAGAGTTTAAAGATGATAAAAAGTTCAGAACCAGAGTCAGAGCAAAGCTTTGGCTTTAGATTGACTTGTGCAAGCACACCCTTTCTGCTGCACTCAATTTCCCATTTTTCTTGCAGTATTATGAGAAAATGAATAAACGAGTGTGCCAGAAGGGACGTGTTTACCTTTTTCAACAAAATACACTCAAATCTTCATTGCAGAGTGACTTGTTTGATTCGTGGAGAGAAACCGAAAGTCCCTCTTCCATCAAATGTCTCATTTCTTCGATCGGATTTCAAGAATTGTAATTGGTCGCAGATTGAAGAAGTAAAGGGATTTTATTCTTCTCTTTTCATTGCTTCTTTACATCTTTTTAGCTATCCACATATGATGTGATTATTGTGAATGAGCTCACCCATGAGATACCCGAGATTGGACAATTCTTCAAAGCGCTCAAGGTGAGTGGAGAAGGGAATTGAAAAAGGGTTTTAGTATTGTAAGTGATCTTAAATTTGCCTCAATGTTACTGTAGAACTTGTCTTTGATTTCAAATTTATTCAGAAACATTTAAACCCTGGTGCACCGATTGTTGTCTTGAGTCGACCCAAAAACCCTCCACTTCCTGTGCCCGAGTGTTGTCTTTTGTTGTGGAGAAAATTGATGCCAACAAAAGAAGAGATCACCGCTGCAGCTGCATATGTAAGAGATATAGAAACAAAGAAATTAAAGAAAAGATCTTTAAAAGGATTATTGAATCATAAGAGTACAAGAGGTGAAGCTTTAAAAGTACAAGAGTACAAACGAGTACAAAAGTACAAACGAGTACAAGAGGTGAAGCTTTAAAAGTACAAGAGTACAAACGAGTACAAAAGTACAAACGAGTACAAGAGGTGAAGCTTTAAAAGTACAAGAGTACAAACGAGTACAAAAGTACAAACGAGTACAAGAGGTGAAGCTTTAAAATTATCGAGCTTTATCGATCAAAACGGTTGGTGGTTTAATCCCGTCTCCGTCTTTTTTGCTGTCCTTACTTTACCTATAGCAACTTTGGTATTACAAGTATTACATTACTTATTACAATATTAATTTATTCAAATAGTTAGACCGATTTTGTAAAATTCTTATTTGTAAATTGTTTTCCTAAAAACTCTCAGGCTCTATTTTTCAATGTTAACTCTAAAAGCTCTATTTTTCAATGTTAACCAAAATACCCATAGACTGGTAATTTGATCCGTTGAGGTGAAGGGAAAGGGTTTACAACAAAACAAAGGACATTTTGTGAGGGTGATGTGGAGTGATTTATGATTTGAAAGGCGTTATAATGATAATGATAAATAACCTTTATGTTATAATGATTGTAAAATATTGTTGTTATTGAATAAATTGAATAAATTGAATTTTGAAATGAAAACAAATCGAAATCTCAAGGCTCAACTCGGTTACACGACTTTCTCGGCAGCCGTCCCGATCAGTGTTGATCGCTTTCAATGGGAGAGCATGCTCTATTCGGGTGAGTTTATGAGAAAAAAAAGTGTTAGATTTGTTAGATTAAAATCTGACCAATTTCCAATGTTAAAGACCAATTTCCAGGCTGTTTCCCAGCCGTTCGAGCGACGATCAAATGCGGTGAGCCAGAAATTCGTCAATACTGCAATAAACTCTCTCCAAAAGTGAATTTCGAGGAAAAAATGAGCATTTATGTGTTCAGAGAATGAGGTTTTTGAGATTAAATGTGATGCTGATAAATAAAGAGTACATTGGAAGCATTTTGAGTTCACAAAACAATCGAAACATACATTTTCTGGTGTACTGAAAGGGTTGAGTGGATCAGAATGGGTGTATCCACGTTTTTAGTGAATGAGAGTGACCGAGAATGAGCTCGCCTTTTCTTTCTTCCTCCTTGTATTTCCTTTTTCCTCTGAGCAGAACAGATGCCGAATAGCTCAGTGGTTAGGGCGTCTGACCGGATGGTCGATGGCTGATCAAGAGGGTCGATGTCGATCGTGTGGATGGTCGATCCCGTCCCGGAAATGCTTTTTGCTGTCCTTACTTTACCTATAGCAACTTTAGGATTACAAGTATTACATTACTTATTACATTACTTATTACATTACTTATTACATTACTTATTACATTACAATACTACTACTATTTTTCATTTGAAAAATTTGTTTGTCTTAGTTTTTTTCTTAACATTTCTTTCTTTCATTCAGCTCTAATCTGTCTAAACTTTGACACCTAAAGAGAATTATTTCCAAAGCGTGAAAAGAAAAAGCGGATTTTGCGATAAGAAAGCGCTCCAACCTAAGCTTTTTTTAAACCAATTTTTCTCTTTAACAAGGAAAAGTTATTCAATCGATCGATGGTTAAATGGAAATTTCTCATATTGTTTTTGCTTCTTCTTGGAATTCGAAGCTCAGAAATTGGACCGGAAAACGATGATGTCATCATGAATAATTGCTTTAGTTGGTTGAGAGATCTCTTTTTTTTTTATTTTCTATAGATTTTCAGGAGTTTGCTTTCACTTCAAATCAATTTTCTTGCTTTTTCTTTCGAGTCAAAGCTCAGTGGATACAGTGGAGAAATTGAAGGTTGGGCTTTGTGTAGTTTATGTACTTTGTGTACTTTGTGCTCTGGAAAAGCAAACCCTATCTAACGCACTCTCGATCTCTCGATCTTTCATTTCAGAAATTATTTAGTTAATGTTTTTGAATGAGATCACATCGTGTGGTCTTTTTCAATTCTCGTATTCATTTTCTTTGTGGTCTCCGTTGAAAACGATACATTGTTGTCAAATGGGTGATTGCAATCGAATGATTGATGCGATTTCGTGGGATGATGTTACCCTTTCTTTACACAATGACACTGATAATGATGGTGGGGGAATTTTGAAACGATAAAGAGTGTTAAGGAATTGTTTTTGATGTTTCCCAAGCTTGGCCCAAGCTTGGCCCAAGCTTGGCCCAAGCTTTGCCCAAGCTTCGCCCAAGCTTCGCCCAAGCTTCGCCCAAGCTTCGCCCAAGCTTCGCCCAAGCTTGGGCCAAGCTTCGCCCAAGCTTCGCCCAAGCTTCGCCCAAGCTTCGCCCAAGCTTTGCCCAAGCTTGGCCCAAGCTTCGTCCAAGCTTCGTCCAAGCTTCGCTCAAGCTTTGCCCAAGCTTTAATTTAGTTCCATATGATCCGGATGATCACCATGGAATGAAAGATTCCTTTTTGCAGTCTCTAATGATGATTCCAGAAGCTAGAAGGTTGATTACATTGATTTTCCAAAAAAAGAAAAGTCGATTCGGTTTCCAGAAAAGTCGACTCGGTTTTTCTCATCACCGATTATGGAGTTGATATGATGGAACAAGAATATCTCGATCGTAAGTGATCAGAGTTTTGTTATTTCTCTGAAATAATCACTTTAGAGTTGTACCCATTTATTGGCATGTTTCACATAATCGTTCTTGGCGGAAATGTCGCAAAATACTATCCGAATGCGATCATTGCTGAGGTTGAGAGTAAAACAAACTTATTGATAGCATTGCACTCAATTTTCGGTTCTTTTCATTGTTAAAAAAGCTTTCATATGCAAAACCCAAACCCAATTTGATCCATTTTCGTATCTTTATTCTCCAACATCGGAATATTGAATAATTTTTTACAAAGTCGACCCATCATGATGTTGAATTTGTTGCGGAGGTACATTGGGATATGTACGGCGGGATTTGGGTGAGAATTGGTCCCAGGGATTTAGCCTAATCGCTTCCAAAACGGGAAGCCAATTCAGTCGTCCATCGCTCCTTTCCTTGCCTGATCCCATTACTGAACCTATCTATCGGGGCGGTTTGCCAGATGGCGAGCGATTACCCACAACCTCCACAACCACAACCTCCACAACCACAACCTCCACAACCACAACCTCCACAACCACAACCTCCACAACCTCCTCCTAGATTACTCCACAACCTCCACGCACAAAGAACACCTCCTCAATCACTTTACACTGACTTTTTCTTCTGTAAATGATTCCCAAATGAGATTTAATGTTAAAAATTTCTGCCCTAGGGTTTTCAAAATCGTAGAATCTATTGGCGGAGTTTATTTTAAACCTTTGTTTCAAGAGAATCCAATTGGCTTTGGGTATATGATAGCTTTTCACAATGAAAAGACCCGGATTCCCGAGAAGAACTCAATTTTCTTTTTCTTCTTTCCAGGATGCTCTCGAATTGGTGAGAACAGTGCAGATCCCGGCAATGTGCGCTCCCCATGAATTGGGAGTGGTGACTGGTGGGAATGTGAATATCTTTCATCGAAGAGAACATCCAACAACAACAACGACAAAGACTACTAAACTGCCTCTTCTTGTCACCAGCGCTCATCCCGAAGCGATCACTGATCTTTGTCCAGAGTTGAGGAACGTCAGTGAGTCTTTTTCTTTTTTATTGGATTTTCCCATGTGTCAAACTGGGTCAAAACCAGTTTGCCAGCCCAGGTCTGACTCAGATTTGTTTTTCGTCTGATCTGGCTTATTTTTAGAAACATTTCTGGGTATAAACTTTTCCTAACAAATGCAGATCTGTCATTTTCAGCTCTGAGTCCCGAGTTGCCAGTCGATTTCCACGTTTTCGTGGCATTCTCCGAGAAAATGGGATCATCAGACGCGATTTGTGTGCGCGAGATGTTCCACCAATTGCTCAACCTGGCACATTTGGAAACGAATTCCGGTGAGGTTGATAAAATGATCGTAAAAACTTTACGATAGAATTTGCGCTCTACTTTTGAAAACTTTTCTTTCATCAGGCACAATCACAATGCACGGCCCTCGAGCGCAAACTTTCGTCACATGCGAGTGGGCGGACTACGAGAAATGCCTTGAAGCAACCGATAAACTGTCAATGTCACTTGTTCAGGTATTTGAAAATCTAGCTTTTAAATCTCATATTCATGTAAATGAATTTGAAAGAATACAGGTGAGAACACCGGGCATAAATGATGCGGATCTTGATTTCGCGCCTGATGTTCTCAACTTTTTGCGTTCCGAAGCGATCCGAGCCCATGAGCAGAAAAGAGTTGTAAATCTTTCGTTATTTTAATTCGATTTTTTTTAGATCTTGATCGTAATCATTTCGGATTTTATCTCATTGGAGTTTCCATTAAATTCTTTATTTTTCCAAGCGGCTATGTCACAACAAAACATCGAGTTGACAATGGCTGTCGTGACTGAGTGGAATCGAGTAACAAAGCAGGATTTATATAAATATTATGGGTAAATAGAAGTAGCGCTTTTTAAAAATCGATATTCTTCAGAAATTTGACTTCAACGATCTATGAGATTCCGAGCTTTCAGAATTTGTCGATGTTGTTGGGAGTGTGGACACCAATAAAGAGCACGGTTGGGAAAAAGAAGCTAAAGAACAAAGCTAAAGAACAAAGCGAAAGAATAAAGCTAAAGAATAAAGCTAAAGAATAAAGCTAAAGAAGAATGAAAATCAGTCAATTATTAAATGGGTTAATTATTAAGATATTTGAGTGGTTTTGGGTAAACATTGACACTACAAACTACAAACATGAACTACAAATGCTTCTAACTTGCAAGTTGACGGTTTGACATTGCTCGGGTTACAGTAACATATAGTAATCGGATCACAGGTTACGGTAGTTTGGCCACAACTAGACATGAGCACTATAAACTGTAAAAATGACGAACTGTCACACTACAAATGCTTCTAACTTGCTTCAAATCTGTTGAATTGACATTGATCTATAGCTCAAAAAATCGAGAATTTCAAGAGCTTTCGAATGAACTAAAGCATATCGAAAAATATCAATTTTAAAGAAAGTTACAGTGGTTTCTAGCTTCGACTACGCACGAGTACGGTCTAAAAACCATTGTAACTTTCTTTAGAGTTGATATTTTCGAGTGTGCTTTAGTTCATTCGAAAGCTCTTGAAATTCTCTATTTTTTGAGCTATAGATCAATGTCAATTCAACAGATTTGAAGCAAGTTAGAAGCATTTCTAGTGTGACAGTTCGTGACTTTTACAGTTTATAGTGCTCATGTCTAGTTGTGGCCAAACTACCGTAACCTGTGATCCGATTACTATATGTTACTGTAATCCGAGCAATGACAAACCGTTAAAGCATGCCCCAAGCTATCGTAACCCGGCTTATAGGCAGGTAGGTAGCTTGGGCATGCTTTAGAGCAGTTACGGGCTTTTACAAAAGATCTTTTAGTCATCACCAACAACAACAACAGCCACTACCACCGCGAATCCGACCATCGATGGATCAACCACTCAATTCAGCAATAACTATCCGACTCAACCAAATTTTCATAAGACTCAAAAAGTGCCACCGACAACGATTTCGGAAACGACGATTACCCCAACCAGCACACATCATTCAACCTCTTCAACTGCAAATAACACATCATCAGGTTTACTTTATCTAATCTTATCATCTAATCTTGTGCCAGGTTTAGATGAACAAGACAAGCATAAGCATCCAAAGATTCTCTACATTCTCCTTGGAAGTATTTGTGGATTGGGATTGATAGTGCTTGGATTGTATCTAATCTATTTCATCATCAAGAAAAATCGTTTCTTGATTCGAGAGAACAAAATGCTAACATTACAGCACTCATTGAGATTGAGTGATGATGACGAGGAGGGGTATCAAACGTTGGTTTTGAATTTTGAAGAAGAGTTTTATTGCCTTTAAAAGCTTGATTTACTCAGACTCTCTTCAGAAAGAGCTCTTCTATCACGGAAATGCCATTGGGAGTGAACTGGATTCTCTCCGAGTTACAAAAAGATCCATGGGAAATGGATAGACAAAAGATTATTGTTGGGAGACAAGTGGGTAGAGGAACGAGTGGAGTCGTGTATAAGGGTGAGTAGATATTTCAAAGCCTTATTATTGTTGTGGAGTAGTGTATAAGGGTAACTATTTCAAAGCATTATTATTATTAAAATTTTCTTTTTAGGTGCATTAATTGGTAAATCTCCCGTCGAGGAAATTCACAAGAAATCGTTTTTCGCTTTTCAATTTGACAAACAAGCTGTTGCCATTAAAATGATGCCATTGCATTTTGAAGAAACAAAAAGACATGCTTTCATTGAGGAAATCGAAATATTAAAGGTAAGGAATCAATTAAATTATCAATATCAAAAGTCTCTAATATATTTTAGCAACTTTCCCCTCATCCAAACATTTGCGGTTTATTGGGTTGTGTGAGCACATTTGCTCCATTATGTATGGTGATCGAGTTTGCTGTTTACGGAGATTTAAAGAGATTTCTACAAACGAAGAAAATCGTTGAGTGTGTGAGTGTTAGCTGAATATCTTTTCCTGAATATCTTTTCCTGAATATCTTTTCCTGAATACCTTTCCCTTCAGTATACTTTACGTAAAGGCTTCATTAAACTTCATTAAACTTTATTAAACTTCATTAAACTTTATTAAACTTCATTAAACTTCATTTTACCCAATCCAATTACAGCCAGGCACAGCTTGTGCCGTTCATTCGGATCAACCTTGTCTCAAGACGTTGATCACTTTCTGCTGGCAGATTGCTGATGGATTGGTGAGAGTTTTTTGAAGAAAAATGATCACAGAAATTTTAGAAATTTCTCCATTCTAATCGACTTTTGCATAGAGATTTGGCAGCGAGGAATATTCTGTTGAATCAGAGTGGAAACGTGCAAATCTCCGATTTCGGGCTGGCTGTTTGGATCGATCGACCCGAGAGAAATAAAATGAGTAGGCGATTTGGAATTGATTTGATTTGGAACTTCAAAAAAGGAAGCATGAGCTCTAAAAACTAAAATCATGTATTTTTCGAGTTTGCAAACATTTCCAGACCGTTTACCAATCAAATGGACAGCCATTGAGACCCTTCGCTATGGGGAATTCTCAACCTTTTCCGACATTTGGTAAATCTTTCTAAGCTCCAGTAGTTGAATCCAAATTTTTAGGTGTTTGGGTGTGTGTTTATGGGAGATTCTCTCAATGGGCAAAGAGCCGTATTCACATGTTTCGAACGAAGAAATTCTCACGTATTTGGCGTGCGGGAAACGGCTGAAACATCCGAAAAAGTGCCCACAGCAAGTGTGAGGGAAAAATTTGTACAGTATACTAAATTGAACCCATCAAATATCCTGTGATCAGATTTTTAAAAAAACGGATTTATTTTAGTTGGTCACTGCTTGAATTGTGTTGGAGTGAGCATCCGCGTGATCGGCCGACCCTCGATGCGTTACGTGCGGATTTCGGACGAATTTTGGAGGATTTCACAGCCGGATATGGATATTTGGACTTACAGAATGCTGTGAGTAATGGGCTTATTGTTTAAAATGCAAATTTATAGGAAATGCTAACTTTTCAGACTTTCAATAACATCACATTCAAAGAGGAAAAGGCGTGACTCAGAATGGATTTTTGAAAAATTGGAAATTGGAAATTGCGCTGCTTTCAATAAATATTCGAAATTTTATGTAAAATACATATGATAACGTTTGTTAAATGGAAATTTTATACTTCAGCAATTATTTTTGGGTAGCAAATGGAAAATTGAGGTGTAGAGGCATGGGGAGTGGGGACAAATGCAACCTTTTTTTTGCGCACCCGGACATTTGCGCACCTTTTTTCGCTTTTTTCGTTTAAAAAAGCTCTAAAAGCTAATATTAACCAATTTCTATTCCAAAAGTTGTTTTTCTAGGTAATTTTAGGGCGTAGAATCGAAATTTTGGCATATCAGAGCTTGTGGAAGCGAACGGACGGAGTTATACAAAGAGAAAAATCAACAATTTTCTGTAATTTGATTTGACCTAGCCGTTTTGTCTTTCAAATTGGTTCCACACGCTCTGTTATGTCAAAATTTGAATTCGACACCCTCAAATTACCTAGAAAAACAACATTTCGAATAGAAATTGGCTAATATTAGCTTTTAGAGCTTTTTTTTAAAACGCGAAAAAAGGTGCGCTAATGGGCAAGGTGCGGAAAAAAAAGGTGCGCAAATGTCCGGGTGCGCAAAAAAAGGTCGCATTTGTCCCACTCCCAGAGACATGTGCTTTCGGGTCAACTTAATGTTTTCTATAAAAAAAAAAAAATGCAAATTTACATTTTCTAAAATAATCTCTTTTGTTTTTAAAGGTATTAAGCTAATCAATTGAGTAATTTTTATTAGATTAAAGTTCTAAGTGTCGATTTTGCAACAAAAATCATTTCATTTTTCACTATTTTTCTGGCCGATTAGCAGCCTTTTTATAATTTGTTTTTAATTTTGTTGATTTAGTTTCGATATTTAATATATTTCTTTAGGATCATCGGAGTCACTTCAATTCATCCATCTGGAACACACGAAATCATCGCTTCGCTTCTTCAACATAAAGTAAGTTGTGTTTAAAAGCTTTTACTTACTTTTTGCTCAAATGAATTTATTGACTTTAAAGTTGTAAAATAGTGAATTGATAAATTGAGTTGGCTGCTAAGCTTAGGAAGTTGCAAACTACTTTATTGACTACTTTACACAAACACCACTACTTTATTGACTACTCTACTCTACTACTTTACACAATTTATAATTTAGCCATTGGATGAGGACAATCGTGTGGCTGCACCCGTCACCTGATCCAAGTTAGCTGCCGCTCTTGAAAGGGTAAAGAGTCTATGCACTTTAAGTTCAATTTTGTTCATTTTAGCCATCGACTGTCGATAATCGAGTGGCCCAAGTTGCATCAGCCGATAGTTGCAGAGCTTAATAGGGTGGGTTTGACTTATGCGTCATTACTTTTATAATCAATAATTAGGTCTTAATTTTTCTAACGACGTGGTAAATAATTTGGCTTTCTTCAAACGCGTGACTAATAATCATATTTATAATATACGTACCCAAACAATTTAATAAACTGTTTTTTCTAGAAAGTTTGATATCTTTAACATCATTCGAACCGTTTCTCGGGTGGTGCTTTAGAATTAGTAGAAATTATTATCAATTTGTGGGGTTTTTACAGTTTGGGATAATGTGCCCCGAAAAAAACCGGCCCGGAGCCCATCTCTTACTATCCGTAATTCCCCGTTTTCGTTCGTAGTCAACCAGATCTTTTTTTAAAAAATCCAACAGTTTTTAAGTCTTGGTATTTTGCTGTACGACTTTAATTGTAAAAATTTTCAGTTTCTATTATTTATATGGAAAGAGAAGTAGCGGATTTGCGAGCGCAACTCGGTTTTGGCGCCGAGTCGGTTCGCGTGAACGCTTTCGCGAATGTGGTCAAAAATTTGGAGCACAAAGATGAGAGAAAAAAGGTAAAAACAGGTTCACAAATAGGAACAAAAAGCAAAATAAGGGGAGTTCTAATTATTGAAAAATTTTATTGTAGAAAGAATACCATCGACTCTTTTGGCAGTGCGTGAACGAGTACGGCGACTACATCTCGTCGCTGGCTGATAAGGTTGGTCATTCAAATCATTCGGCTCGAAAATCAAAAAGTTATCTGAAACTTTGGCATTGTACGTAGAACTTTTCAATATTTTTTAGATAATCTCATCTCGTCTCCAATCGAGCGCTTTCAGCAATGAGGCGGTGATTACCGAGATGATGGTTTGGAATGAAAACTTTTCATTGAAAAAAGAATCTAGGCGATTTTTTCCGTAAAAAAGCCGGGATCGAGAAGAATTTTGCGGTTTCTCTTGCATCAAAATGGAGATTTGTCAAGGTAATAAGAAAACTTAGAAACAAAGAGTTGTTATTTCAGAATCTGTGCTCAAATCTACTCGAGAGTGCCCGAAATGCTTGATGAGATGATTGAGGAAATGAAAGGAATCGATTGGGAAAGGTTTATTTCAGAAAATGATTGAATCTAAAAATGGTAATTTAGAGCCCGACCTGCCGTGCTCTCATTTTTGTGCATGGAGACTTTATCAGAAAGTCACAGAGTGATTCTCGCAGAATATCTTCTCGAAAAAGAGACCGAAAAGGCATCTCCACTCTTCGTGTTGACGCTGAAAAGATTGTAAGTTTTCTTATTGCAAGTTTTCCAATTAAAGTCATTTAAATTAACCAATTTAGTCTCCCACAATCATTTCTTTGCCGTTTACCCCCAAGTCAACTGGTTTACGAGCATTGTATCAAAGAGGGAACATCTTTATCCGCCACATCACCCGTTCATTTGATGTCAAGAGCCAAGCAGACACTTTGCCAACCGGATCTTTTGAAAATCGGTAATTTCACAGGAAATTCAGTTATGGTATTGAAAATTACAAGGCCAAATATCTGGGTAACACAGCTGTCAAAGGTACACCCATTGACCCTTTCAGCTGAAGCTCATCCCTGCAATTTGCCCGTTTTCCTCACCCTCGTTGCTTCAATCGGGGAGTTGGCAAAAGTCGCTTCAGAGCTTGTCGATCGAAATGTTTTGGATAAGGTTAGCAAAAATAAATAATAACTAGATAATCAATTTTCAGGTTAAACAATTGATTCTCGAGATTCAATCGTGGAGACCAACATTTTTGATTGCTAAAGATGAGGGCCAGTCGATCACCAATTTCGACTACTTTGAACGGGTTGTCGGTGACGGGGAAAGTCTGACAGCTTATTGTAGGTTTTACGAAGTGCTTATAAACTTTTGAAAATCCTGTAACAAGATCCAATTTTTGATTTCAGTTCAACGTTGGCTTAAAATGAATGAATGGGAAATCAATGATGATTCGATTTCTTTTCTCATTGGAGCGCTCGCCTTTGTGAAACAAGATGAGCACTCTATGGTTTTTCGGTTACTCGAAGAGTTTTGTCGGCGAAAAGCGGAATTTGTAAGTTTTTTCAAGGAGTATAATGACAACGAAGTATCAAAAAATCATGGAAACATTAGTTTAGATTACATTATCGTTTAGACACCGATTTCGATCCTTTGTCTTCTCACGATTTACAGTCGTCCATGGTTTTCCGTGTCAAAAGAGGCAATTATTGAGTGTATCGGACGGGTGACGATAGCCGCAAAGAATACGGTATTTTGTCCAGTTTTTAAAGTTCAAGTAATTCATCATTTAGCTCGTCGTATCACCGGCACTGCGTTTTCTGCTAGCCGTTTGTCAAAAGGTGGGTTTTGTAAGTGTAAATAGTACAAATACGTAATAATTAGTACACATAAAAATGCTTTCTAGAAAGTCCAAGACCCTGTTGATGACAGTGTGGAGAATCGAGAGCGTTTAGCGGCAATTGCGGCAATTGGAGAGCTCTTTGTCGAATATAATGGTAAATTGATCATAAAAATTCTAAAACGATTTGATTAGTCAGCTTAACGATTTACTTTTTAGGTATCTTTGATGAGATCAAGTTTTTGTGCATGGTGAAACCGGAGGATGGACACTCGCGGTGGACGGAGGCTCGCTTGGAGCTCGCTGCGACAATTTGCAAACACAGGTTTGTTCAATTAAGAGTAGCATTGGTTAAAAAATACTCTAAATTTATAACATTCATTTATTTTTCGATATCTAGTGAACTCTCGGACGAGCTCCTTCCATCTCTATCCACTCTTCTCACCAAGGGCGGCCCACTTCTCCCAGCAGTGCTCCGAGTGATCAAAGTGCTTTGCGAAGAAGGGGTTTGTCGAATAAAGCTAATTTCTTTGTTTACTTTTGTTTATAATACTTTTATACTTCAGGTATTCGAAATCCCAGTGATCGCCAATCAATCCCGAACCCGATCCGTCCACGATCCAAAAGCCCTCTCCGAGCATGCAAGAATTTTGGCGTTATCTCGAGTTGTGAGCTTGTTTTCAAATTGTTTAAAAAAACAAATCTGCTCTTAAATATAATATTCTTATCATCAAAAGTTTCTGTTTTTCAGGAATCAAATCGACCACAAGAAGAGCTTGATGAAGAGGAGGCGGAAAATTTACAGAAAAATCAGGTTAGCTGGGACCAGTTGCAAAGTTATGGGCAAATGATTCATTTAGAATTTAAAAATGACATTTGAAGTGGCAGTATTTATCCAAAATTTGTTCAGGAATTCGCTCAGCAAGTCGCTCTGCCAGAGCTATGGACGATGACGGGTCATTTAAGTGAAATCGTTCGCGATGCCGCTTTTGAAAGTGAGGGATTTTTAAATGAACATTGTCGGAAAATTTTAAATCCACCAATATGCCTTTAGGCCTTACAAATTTCTCACTGGAAGAAATCTATGTTCACATTGATTCGATCACGGAAAATGAGAACGAAGAAGGAAAAACCGTCAAAATGGAAAAGGTTTGTCTCTTTTTTCAATAACTAAACCAAAATCTTGCAGTTATCCGACGTTTTGCTGGATCAAGTTTTGGGCAATGATGTTGAAAGGAGTGAAGGTGAGAAACAATGAACTTTTTGTGATCATTTGCCTTTAGGTCTCACTAAATTTCTCCACAGAGCTGTAGCTGAAGATCTCGAGAGTTTGCCACGACCATTGTACACCAAAAAGTTAGTAAAGTTAATTAAAGTTAAAATAAAGTAAAGCTTTTGAATTCCGATTTTTAGGATCAACGAAGACGAGGATCCACTTTTTCCCACCACATTTGCCATTTATGAAACAAAGCAAAATGAGGTGGATTGGAAAAGAGCTTACTTTATCAATATTTCCCTTTTAGGATGCCGATTTGAATTTTCTTTCGATTCTCTCAATCATCCTCAAAGGGATCCCCATTGATAAACGACCATTTCTGGCGAAGAGAATGCTCACGAAATGTTTGATACAGGTATTTGATGATTGAACAATATCCGGATTAGAATCTGTTTTCTAAAAGTGCATTTTATGAGTTACCGTATTTCATAAAGCATAAATTTCATAAGACTACAAATTTCAGATCTCAACTCCAAGCACCAATTCGCCAGATTTCCCCAAATACCTTTCCGCTTGGCGATCGTTGACGGAAACTTGTTTAGAGGTGTTCGCGAAATCACATCTCGAACAAGGAGAACCGTCGTTTACTTGGTGAGTAACTGAACTGTTTTACTCTTAAAAAAAAAACCAGTATACTCACTCAAATCTTTAGGGCAAGGGATCAACTTTGCGAAGAGCTTCGTCGTGCTCTTTTGCAAGCGGAAGACTCACTCTCCAATGTGCTCACCGTGTTGATCTACATGGCATTGAAGCTGAGTAATGTTCACGAGGTAATCAAAAATAAATTGAAGTCCTAAAAGCTATAAATCTAGAGCTCTTCATCGAATCCCTATCGTCCGTGGTTGATCTCAGTGATCGAGTTCCTTTGTTTGGTTAAAGATTGGAATCACAATCCACGAATGAATCCGATCTTTCAATGTGTTATCGTAAGGATTGATTTAGCTTTTAAAGATAAAAGATATTTAGCTTTATATACTGTAGCTGAACAGGTTACTAATTGTAGTCCTCACGATAATTTTGAAACGATCACATTTTAGAAGTCGATAAGTGAATCAAAGAAGCTTGCAAGGCTTGGATTGATGCTTTTCTCAAAGCATCTTTTAAAAGTAAATTTCATTTCTTTAAGAATTGAAGCTGACTTTTAGCATTTCAACATAGAGATTTCATTTCAGAGTGATCTCTCATTCTATCAAGGCAATTCGCTTGTCAATGATGAGCAAGCAATAACCCGTGAAATGTTCGGCAATGACGGAGAATGGGTAAGTTGACGGAGAGATGATCCAAAATACAAAAAGATATTCAGGCAATGTCTTTAATTGATGGAACAGCAACTTCAAGTGAATCAACAATGGTCTCAAGGGAGAAGAGTACTTTGATTGGTGAGATTATCACATTATAAACTTTTCAAGCAACAATTCTTCAGCGATTACGATAGCTTTTTTTTTTTTCTAAAGGACATCTTTTAGAAAGAGCTTTTGTCACAAAATTGTGATAAAATTGATGGTTTTCAGGTTATTCCCTCGGTTTGGCGCCGATGACGCTCGAGGTGGAGGCAAATAAAACGACAAATCCCTCTCTTCAAATGCCAAAATTTGAATCAATCGAACACGTGGACACAGTTCATGTTTGAGAACTTTAAAAACCTAAAAATTCTTCAATTCTAGCAAATTTTCAATCATTTATCCGAAGTGGATAGTACTTGTTTTGAAGCAAATCGGAGAAAAGTAAAGAAAGCGTTGGAAATGGTGATCAAGAAAAAAGACCTGGAAATGGGGAAAGCGGTTTGGAAAGGTGAGTGGTTAGTTTTATATATATATAATCAAAATAATATTTTAAATATTATTTTAAAATAATTCAGGTCTATCTTCGTATTCTCTATCACAATGTGGTCGAGTTTTGTCGAAACTTCCACTCGACTACGCGGCGTTGCCAGAGAATAGCCTGTTGCGAGCCGTCGAGCGGAGGATACGGTAGGAAATTTCTGTAGGATAATAAACAATAGTTTATAGCACTGAATCATCATTCGTTTTTAAAATAATGTTTTAATCTGAAAACCAATTTCAGAGTGATCACCACCCCCGCGAAGCGTGATGTCTTGTTGAAGTCACTGACGAATCAATGCCGGAAAAATGATGGGTGAGTGTTTGCGGGTTCTTCCTCAACCCCAATTTACGATACTTTTGAATATTTGCAATTTATAAGCTCAATCTTTTATGTTTCCATTTTTCAGTCGAAACCTTCCTCCAATCGACATCTCACATCTCATTTCTTATGCCAATGATGTCACTTCGTGGATTACCGTTTTTCAATTGGCTGTCCAACAAAAACACTCAACAGTTGGAGAATTTATGAATTTTAAAAAAAACCTTGAAAGCTTTAGTTGATTGCAAGATTGATTTCTCGAAAATCTGCACTAAAAATTGAAGCCGATTTTACGGTGATAGAGACGTTGGCGAAGAATTTTGAAGAATTTCACGGATCGATCCCGGAAAGGAGTCAGCGGCAAGTGGTGGGCTTTGAAAGGAGAAAAAGCCTTATCCGATAGAGAATCTTGATCTGATAGATTGAAATTGATTATTGTAAATTTGAAAAATTTTCAGGCCGATCACTTATTGAATCAATTGGAGTCAATTGAGTCGCAGAATCGAGAAATCCTTTCAGAGAGAATCGGCGAATTGTCGAAGATTCCGGTTTGTTTATCCATCTAATCTCAACTTTTGTTACCATTTTCCAATCTAAGACCAAACGAACATTTTCCAATACAAGAACTTTATTCCAGATTTTCTGCCAAGAACTCACAACTTTCCTCACCAAACCGACGAGTTGTTTGGAGATCGAGAAGGCATTGTGGAAAACGATCGAGGGAAAAGCGAATCAGCAAATCATCGGGGATACATTTTTGGGAACGTAAGTTAGTTCACAGGGATAAATTTAGCTTGCACTGGAGTGACGTGGCTACTACAGCCCAGTTGATAGCAACCCAAGTTGTTTCAACATCAAAAAGATATCGAAAATCAAGAAAATGAAGCAATATCCGGGCTATAAGCGGGATATGAAAGTACATTCCAGTGCAAATTGTTTTCCATAAAATCCTTCGATTTCCTCGATTTGTGGGGATGGGCGTTGTCTTCAAGCACAAAAACGGAACCATTCCATTCGTTCTGATAGACCAATCGGAGAATTTTCTGCTCAACTTGTTGCATATGACGTCTATAAACATCACTGTGAAAAGTTTGACCCTTCTGGAACAGCTCCCAAAAAAAGTATGCCAGAGGAACACCTATCGACACACTGAAATCGCTTATTCCCATGAGTATTTCGTTTTTCCACCACTTTTCCCAATCGACCTTTCTTCAACCATTGTCGTTTCAACACTCGATAATCATAGAATATCCACGATTGATCATGAGTCACAATATTGAAAAGAGGAAACCGACCGCATCGATATTCGTTCAGTAGTTGACGGCATGACCGCGCTCTTTGGCCCTTAATCGAATTTTTCAAATGATAGGGAATTTGCCGCTGTTTCAACCACTTTCTTCCGGGTTTTTTGAGCCAATGCCATACTGTCATTCTTCAGCAATAGCTTTGTGCCAAAATCCAAGTCGTTCCTTCGGGATTTTGCTGAAGTTGGCGCCTCAACGTCTGTCGATTCACTTTTCTGGGACGACCGCTTCCTCGCTTTCGTGTGAGCCGGTTGTCACCTTTTCGGAACTTCTGAAACCATCATCGTGTAGTCCTTTCCTTGACGATTGTTGGCCCATAAAAGATTTGATTTCTCTCGCTGCTTTGGCCGCGGAAATCCTCTTCAAATATCGTTGATGGATTATTGATGGATTTCTTTACCAAACAGCGCCATGTGATCGATCACAATTTTTTTTGTTTTTGATTCCTAAAAAAGAGAATTTAACACATAAAACTGGAATTGTAAATTAGTATAATAAAAAAAAGAGAAAGAAAAAGTGTTAATTTGTCGCTGAATACGAATCAAATGAAGAAACGACAATTTTTTATGGGACAACCTAATATATGATGAATAAAATTTCAAGTTTATACAATGTTTATGGGTTAAGCATAGCATAAATCTATCACAGGTTCATTCAAGTATTAACCATCTTGCAGAATCGTCGCTTGTTGGCTCGAGTGTTCCAAAGAGTCCCGGGCATTGTCGATGGGGAAAATTGTCGAGATATTGAGAGGAAGCACAAAAAGTCAGAGGTAAAAAAAAAGTTTAAAATTAAACAAAAAAAAAATGTAAAATTTCAGTCAAACGATCGCTTGTCTAATTGGGGATCGTTGTTCTTTGATGTCTTTTCCTCAAATGATTTTGATCTTTTCCGATGCCTTGACCCAAGCAAAAGTTCTTATCGCTAAAGGAGACAAGGTTTAGAATTAAAGGAAATTTTTAAAACTCAAACCTTTAGCCAGTTTTGCTATCATTTTGGCCGATTATCGTTTCATTGATCGTTTCGATTCCATCTCCGATTCCTTTCCAATTTGTTCGAGAGGATGATGAAAAAACGGTTAGTAGAGAGTTACAAAAAGCTTAAAAAAAATTTTGTTTTTTGGATATAACTATATTTGTACTCAAGTTTAATAGAAGAATCTATAATTAAAGAAATATAATTTAGGTGGAACTTGCAGCTCGACGAGTCCAATATCATCTCGATTTTCTTCTGGCTAGAGACGAGTTCGCTTCGTTGATTGAACCGGTTGGTTTTCTTAATTTGATAGTTAAAGGTGTTTTTTTTATTTCAGAAATAACGCAATTAATCTATTTTTTTCTATTTGCCTTTTAGACTTCTAAACAATGGTTCAAGAAATTTTTTTAGTTGGCGAGTTATCTACTGACAATTATCCCAGATCTTCAACCGCCACACTTGCAAGGAGCTAAAGGTTTACTGTTTACTGGTTTACTGTTTACTGGTTTACTAATTTACTGTTTACTGTTTACTGGTTTACTGGTTTACTGGTTTACTGGTTTACTGTTTACTGGTTTACTGGTTTACTGTTTACTGGTTTACTGTTGATTCATTTATTGCGTTGCACTTTTTGAAGTCTTAATTATCAAATGTACTTGTCTAAGTCTTAAGAAGGTCAGCTCATCCAGTTACTTCAAATGTTTCATTGGTATCTTGAGATACAGTGACGCTTCTGAGCGCACTTTTTAGAAAACCGATTAATCAAGTGTTAAGCTATCGTGTAAGTTTACAGGCATAGGCATTGTATTGGAGCATTTGTATGTAATCTTTATTTCCAGATTGCTTTCGCATGCTACTCGGCAAGCGCTCACTTCCACAAATCGACAACGACGCCAAGTGGAGAATGCTGTTCGCATGAAGAGGAAAATATTTCAAATGAGAATTTTTATTATATAATGATTCGGGTTTACTCTACCCACTTACTCTTTGTGCCAAAATCTTTTTGTGATATCATTTTTTCAAATAACATAATTTATTGGTGTCACATTTGTCCAACGAATGGAAAAATTGAGAGAGAACAAATTTTGGGGAAAAACACACACAAAAAAATGACATGCAAATGTGGGGAAAGCAAAAAAAAAAGGGGGAGGAGAAGAACCGTGTATCGGATGGGATTGATGAGATGCGGTGGATGTGCGCTGAATGTTGAGATGAGAAGAATCGGGGAGGAGAAACGGGACGGGGATCGATTTAGCTCAGGGGAAAAAGGCTGAAATTCAGAATTTTTCCTTCATCCATCCCCATTTGATTTTTTATAATACCTTTGACTATTTTTATAATAGCTCAACCTTTACCGTATTTTTTTAGAATTTTTAAGCTTTCTGATTGTACCGCTATACGCGAATTCATGATCCGCTAGTTTTTCTCATTTTCTAAATTTTTTTCTTACAGTTTGAAGGAGTACTATATAAAAAAAATCAAGCAATTAAAAAGTTTCACTAATAGAAAGAAACATTTTTCTTTTGAATTTCTCAGATTACTCTAAAAAAATTCACTTTTTGTTGTCTCTAATTGTTGGCATATTGCAGCCTTTGCAGTGTCGAGAGGATGTCGTGCATGTGATCCAAATGATTGCCCGAACGACCGAATCGCACTGAAATTCGGTAATCAGAGAGTTAATAAACATTCAACTCTCATTATTAAACTTTTAAAAAGCAATGAGAGTTGAGTGTTTTTTTTTTTTTGATTTTTCCCAAAAAGCCATGCAGTTATTTTGCTCGGTGTTTAGGACAGTTTTTCAGCTTTCCCTTGCAGTTTTCCCTTTGAAACTCTACCTATTTACGAAGATAGTATTGTTCTTGAAAGTTTACATTTAAAATCAAATTAATTAACATGAAAAAAAGCAGCTTTATCACTTACCAAATGGTTGTGGTTGAGCGTTTCGCTTGTCCTGGGTGGAGACAGACGAGCGCTTTCCGAATCTGAAAAGTTGCACTGATGGACACGGCTATCTTTACAGTAGTCTCAGCCTATCGTACTATTCAGAGCATTCATCTCACCCCTACTATCGTACTATTATATTTCAATCCAGAAATAGGACTTACGGTAACTAGAATCCGAAACTTTCGGTAACTTTTGGTGCTAGACCCTGAATGTTAGACTAAGACTGTCTTGAAGCTAGCCGCTGTAATGTATTTTATCCCAAATCTATTGTAGATCTTAAAACCAGAGCCGAACCCTAATCATGCTATATTACCATCATCTATAGGTAAGGTTAAACGTGAGCTAGAGAAATCAGCTTTGGCACACGCTATTGGATACGAATTATTGGTGTGCTAGAAAATGGGCATTTCTAAAGTAAAGGAAAGTCAACGATCCCGATTTCAACAGGCTTCTTTTATCTAACTTTTATCTAAATATCTAACGATTTCAGCAGGCTTACCACATTGTTGTAAAAACCCGTATCTTTTCTTTTCTTTTCTCAAAAAAAAAACTCCTGTTTTTAATCATTTAATCTCTTTTTTTCTGCACTTCGATAACGGAAATGACAAAAGGATAATTAAGAAGAATTTTTCGTTTTTCTGTTCTTTCATTCATGAAATGAGAAGAAAAAAAGACTCAAGTGAGGCATAAACACGCAAAAATGAAACAAGGAGAAGAGCGAATGTTCTTGCGGCTATTCTTTTGTGAAAAATGAAAAAGAAGAAAGAAGAAGCAAAGCAGTTTGCAATGATTTGTTTGAGCTGGTGTTTTATATACTCTGGCCTGCTTAAACGCACATTCTTTCTGGTGCACTAAATCGAAAGAAAGAAGACTGAAGCGAGTGCACTAGAAGGGCTGCGTTTCTGGCTTTAAAAGTACACTAGAAAGCTGTTAAATGGCTTGGCACTAGAAAGATGGCTTTATAGAGTGCGAATGAGATATGGCAAGATAATTTAAAGCTTTTAAAAAATAAAAAATGTTAAATAGCCTTTGTGGTTGTTAGAAAAATGGATGAAAACTTAATTTGAAGGGGATTTTTTTTTTGATTCGAAAACCCACCTAACCAAGGCATTCCTCAATCCTCCATTCGGCGCGGCTCTTCCAAATCGCACAAGTGCATTGCGCATTGGGGCGGCTCGTTTCTCGAAACTGAATTACAAATCCAACTACGATTTTTCCCCATTTTCTTATTTAATCGTTGATTTGAAAGAGCTATTTTATGAAAGAGATTGGATATTTTTATCCCATATACATAAAGCAGACATTACATAAAGCAGAAAAAAAAAATGGAAAAATGAAATCCGCTAATGTAACGAATTCATTAGGTGCTATGTTGAAAAAAATCGCAAAATCGCAAAATAGCATCAGCAAAATGTTAAAAGCTTTGGCAAGAGACGAAGATTTTCAGAAAAACTAAGCTTTAAACTTTGATTTTTAAAACATTTACAAGTTAAGTTTAAAGATAACTCGAGGAATAGATTTCATTTTTAGTATTACTCTTAAAATGTTTCGCAGAGAATAGGAAAATTCTCTTGACAGCAACACCTGACTCTTTTGGTTCACTTGGCTCTTTGCCGCTTGACAATCGGAAACACTCATCTTTTGGCGCACTCCTTTTCAGCGGCCGTAAGGAAAGATGAGAATTTTTTTACGCCAGAAGATGTCTTTGATTTTTAGACACAAAGAACAACTTCTGTTACTAATACGGTTCAAATTTTACCTGATATCATCATCGTCTTCGAGTTGTGCCTGCGTGGAAAGTGAGAAAAGAAGAACGATCAAAAGGAACCAAGACACCAACGGATGCATTGCCGTGAGAAGTGAGCTTGGGGCAAAGGAATCCGAGGATGTCGATGAAGAGGTGAAGAGGGAAAAAGGGAAGGCGAGGGGCGGAGCCATCGATGAAGATGGCGAACAAGACAACCACTCCTTATGGGCATTCTGGAAGAAGAGAGTCTTCTCGAATTGTAGACATGTAAATAGGGATATTGCTATGTTAACACTAGCCGGATAAAGCGTTTATCAGTTTGGAGTTGAAGTTGACAAAGAAGTTTACCTAGAAATCAGGATCTAGAGGTACAACTTTCGTTTGTGCTCTGTGAGTTTATTTTCCAGCCAAACCAAGTCAGATTTTAATGCTTAATTACAGTAAGATTGTAATTCCAGGCCAAAGACAATTGAAAGCCATTGAGCTTGGTTTGGCTTGGCTTTGGCTTGGCTTGGTCTTAGCTTGGTTTTGGCTTGGCTTTGGCTTGGTTTTAGCTTGGCTTTGGCTTGGCTTTAGCTTGGCTTTGGCTTGGCTTTGCTTTAGCTTAACTTTAGCTTGGTTTTGGCTTTGCTTTGGCTTGGCTTTGGCTTTGCTTTGGCTTTGCTTTGGCTTTGCTTTGGCTTTGCTTTGGCGCGGTGCCTTGGCTCTTTGGCTTTGCTTTGGCTTGGCTTTGGCTTGGCTTTAGTTTGTCTTAGCTTTTGAATAGCCTTAGCTTTTGGAAACAAGCAGATGACAAAGATTTTCGAGCTAGTCATAGAACAAGTTTATTCCCCCTTTTTCACACCAAAAACTGCCATCATATTTCCATTTTTGGGTTTTTCGAGGGTCGACAAAAAGAAAAAAAATTGAATTCTTTGATCCATTTTGTCTCTTTTTATCCTTTCCACCAAATTTTCGCGGCCTCATCCCAATTTGTATCTCATTTTTTTTTCAAAAGAGAAAAGGAAAAGAAAAAATGACAAAAGAGAGACTAAATATATTTAAATTAATGAGGAAACTTGGGGAACTCTTAAAGAAATTCCGAAATTTGCACTCAATTGCTATTCATTCACATCAGGACAAGGAAATGAAAAGTTTTTGAGGGGCAATTTAGAGAAAAATTATCGATGCAGCTTTTGTTTGTTGGAAAAAGGGTGAAACAAGAGTTTAACTTGGTTTGAAGTTTGAAGGTCAACCAATGAATTTCAATGAAACTTTTGCTCAAAGTTTGCTTTTGTTTTATCAGAGTGCAGAAATTGTAGTTTCAAATGAAACGGAAACCATTCAATCGGTTTGGTTCAAATCGAAAACGCACAAAGCAGAATGGTATCCTGATATTTGGTAGACTCAAACAAAATGATTAGCTTTAAACGATTTCCTGACGGCGAAAACCCTTGGTTACAAGTTTACAGCTGAATTTCTTCTTTAACCTTTTCCAAAGCAAGAAAGATGTTCGAGATGTTCTTTGTGCGCGCAGACAATCGCTCCCCATCTGGCGCATTCTGCTAATACATAGGTGTTTCTCCTGCCTGAAATTTTGCTGTATTTTTGCTACAAATTCAACACCCTCTACAAAGCAAAAGATATGTTCGAGATGTTCTTTGTGCGCGCGGACAATCGCTCCCCATCTGGCGCATTCTGCTAATAGATAAGTGTTTCTCCTGACTGAATTTCGCTGTATTTTTCTTACAACTTCAACACCCCATTAAATCATTGCTCTTACTCAAAGGGTAGAGAATTTAGAGAAGAATACGAGTTGCTTGACTCCTGACTTTCGATGGAAAGGACTTGGGTATCCACTAGCTGGATTACAGTCCCACAGTCCCAAAGATGTTTTATAGATTGTTATTTCTTCATGTGTGTACACTTAAAGCTTTCACTAGGCTCAGCGAAAGACAACTAAAAAGCAATTTTTCATTTTCACCCACCAAACACGCAATCACACACTTGCAATTTACATTTTTGCTTTTCTTTTCCAAAAACCTTTTCTCGCCATTTGAGCTGAAATTGATCTGTTTCTAGGGAGGGCAATTCGAGTCTAGAATTCTAGAATTCGACTCTAGAATTCTAGAATTCAGTGAGCTAGAATTCTTCTTCATTCTTCGTCATCGAAGTGTCAAATTTCTTCAAATTTTCATTAAATGACGAATTGTATCAAGAAAATGAATAAGTTTTCATTAAAGGCCGAAGGTTTAGAGGGATTTATTAGTGGGATTTATTAATGAAATTTTGCACTCCATTCACTCTATTCGAAATGAATAGATTTCAATGACGCGATATGTATTTGTTGTTGTTTTTTTTTCGTCTCGCAACTACCGTATCCGATATTTTTAGCGAGATTAGGATTCGAAATTTTGAAATCTTTCATTATGATTTCCCGGAAACCTCGTTTATTGGATGACCGAGTAAACATTGAACGCGATTTTTTGCGGCTGAATATTGCCGCCTGGGGCATTTTTTAGTGGACAAATTATTCAGCATCGAGAGTAAGGGAATCTTTCGTTGCATTCCCGTTTACAGAAAAAAATCTAAAAAGATTGATATTTTTGAAAGTGAAAATGAATCATACGGTAGAGATTGACTGCCCCGTTAACGTCTGATCAAAGAAAATTCACAGAAAGCAACATAAACTTGAGCAATTCCTCTTTGCAATTCAGTGTGCGTTCCTCTTTGCTAGTATCTTTTCTAAAAGGTATCAACTTTCTACCGTAATCTTGTCCTGGTGGATTTTTTAACCCTTCCTAAATCAGACCAAAAGTTGATCAATTTAGAGGAAAGTGTACGGTAGTAGAACCTACGAAACCTTACTTAAGATAAGTCAAAGCCTCACTTAGGATAGCTCAAAAGCTCACTTAAGATAACACAAAGCCTCACTTAAGATAACTCAAAACCTCACTTAAGACAATTCAAAGCCTCACTTAAGATAACTGAAAGCATTCAAACTGTATTGCCAGATTATCCTGATGATTAATAAATTTTATAAATTTTGTCGATAATTTTCAGAATCTAAACCACTTTTGTGAGAGAATTTCATTCAGAAAAAGAGTTCAGAAAAGATTCAGAAAAGTTCTGAGCCACTGAATCAGAAAGGAGAAAGCGACCGGAAATGTGAATTCATAAAAATCGGATTTACAGAAGAGAAAATCCGATAACTTTGGAGAAAATTTGGAGAAAACAGTTGAGTGGATTGATGGGTGGATCTCTGTTAAATCTTTTGAGATTCACAAAGATGTTTTAGAATTGAAAACACTTAGATTTTCTTCCATCAATCCACCCTCACTTTGAGTCAATCAGCGTCGGCATTTGGGGACTTTTTCTTTAGTCGCTTTATTAAAACTAGTTTTACTTTATTTTTCCGTAATTCATTAACTTGTAAGTGGCTTTTGTTCGGTGATAGTACAACGAGGGAAAGTTTGATTTTGAACTACGTCAAATTATGATTCAATTATTGTCGTTGTATTGGATTTAAACTTAAATTTTGATAAAGTTTCTCGTAGATTTACTCAGATTTTGTTTTATTATCACATAAAGAATCATTTCTTTTTTTAATAATTTCAATAATTCATTTTAAATTCAGATTTCTACAATGTCTTTAACAAGACAATCGACAAAAAGTCTCACTCATGGCGTCGAAATCGTCTTTGGCGTTGTTTACAAGGTTCGTGTTCAAATAAAGAATTGAAAACTTTTAATTGAAAAGTTTTAGATTTTTTTCCTATCATCTCTCGTCGTTAACGTTATTCTGTGCTTTCTTTTCACCGGAATTATGTACTATTCACATTCAAGGAAACAGGTTCATTCATGTTAATCATTATCTAGATTATCTAGATAGATATAGATCTAGATAGATATAGAGCTAGATATCTAGGTATCTAGATTATCTAGATAGATCTAGATAGATATAGAGCTAGATATCTAGGTATCTAGATTATCTAGATAGATCTAGATAGATCTAGATAGATCTAGATAGATTTAGATAGATATAGATAGATATAGATCTAGATAGATATAGATCTAGATAGATCTAGATAGATATAGATCTAGATATCTAGGTATCTAGATTATCTAGATAGATCTAGATAGATCTAGATAGATATAGATCTAGATTATCTACATTATCTACATTATCTACTAACATTCTAGGCACTCCATCCCGCTTTTCTTCGATGCTCTTTTGCATTTATTGGTTTGGAAATGAAAAATATAAATCAATTTTCGTTTAGAGCTGTTTCTTTTCTATTTTGAGGTCATTGTGTTAAGTGTTTTAAAGAAAACGACAAAATTGTTCTGGCTTGGCTTACTTTTGGCGGTGAGTTGTAGTCGAGTTCGATCGATTCATTGCAAAAGTTCGATGCAAGATTTTAGTAGTTTTCGGAAGCTATTAGGCTTTCTACGATCGTAAACTAGTTTAAACACTCTTCATTTTCCAGTTCTCACGTGTCATTTTGATTATTTTCTGTTTGACGATGTTTTTATATACACATGAGACGTACACAGATTGGTTGATCATCTATGCACAAGGTGAATAACGCTTTTGCATTCAAACAAATCTAGATAAGATTTTATCGTTGATCATCGTTGATCAGTCGTTGATTATCGTTGATCATCGTTGATTAATCGTTGATCAATTGTTGATCAATTGTTGATTATCGTTGATTATCGTTGATCAATCGTTGATCAATCGTTGATCATCGTTGATCAGTCGTTGATCATCGTTGATTATCGTTGATCAATCGTTGATTATCGTTGATTATCGTTGATCATCGTTGATTATCGTTGATCATCGTTGATCATCGTTGATCAGTCGTTGATCATCGTTGATCAATCGTTAATTATCGTCGAGTATTGTTAGCCAATTCGATTTTACAATCTAGTGCCGACTGGCTGACTGGCTAAGAGCTCTGTATCTTAGTTGGGCAAGGGTTCAATCCCGCCGACTAGATTATTAATTCTTTCCATATGGGTTTCTTTTTTCTTCTCTACATTTAGAGCTTAGAGCTTGTGCTTTTGTACTACATCATTCGTGTAAATGTATTTTTTTAAACGTAGTTTATCCTCTAATCATTTCAGGTCATCAATCGATCCCCGGTTTGCTCATCATTCTTTCTATCGCCATTTTTTGTGTCGAGGTGATCGTCATAAAAAGTCGGTTTAATTTCAACGATAAAGAATGTAAGATGTAACAAAAAAAATAAAAGCTTTTAGATATCATACCCTCAAAGAGATGATCGATCCGGGGAGACAAGAAGTGGTGGGTCGCATTATTTGACAAAAACAAACAAAGAATTACATTATTTGGCTAGCTATTTGAGACTAAATTGATCTATAGACGACTACAAATTCTATCGTAATCTGATTTTGTTTATGTCTATTGTATATGTTGTGTCCGATTTAGATTTCCGTCCGATTTAGATTGAACTTATCGCGGACGTCCGATTTAGATTCAATCTAAATCTTATATAGATTGAACAATAATATAAACATGCTTAATATATGTTCTTAAGCGTTTTCTGTAGTTTTTAACTTTAATAGGATAATAGTAAGCATTTAATAGGAAAACAAGAAAACAAAAAATTCTCAAAAAAAGACAATAAAATGTAATCAATAAAAGACCTTTGAAAAATGCAGAAAACTACAGAAAACGCTTAAGAACATATATTAAGCATGTTTATATTATTGTTCAATCTATATAAGATTTAGATTGAATCTAAATCGGACGTCCGATATAGACTGTAATCTAAATCGGAGGTCCGCGATAAGTTCAATCTAAATCGGACACAACATATACATTTTTCAGAACATACGCAAAGACTCGATAAACACCTCGAATTACGATATGAAACAAGCGCTGAAAGAGATGAGACGAGCAAGGCGAAAAAAGGAAAATCAAGAGAGAAATCCGTCAACGGTTTGTGAGTGAAAAAAAAGAGAAATTTGAAATTAAATGATTCGATTAATCTTTACTTGTCGATTAATACTTTATCGACTAATCTTTACTTGTTTCATGTTTTGAAACAAACAAACATTTGAGCTTTCAGGGATCTTCCGAAGAGGAAAAAAATGAACCAAAACAATGAATCTTCTCAACAGAAAGTGTGGATTGAAAGCTTTTGAAAAATGAAAATGCAAATATTATCTTAATAAACGAATTCAAAAAGCATAGATTTATAAACAGCTAATCAAGAAAATCTCAATCAATTTGTGCTATCGAGTTTTTTCAATAAGCTGATTGAATCGTCTTATCCAAAGTAGTCTCTCAACGGCAAAAAAGGATTTTGAGGTAAATTTTGAGGTAATAGGAAACCCAAGTTTCCAAGATGATTTCAAAAAAAACATCAAAAAAGATGGAAACTTAGAAATTTGAGTTTTTAATGAATAACTCTTATCAGTGATTTAGTTTTTTAAATGCTTTTACCTTGCATATTTTAAACGAATCGCATTTTAAACGAATCGCTTCATAAAAAGAAGGAGACAAGAAGTGGTGGGGTTTGAAAGAAAAAGAAACAAAAAAATAAGCGCATTCTAGAAAATCTGAAAGTTTGAAGTTTGACTAAGAACGACTAAGAACCATAACCTAGAAGTTTTAAATACAAAATCTAGATGTTGACTGAACTGTTGACTGATCCTGTTGACTTTTCAAATCTTTACGTGTCGCAGTCTTAAAGGAATTTTTGAAAATGTCGACATTTTTTTCAAATATTTCTCAATACCATTCGATTCGAATGCTTTCTGAAACGTTCTTTCATCGAAATACGTGTGTAATCATTTCGATACCGTTATCAAGAATAAATAATTGAATGCCCATATTGAATAATTTGTTATTTTTTAAATGAATATGATTACTGTTGTTAATTTTAAATAAAGTTTACATGAATTCGTTCATATTTCATTACGATACACGGTTCTGAGTCTGTAAGTCTACCGGGCCAACGCTCTACCGGGCCAACGCTCTACCAATCAGCTCTACCAATCAGCTACACCGATACGTACACTACTGGACAATGAAATATCGTATTTGAAAAAAGATCGTCACTTTCGCGCGTCTGTAACTCCCTTGTCTTTACCGTATTTCTAAATATTAATATTATCATTGTGTAGCCCTTGAAAAAGAGCTTTCAGAAAATGTAGAACACTAATAGTTTAAACTCAAAGTCAATGGAGTTACGGACGCGCGAAAGTGACGATCGTTCTTCAAATATGATATTTCATTATCCAGTACGGTATGCCGCACCCTGTATTGCAAATTTAGCCACCTACCGTAAATACTGTAATAGTACCCCACCCCCATAATGACGGTGCGGAGTGTTGCGTAGTGTAGCTTTGAACGAGTTTTTCTCGACACTGGTTTATGCTACAATGCGCGCTTAGATATAAAAAAATAGCTGAAATTCAGGGCTATTTTTTAGTATCAAAGACGCATTTTTTGAAAGTACGGGTGCTTTGCAAAAAATAAAATACTAAAAAACTTTTGCGACTACGCGACTGTACGAGGGGGGTGGGGTACTATTACAGTATTTACGGTATTTTCTTTCAGCAATCAGTACTTTTAGAAATCGAATTTAAATTAAGTGTTCTGGAGAAATTGATTGATTTTCTTGAATTGACAATCTTTTTATTATAGAGAATAATAAATATTCAGTGAAACTGAGAAATTGAAATCATTTCCTTTTTAAGACTTTTTCATTATGCAGAACACAAAACAAAAAAAACCTAAAGTGAAGCGAAATCAATCTTTCGTTTATCAATCAATCAATGGCGCAATCTTTCGACCACGCTGAGAACGAGCCACCGAAAGTTGGTCGCGGCGAGCGAGTTGATTGTAAAAGTGCGTTTTTTTCGATAAAAGGCGTTTTAAAAAAATCGAGTCAGACGAATTTCGATAATTTCTTCACCATTCGATTCAGCACAATTTTCTGCGTCAAATGGATATTCAAACGTGAAATTCTGATAGAGAACGTTTTTTTTTTGCCTTATTTCGCGCGGATGTGCACCCTGTATTGCAAATTTAGTCACCTATTTTCTTTCAGCAAGTGAACTTTTAGAAATCGAATTTAAATTAATCTTTCTGGAGAAAATTGATTGATTTTCTTGAATTGACAATCTTTTTATTATAGAGAATAATAAATATTCAGTGAAACTGAGAAATTGAAATAATGCATTATGCAGAACAAAAAAAAAAAACCTAAACCAAAGTCAACCGAAATCCAGAAACCCGTTAAACTTTTTAGTAATCACAGACAACATTAAAATCGAATCATTTCCTTAAATCAATTTGCAGCTTCAACTTTTTGGAGTACAATCGCCGGTTGATCGAATCCGAATTGATCATTTAAATTGAATTTTTCAACGGGGAAATGTTCAGTGAATAGAGAACCCTCGGATCGATGCCAGAAAAATGCCCAAAAGACGGAAACCTAAGGATTCGATTTGATTCGATTGCTATTATAGAGAAAGATTCGATTCGATTCAATTACTATTATAGAAAAAGATTTGACTCGATTCGATTACTATTATAGAAAAAGATTCGATTGCTATTATCGAATCTGTAATCCTACCTTGCATCATCCACCGTAAACGAATCGGTCCGTAAATTCGATGCGCATTCCAGACAAGAGCATCGTCACTTCAAAAAGTTTGCCTTTCATTTTCATGTTTCCAAAATTCAACAGAAATTCCCCTCACCAACAGGAAATCCGAGAATGATGACCCCGTTGTCTTTCAATAAACATCGAACTTTGGCCATTTCTCTTAAATCTCCCCATGGATCGAGTGGATCACCGTATCTGGAAACTTGAATAAAATTCGAGTTTGGAAATGGAACTGATTCTTTGGTTCCATTTCCAAAAATGGAACTGATTCTTTAAAATGAGATCGTTAATCTTGATCTCATCTTTTTTTACAATCTCTCAACCCAACCAACCTTCCTAGCCCACTGTGTTCAAGTGAAGAGAAGCTGATGATGAAATCGAAGAAACGGTCGAATCTGAATTTGTCAAAGTTGAAAGTTTTGAGTACCAGTTAGGATAAGATTTTCGATATTTACGCGAAAAAAAAACACTATAGACTTGTGAAAACAAGAGGCTAATCAATTTCTCAATCAAATCAATAATACCCTCCTCAACCCCATTGTTTATCTGATTTCCTTTCTCTAACCTTGTCCAATTCTTTCCCACTTCAAATGGATGAATCCAGCTGATCGCTTTTTCAGACTAAAATTGAAATTTTGAGAATAAAATTTGCTTCTTTAACTTTAATCTTGATCTCTTGATATTCCATTGTTAGAATCGAAGCGGCACCGGCTCGAAGAGAAAAGATTTCAGCCTAGAGTATGTAACTGTATGCAATGTAACTGTAATATAACTGTAATGTAATACAACTGTAATGTAATATAACTGTAATGTAATGCAACTGTAACTGTAATGTAACTGTAATGTAATGTAACTGTATGTAATGTAACTGTAACTGTAATGTAACTGTAATGTAATACAACTGTAACTGTATGTAATGTAACTGTATGTAATACGACTGATGTAATGTAACTGTAATGTAACTGTAATGTAATACAACTGTAATGTAATGCAACTGTAACTGTAATGCAACTGTATGTAATGTAACTGTAACTGTAATGTAACTGTAATGTAATACAACTGTAACTGTATGTAATGTAACTGTAATGTAACTGTAATGTAATACAACTGTAATGTAATGTAACTGTATGTAATGTAACTGTAAATCTCAAATCTTCATAATTAACTAGAAATAAGCTTTGGCTTGTTTATAAAGTAAGAAATCAATCATAAAATAAACCCATGGATTTTGCGATCCAATAACAGCTCCATTTTTTCCTTTAAAATGATCTTTATAACGAGAAATTGCATCAATGACGGTTTCTGAAAAGGAAAAGCTCTATAAAAAAAAGCTTATTCAACTTTCGTTCTTTAGTTTCTTATTTCTTTTTTAAAATCTTTACGTGTTGTAGTCCCATATGTGGACTTTTTGAAAATGTTGACTCCTTCTTTCAAATTCTCATCAATATCATTCCATTCGGTTGCTTTTGGCACTGATCTTTCATCAAAATACCTACAAACAAATAATCAAATAATTATTTTATAAGAATTACCATTTTGATATAGGTATTCGTCCAAATAATGTATACTCATTCCAAAGATTTTCTGGTACTTTCTCTGGCGCTTTATCGATTGGTGTCTGATTTGTGGTGAGCATCCATTTGTTGAAAATCTTTTGTGAAATGGATTTATTGGGTTGGTGAATTGAAAACTGCCGGCTATTGTCATATGTGACAGTTTGAGCACTTTCTTCAAAAGAAACCCATTTTGGTGTCAATGGAAAAGTTGTAGAGAATCAAAAATCAAGCTTATATCCAAATTTTCAGTACGATTCAAAAACTGGTTTTCAAGAAATGCCAAATTTACAAATTTTCACAAAACTTGCATTTTAAGCGAAACTACTCAGTGTATCTTTTTGGAAATTTGGCTATAAGCCTCATTTTTGATTCTCTACAACTTTTCCATTGACACCAAAATGGATTTCTTTTGAAGAAAGTGCTCAAACTGGGACATCTCCAGTCCTCCATTTTTGAGTCTCACACTTGTCTCACACACAAACCAAAATCCTACCACGAAAGAGGAATCCGCAAATTGCCTGTAAAATGAGCACAAGTCGTCAATAATAATGAAAATTATTTGGAATGAATTTATGGTTTTATGTTGAATAAATCTTAGTTCAAAGTCCCGCAGTTTTCAATTCACCAACCCAATATATTCTTTTTATCTATTTATAAGAATAATCAATGATCTGAATAAATTTTGTGCCTGATGTTGCAAAACTGACTCGCTTTAAAATAAATAGCCTTGTTTGGGAACTTTGGGCGCATTCCCCATAGAGTCCAGACCTCGCCCCTTTTGATTACTATTTATTCCGGATTATGAGTAATGGGCTTGCGGGAGAACACTTGGATGCGGAAGAAGCAGTCAGAAATTGGCTTTGAAAGTTTTTCGATTCAAAACCAAAACCCTACCACGAAAGAGGAGTCCGCAAATTGCCTGTAAAATGGGCAGAAGTCGTCAATAATAAATGGAGATTATTTGGAATGAATTCATGGTTTTATGTTGAATAAATTTTAGTTCAAAGTCCGGCAGTTTTCAACTCACCAACCCAATAGATGAACTACAACTACAATAGATAAACCACAACTACAAGACTCACCTCATCACACGTTTCTCCAACAATTTTTCCTCTCGCTTTTATTTCTTCTTTTGATGAAATTCTAATTTTTAAGAATGATGGCTTCGGTTTCTCGGCAGGACTTGGCTCGAAAACTTTGACGATTTTTGGTTCTGGGGGATCAGGAGATTTTCTAGAATTTATTTTTGGCTACATTCTGGTATTGATTTAAAACTTATATCACTTTCTGTGTGGCCATTTTCATCTCATTGTGATTTCTCCGTAACATCACCATCAAACAAGAGAAAGCGACAAGAAAAAGTAGGGTTAAGAATGCCGTTTTTAACTCCATTCTGAAAAAATTTCATAAGGAAAAAGGGGAAATGGGATAAAAAATCAAATCAAATAAGACTGCAAATTATTAGATTTTTCAAAAAAAGGATTAAGCTTATATTCTGGAATCGATTGGGTTTATAAATGGAATTGTGACACAAAAACAATTGTGCGTGTGCGATTCACTTCACTTGGAATGGAAGGGTAAACAGTTGTGCGTGTCTACTTTAAGAAAATGACTCAAATTTTCTTTTACTTAAGATATAAATAATATGATAAATGAAAGGTTAGAAAGGAATTTTAAAAAATGTTAAAAGAATGGTTGAAAGGGCAAAAAAAAAGGGTGTAGAAATGTAGAAAGTCGTTTAGAAAAGAATTGATGAATGCTCAAGATGCATCCGGGCAACGGGCAAAGGATAGGTGAAAAGAAAATGAGAAAAACGATGAGAATTGTCTGACAAAATTTGTACAATATTGTGTGATTGGTTTTAACAATTCGATTAGACTTCTTTTAGTGTATGTGTCACTTTTTTTTTGATTTGATTGAGCTAAATCTTTGAGTTAAAAAGGGATAAATGGCGACTCATCGTTAAAAGACAATGTTTTTGTTGTTTTTGCTTGTTTCTCAGAAATGGCTGAGCTAAAATTTCGAGAAATTTATGAGAATATGCAAATTTATCTTCTCTACCAGAATCTAATTTGAAAATTCGACTCAAAATACTCTTGAGCTAGTTGAATTACCCAAGTGACAGTGCTCAGTTGCTAGACTAGATCGAGATCACCACGAATGGAAATGGCCAGCCAAGGCACCTTTGTGGGCGAACGCCTATTGTGCGAGATTTAATATGCGTCGCTATCCGTTCAACTCCATTGTGTGCAAGACGAGACCAACGCCTGCTAGACGAGTTCTGTATAAAAGCAATGTGAGCGAGCTGAAAGCTGTGAACGAGCCGAGGTGTGCCGTGGAGTCGTCTCTACTCTCCCAATCCCAAACCACTGAACCAACTATTATTGCTGTAATAAAGATTATATCTAAACCACCAATAATCACTACAGGGTATAAACTTTAAAGCTAGAGAGCTGGCTCAAGTCTGATTGTGATTAATTGATTGTGATCAAAATTGATTGTGATTAATTGATTGTGATCAAAATTGTGATCAATAAAGTTGTTCGTAAAACAAATGCCAATGAAATGTTCAACTCTAGAAATCGATTTAAAAACCGATAATCAATATGTAGAAGTTTACAATTGAAATGAGCAAAATGCAGGAGAATTGTGTTTGCATGGCGATGGGATTATTCTTGTTTTTTAATGAGTTTTTACGATCTTTATTAAAGATGAACGATGCAAGAAGAAAAGAATTCGGCTCGTTAAAATAACTATTGTATTCTCTCTAATAGTAGTGCACCCAGCCAAGCCGGTTTCGAAGTTTTCGCAAAAAGCTCAACCCTCTAATCCCCCCGCAAGATCTCATCGTCAGCTACATTTTCCGATCCCACATCGATAGGTTCTGATAAGCGGTTCTCGAGATTTCGAGGAATTTAGGCAAAGCTTAGGGTGCACTAGTATTAGAGAGAATACGGTATATAATTTTTTCATTTCCATTTCCATTGCTCACTCAATTTGTTTTCATGTAATTAAGTGTTGTCGTAGGTTTAGATCTGTTTGTAATTGGAAAAGAAAAGAAATGGAATTGAATGGAATGGAATGGAAGAGTGTTTTTATGTGATAAATCGGTTTTGATCCAGTGGAACAGTCGTTCAAGATCTGGGGAAAAAGAGGACAAAAGGGTGCGTTTAAGAATTTGAAACGCACTGTATTAAAGAAAATACGGTATATTATTCCAGGTTAGGCTAGTAGATCAGACTCATCTATTTCCCTAATATTTCCCGGTGAGCCGAGTTGATGACGATTTTACAGTTGATGACGACGTTTCCACCTTTATTCTCCTTTGCTTCTTTGCTCGCCTTTTTGTTGAACGATTTGAGTGAGAAACTAAAAGCTAAAGAACTAAAGCTTTACTACTTCTTTTTGTTTTCTTGAATCCTCCTTTTTTCAAGAGAATCAAGAAAGTTGAAAACAAATATCAATACAAACTTATTTATAGTACATTTGTAAATGAAAATTTGCATTTGAACTAAGTGTTTCATCGAAATCTCTTTGTTTTCTCTTTTTTTTACTTCCAGTCATTTCTGTTATAGTTTGTTTTTGGTTAAGACGTTAGCTAAAGCTATTTTTAAGGGTTTGAATTGCTGAACTGTTCACTGCTCACTCTTGTTTTATTAGCTTTTCTGATTAGAGTTACAACTTTGTTCAAATTTTTCAAAATTTTAACGATTACGTTTATTAATTCCTTGAATAGCAAAGCGAATGGATGGATTTCAAGAAAGATTTACAACAAATCAAGTTTAATGACATCAAATCTTTGAAATCAAATCTTTAACAACAAATCTTTGACATCAAATCTTTAACATCAAATCTTTGAAATCAAATCTTTAATATCAAATCTTTAACATCAAATCTTTAGCATCAAACCTTTGAAATCAAATCTTTAATATCAAATCTTTGACATCAAATCTTTAGCATCAAATCCTTAACATCAAATCCTTAACATCAAATCTTTAACATCAAATCTTTGAAATCAAACTTTGAATCAAATCTTTGGAATCAAATCTTTAATATCAAATCTTTGACATCAAATCTTTAGCATCAAATCCTTAACATCAAATCCTTAACATCAAATCTTTAACATCAAATTTTTAGCATCAAATCTTTGACATCAAATCTTTGAAATCAAATCTTTAACAACAAATCTTTGACATCAAATCTTTAACATCAAATCTTTGAAATCAAATCCTTGAAATCAAATCTTTGGAATCAAATCTTTAACATCAAATCTTACTGTACAGCATTTCAAATTTTCATATTTAATCATGCGCAAAAAACATTTATGACAATCAAGACAATGCTCGTTAAAACAGTTTTTTTTTGCCATTTGCCTCCTCTCAAAAGCCACCCCCAAAATCACCGCCACCACCGCCGAAATCCCCGCCGCCAAAGTCATAACCACCTAAAATTTTAAAAATTATGTAGCGAAGAATTGTTGAATTTATTAGTAACAATCAAAATCAACGATAACTATTATATTCAGCTGATAAACTTTCTAAACCTCCGCCAAAATCACCGCCTCCACCGTAATCATATCCACCACCATCTCCATAATTCCCACCACCGTAATCCCCTCCGCCTATAAAGTGTAAAGTGGTTTGTATTTTGAAATCTCAAATCGCCTACCGTAACCTCCATTGTCGTAGCCACCATAATCGCCTGAAAAGAAAAAGAGTGCACATTAGAATCTGGGTTCCAAACCTTGATCATAACCACCTCCATTTTCGTAGCCACCATAATCGCCTGAAAAGAAAAAGAGTGCAAATTAGAATCTGGCTTTCAAACCTTGATCATAACCACCATCATTGTCGTAGTTTTCACCGTCGGCCCCGGCCTAAATATCGGCCTTTCCTCCCACTTTCTTGTCTCACAATACTTTAGAAAAGTATAAAGTATTCAAACAATAAGCCTACACTTTTCCCATTTGTACCTGAGTGTCTCCTCCGGCTGCTGCTTCTCCTCCGTCAACCGGGCCCGCACCCGCAGCAGCATCTCCTCCCGCCGGTTGTTGCCCGTTCGGATCGTTTCCCTCATAGTAATTGTTGACTGTCGTAGTGTCGTTATTCTGCAGAAATTCGTTTATGCACCTTGATCATTTCATCCTCTCACCGAATAATATCCACCGCCAAAACCACCCATCGGCCCATAGAAGCCCATTGGACCACCCCAAAAACTGCCCATGCCTGAAAAGATGGGTAAAGCTTTTGAAATTCTCGAAAAGTCGAAATTTTACCATATCCAACCATTGACCCAAGCAATAACCCGGTGAGCATTCGATCATCACCACCTCCGTATCCTCCTCCAAAACCCGGTTGTTGCACAATTACTAGAGGAATTTTTGATCTTGTATAAGTTGATCAACTTACCAACAACTCATAAATAGCTACCCTAACCATTACAGTATTACTATTACATTACAGTTTATCTGTTACCTGTAGACCCGACAGGTTGTGGAAAATAGCCTCCATTGCCTGGTTGATAGTTTCCACTAAAGTTCAAAAGTTTGTGTTCTGCTCAAGAATAGCTTACTTGACTGATGGATAGGCAGGCGGTGGACCTGATTTACCATCTAAGCATGATGCAATTGTAAACAAAAAGAATATTGTAAATATACTCACTATTTATTTGTTGCTGTCTTGGAAAATCGGGATTATTTCCGGGTTGTTGGTGTGGTGCTTCGGATGGTGGAGGAGGTTGTTGTGGCGGTGGAGGTAGGGTTTTTCCGATTTCCACAAACCAGGATCTGAACTTGGAATGGAAATGATGAACATTCTTGTTTCAACGTTTACTCGATATCACTCGCCGTCTTGAACAACAGCCAATAGACTTTAGAAGCATTCTGATCTATTCCAATTCCGACAAGCAAATGCCTTGACGCGTCTTTCGGAAGGTCCGGCTTTTTGCCTAAACTTTGAGTTAAAGAAATTAATAATAATAACAAAAAGAAAACGATTCAAATCAAACCCGGCATTTTATCCGTCATCAAACCGACACAAATGTATTGAACAACATTTCTGAGAAGGATTGTGCCGATCGGAGAATGAGAGTCCTGAAATTTAGGTCTCATTTGAATCATTGGAACTGTTAAAACCTGTTAAAACCTGTTAAAACCTGTTAAAACCTGTTAAAACCCAAATTCTATTTGTAAACGATAGAATACTCACTTTATCTTTGAACCATGTCAATCGAGAGTCATTGTAGAGCACAAAATGTCTCTCATTCCAATCCCCTCCACAGCAACTTTTCTCGTAGATCTGGATGGATCCCTCTTTTTGTTTGCAGGAGTTTACATCTAAAGCTTTTAATGATACTCAATGATTAAATGATTGACGACAAAAAATGAACAGTCTAACATTTCCAATCGCCATCTAGTTATATCAAAATTAAATCGCTGGTCGGCTTAGGAACTTCGACTTAGATATTCGCAAAGTTTTTGAAAAAAGTGAACGAGTGCTGTATAGAATTGTGAAGTGTTCAACAAGTCACCAACCTATTTTCCCTTTTGTCATTGCTGGATGGGCAACAAATGATATGAATTACGGCTTGGTGTACTAGCTGTTTTTCATTGAAATCACAAAATGTACTCGGTTCTAATGATTTGAGATTTGTTTCATTGTTACTCGTGTCCATTTTTATGCCTGTTGCCTGGGGTTACCCTCTGATTTTGAGGGTTTTTTGGGGAGTCAAGAGAAAAGAAAAACTCGTAATTAGCTTGAAAGTTTTATCTTTGTTTTTATGAACGTTTTGAAATTGCGAAAGATTAGGAAATGGGTTATTTTGGGGGAACACTAAAAAGATTAGTTTTCGCGTTTCCGCGTTGACTAAAAATATTAGTTTCCGCGTTGCCGGGTACAGCGTCAAAGGCTTGAGTTTTCTTGGGTTAAAACAATGACAGAAAAATAAGAAAAATGAGTGTAAAGCTCTAGAATTTCGTAATATATAAAGATGTTTTTCTAAAAGACAACCATTTTCGAAAACTATCGTAATCAAATCGTTAGCTCTGATTACGATAGTTTTACAAATCGTTAGCTCTTCAAACAGCCAAATTCTGGTATCATTTGATGGGGGAATTCGATAGACAATGAGATCAAAAAGCCAATGAGATCAATGGCTTTATTCAATGTAAACTAAAAGTTTGTTTACGATAGCTTTAGTGTAAATGAGTTTGATTAACATTAAAGCCAAAAAATCAAGTACTAGTTGGGATTTTAAATTCTGAAAACCACAAAGGCTTACGAAAATATACTAGGACAAGAAAAACGTAAACCTCAAAGAATAAATTTAGGTCAGTTAATGTTACCGTAACTAAAGCTCAAACTATTGTACTGTTTCGATATTTCTCTGAATTGTTGCCTTCAATAAACTCTTCAATTTGAACTTATAACCGACAATTTTCAAAAGAAAAACTCTAGATCTTTGCACAAGATTGTCACCGATGAACTTTACATATTGTTTCGCCAAAAAAAAAGTTAATGAACAAGTTGCGAAGCCGGTTTTTTTTTTGCTTCAACTCTTTTGTTTGAGAGTGATTCGAATAAGTGAAAAGAGTCTCGATAATTTGTGTCTTTCATTAGTTAGTTCATTCATTAGTCACACCATTCTCAATCACAATCAAACCACATTAAATCTATCACAAATCATTCGACGTGTTGCTTTTTATGTTTTATGAGAGTTATGGGTTGTTAACACGTCTTACAAGAAAAACGTAAACCTCTGAGAAAAGCTTTAGGTCAATGAATGTTACCGTAACTAAAGCTCAAACTATTGTACTGTTTAGATATTTCTCTGAATTGTTGTCTTCAATAAACTCTTCAATTTGAACTTATAACCGAAAATTTTCAAAAGAAAAACTCTAGATCTTTGCACAAGATTGTCACCGATGAACTTTACATATTGTTTCGCCAAAAAAATGGGGTTGTTAACACGTCTTACAAGAAAAACGTAAACCTCTGAGAAAAGCTTTAGGTCAATGAATGTTACCGTAACTAAAGCTCAAACTATTCGACGGTACTTTTGGTTACTATAACAACTTTTAACTGGATTACAATAGCCGAGTCGGGCTCTCAAAAAGCTTAAAAGTGAAAGAAAAGTGATATATTTTGACAAATGATCGTAGTACACAAGATCACACAGTTAGCAAAGACTTTTCTACGCCAATAACACCGGGCTTTAAATTTACCTTGAGTATTTCAACAAAGAAACAATATTGGAGCTGATCTTTGCGCGTAGACATTGTCAAAAAAAAAATCGGCTTTCTTATGCTTTGCACAGTTTCACTTGTCACTTTTCTGTTCATATCACGACTTTCATTCAACTTTCTGCTTATGAATTCAATTTCACTTCCCCAAGGGATGCAATTTTTTCACTTCCCTTGATCTTACCAAAGATTGACCTTCCTCATTGTGAGTGGGTGATGTAGACATCGTCTTGATATGGGGATAGCTTTTCCCTCAATTGAATTGAATGAGAGGAAGAAAGGCATGAAAATGAATGGAGAGAAAGACAGAAAAACGGTTTTTGGTTGAATGCCATCGAGGGAAAAGGAAAAAGAATAATGGGGTAAAGGTTTTTTTTCGAAAACCCTTCTTGTTTGAGGGGGTGAACTGTGCCTTAAAAGTGGCAAGGGAACGCCTCGTGGATGATTTGAGTCTTTTACTTTCACAAGTTCACTTTAAAATGTTTCTCATTGTAACTTGTTGATAGGTGGTCTTGTTCTCAAACATTAAACTGTGCAAACATCGGCTTTCTTATGATTTGCACAGTTTCACTGATTGTTAGCTGATTGTTTTGGAAAGCAATTTTTGATTTATCTATCTGAAATTAAGATTAGTTATCTAAAAATAGATCTTGGGTTTAGGGAATGATTTTTTTTGAGAATGATTTGAACTATGATCTCTAATCTCTAATCAAATATGTTATTATTATTATTTAAATTCAAAAGAAGCTTCGGTTTTTAAGATCAATGATCTAAATATTCTAAATATTCTAAATAATTCATTCTAACCAATCCTTTTTGATCATTTGAAAGCCATTTAAAACCACAAAATTTTAAAGTAACAATCTTTCTCATTCCCAATAATCAAATCCATTTCCTCAGCTTTTTTTCCATTTCATCGGCAACTTATGTAAATCTTAGAAAGCAAATTAGTGTGTGAAAGGAGAAAAGGGAAAGTTGAGTGACCGTTGCAAGCGGGAAACGACGGTGCCATTGTCATTGTCAGTCTGAAGAAAAGGAAAAGGAAACAGAGGAAACAGAGCTTCTCCATTAACTCTCAATTTAGCCTTCACTCCAATTTGAGAATTAAAAAAAAGAAAGAAAGGAAAAAGAAAAAGCACTTTCCTTTTTTGTGCCTCAAAATGGATGTCTCCTTTTCTCTTTCTCTCACTTTTTTTTTTCAACTTTTCTCAATTTTTGGATGAGAGTTCTAAGGGCATTTCTCCATTCATTGTTCTCCTTTCTTTCTTTTTTTTTCATCTTTTGAAGAATAATTTTCTCTTCTTTTTCTCAGCGAATTTTCATTTTTAAACTCATGTCAACTCTCATTTGAAATAAAGTCTTTTTGAGTGAGGGTTTTCTAATTGAGAGATCGGTTATTAGACTCTAATTTTTACAAGTTTTGGTAGGTGTTTGCTACTTTTGAATACTGTTATTGGTATTAGATACGTTTAGTATATAATACAAATAACGGTTAGTACCTAATACAAATAACGGTTAGTATCTAATACCAATAACGGATAGTATCTAATACCAATACTAAATGTATCTAATACTAAACGTATCTAATACTAAACGTCTCTAATACTAAACGTCTCTAATACTAAACGTATCTAATACTAAACGTCTCTAATACTAAACGTCTCTAATACTAAACGTCTCTAATACTAAACGTCTCTAATACTAAACGTCTCTAATACTAAACGTATCTAATACCCTAGTGCATATCGTATTGTACAATTAGTACTTACAATTAGTATACGATATTGCAGGGCTCAGTTACTTTACCTATAGTACCCTAGTCTGATATCAAACGTCTTTATATGCCTTATTAGCCCTTGGATCCCAAAGTAATTATATTAGCTCTGTAGTATACTTGTAAGCTTTTTGTATTGGCAAATTCGATTCTAAAGTTCTTATATAGCACTTCATTATGGAGTACTCCAACATTCTGAAGCTTCTACATCCTAGAATTCTAGTATTTTCAAGGCGCTAGACTTGCTAGACACTTGCTAGACTTGTACAAAATTAATCCAGACTTGAGTAGGATCCAGTATAGAATAAAACTTGTAGAATAAAACACCTTACAATAACTATTTTGAAGACTTAATAGCTTAATCCAACTACACAAAGCAAAAGTGCTTTTTCTATCAAGCGTTCCCCACTCTGAATAGGTCAGGTTGAACTTCTTCTTTTTGCATGCCATTCGATTCTATCATATTAATTTTTTTTGTAAGTGTTCGAATTGCTTTTTCCATTGAAGAGTTTTTGCCGGCAAGAGCAAGAATTTCCTTTTTTGTCGCCTTTCTCCAATTCCGATTCGGTTTTTCCCTTTTCTCATTTCAAGGGACAACCCCTTCATCGTCGATCTACACAAGGAGGTTGTCAGCAAAATGCCAACAAAATGCCAGCTTCATCTTCGTTTCACATTTCGATTTTTTTTCTTTCGACTTTTTCAAACGATTCATTTACAATGCATTTCACTTGAGTTGTTGTTTGGTTGTACTTTGGATAGATGTTCTTGAATATTTGTGGTCCATAGACCATGTTCATAGGTCTTGAATATTTATGGTCTATGATCTTGAATATTTATCAATCTCTTTATGAATGCTAATATCCTTCATAACAAGTTTAAATAGCAATTTTAAAAACCATAAGTTGACATTTGTAAACTCACAAACTCACTCACATTAAGATATTAGCATGTCTTAATACAGTATCCTGGCACAGATTAGACTGTGTTTCATTCAAATACTACAATCAAAGCTGAAGGCACTTACGATTAGTCTTAAATATATATTTATTGGAGTTGATCCCTAGATCCGGATTTAGCTTCAATAAATATATATTTAAGACATGAGTATACTGTAAAATATACTGTAGAAATGAGACTGAGATCATGTAGTATAAGTTGAAAGTTTAAACCATTTCACTTGAAAGTTTAAACCCGTTGAAAGTTTAAACCATTAAACCCGGCTGAAAGTTTAAACCATTTCACTTACAATAATGTCAATAGTTTAGTGGATAAGCTACCTTTAAAAAGTGGAATCCTATAGTATGCGGGCAAAAAAAAGTTGAGTGTGACTCGAGTTGAAAGCTTTCAAAGATTAGGACATTGATCTCCTGGAGTCAGAAAAGAGACAAAGGGGGTTGAAGGGGAAAAGAATTCGAATTGAAAAAAGAAAACTAGTTGGTATTCTCTTTTTGATTTAGTTCTTTTTTCTCTCTTTTCTTTTCTTCTTCAAGAATAAACCTTTGAAACTCGTTGGCAGAGTTTGAAGGGGGAAAGGAGAGAAAAAAAATGAGAGAGAAAACAACCACCTAGCATAACTTTTGCTCTTGATCAGTTTTGTTGATTTTGTTTGATTTCTTTGATTGAATATTTGAATACTAAAGTTGTAGAAGTTGTTTTATGAGATTAACGATTAACGATTAACGAGTTAAGAGTGATGGTAAAGTCCCAGTCTCATGTCACACAACAGCGTTGAATCAAAATCTTTTACCAATCCATTGTGTTTTCAATTTTCAAAGCTTTCAAAGCTTTTCAAAGCTCTTCCTGTAATCCCTTGTAATATTCAACTCATTTTTTCTGAACTATCAAATATTTCGTTAATCTACACACTCAACTTTATGGTTTATTTTTTTCAGAAAAATGTTCCTCCGATTGACAGCCGCCGTTGCCCTCATTTCATTGGTGTTCGCTCAGGACAATTGCTTCATCAATGACTCCGGTGAGAAATAGAAAAAGAAACAAAAGTAACAAACAAAAAATAACAATAGTTGTATTATTACAGGCTTCACATAAAATTATTACAGGCTTCACATGCTGCGACAAGGGCCTCGAGAGTGCCATGTTGGGCTCTATGGGAGGTCAGCTATTTTGAGAATCTTTGACTTTTGACTTTGAAACTCGCAGAAGGGATCACAAAAATCTGAAGATTAAGATCAATTATTTGACATTTGACAATCATTTCATTTATCACTTCAAACCATTTTAGGCGGCGATCTTTTGGGCGCGGCCGACAGCATTCAGTCAGCTGCTGAAGGCGGTTTGGGAGGAAAATTCGAGACAGTCGTCGCTTTGGACGATTTCGCATACAAATCACATTTCAAGGTAACGAAAAGGATGGAATGGAAAGTTATTAAGAGGGGGTTTTCGTTGGAAATCGAAGCCGAATCGCGTTGTGATATTCTTACTGTAATTGCACTTGCCCACTTTGGAGCTGAATCTAGAAACTATTGAATCTCCAGTAAGATACTGTGATGACACAGACGAAGACACAGATGAATTTTCTTTTTTTTTCTGATTGAATCAATTTCTGAAAGCAGATTGCCAGTGCCAGTAAAAATTGCAGAATTGAAATTTACAATCTTTTTTATTGATACCTTTACCCATACTGGAGAGTCGAATACCGAATTTCTGTTAAGAAAATGGGTTCTTCAACTTTGAACGCCGAAAAAATTTTTTATAAAAAGGGCTAATTAAAAACAAACTAATTGGCTAAAAACTAGATTAAATTTGTCGTAAAATCTCTATTGGGAGCAATTCATTCGAGAGTCGTTTAAATGAACAAAATCTTGCTTCTTGAGGTGAAGTCGAAAATATGGTCAATTTTAATGCCTTAATCAAGTAACTTTTCGATTGGTAGCTTTATTGTATATTATAAAAATAGAGTTTAACATAAAATTTCTTGTTAATTTCTAACTTAATTACTAAAAAAAAGTTGACCTGGATAATTAAAAATAAAAATTTCGCTTCGCAAGTCTCTAGCTCTATAATGGATAACAGTAAGTTACAAATTTCAAATTTTCAAGGAACTTAGCCATTGAATGAAACCATTTTCAAGTTAAATAAACAAATTTCAGGAGGGGAAAACGTGCAAGGTCGAGAAGAACGGACAGTACGCTCTCGCTTGGCAACCATAGAGAAATGAAACGAAAAGAAAAGAAAAATTTTTCCATTTTCACTGATCGATTCCTTGTCTTTCATTTACACAAGTAGTTGTTTAGGAGATTCTTTTTATCGTAGGCCATATACATCACTTTTCTTTCGCGAAATTCACTTACCCTATGTGTGAATACGGTGTTTGTACATTTTTGAAATATTCAAATTTAAGTTCACGGAAGCTAGTTTTGTATTTATTTTTCGAAAATAAATTCCCGGAAAAGCATTTGTTTTTTTTTGGAGCTATCTGTATAAAGTTTGAGAAAATAAACGATTTGTGAAGCTACAACAAGGCATTTTTCGATTACTGTAGCAGTTTATTAGCACAAAAACGTTTTCTCACAAGTAAAACTTTCGACTTTTACAATTTTATGGAGTTTTTGTAAGATAATCCGCGCGCTGAATCTACTGGCAACACTTTTAACCTTGTCCGCAAATTTGTAGGCCAATTTTGGGAACATTTTTGGTCTTTAGATCTCACGGCGTGTAACATAACTAGCTAACTAGAAAAAAACTATAAAAATGGTGCTTAAAATAGTAGAAACACAAAATAAAACAAGAACAAGGAGATTTTCAAACAAAGCAGGAAAAATTTGCACTGATGTCGAAAATGTCAAAAAGCGCGCTCTATTCGGTGGCAAATCGACAGTATCCATCGTGCAGAGTATTTTCGGGGAAAAATCATTTTCCCCTTTTCCAAACTTTTCATTTTATTTTTCTCGTGTGTAGGAAAGTTTTATATTGCTTCTTTTTAGCTTTGCGGTCTGAATTAGTTACTTTTGAAAATTTTCTACTACCTGAAGTCTATTTTTTTTTACGAAAAACCCTTTGCGCTATATTTTGAAAGGAACAAATTGCTCCTTCAAAGCCTTTATTATGGCAATAGGTTCATTTGCAGCTGTTTTGCAGCAGCGGTACCTTTAGTTTGCACTAGCCAAGTAAAATACGATTGCTAACTTCAAATTAAACAGACCCCACCTTTCGAGACTAAAAGTCAAATGATAAAATTTTTGTTTATCACACCTTTTCTTGATACTGTTTATTTGGTTGACTAACTTTTTTATTTCAGGTAGTTTACTGGGACGATGCCGCGTCAAATCTTCGAAATCAAGGACTTCCTCCTCAAGGCGAGAAGCAAGGATGCCAAATCGGTCAAAATCAAGAAGAATGCTGACAATGTCAAATTCAAAGTGCGATGCAGCCGATTCCTCTACACTTTGGTGATCAAGGTGAGATTATTTTTTAAACGTAAAGCCCTTTCAAAAGTTTTATAACTAGGTTTGGGTCGGTTTGTCAAGTAAAACCTTTAATAACTTGTAGCTTTTGTGAACCACAATTGTTTTGAATTGTAGGTAACTAAACTTGCATCGGTTTATCAAGTAAAGTATTTCATGATTTTGGGTCTTTGTGGACATGATTGTTTTAATGTCTATAACCAGATTTGGATCGGTTATCAGACAAAGCCTTCAGTAGTTTGGGGCTTTGTGAGACACATCATTTCGATACTAGATTGTTTAAAGCTGCTAATATGGCGTCAAAATGTAGATACCTGTTTAGGCTCTGTTAAACAAGACATAATTATTGTTAGTGTTTACAACTGTACTAATTTTTTATTTTAGGACAAACTGAAGGCCGAAAAGCTGAAGCAAAGTCTTCCACCAGGCATCCAAGTGAAAGAGTTGAAGTAAACGTTGTTTTGTTATTTTTGTGAAGTAAATTTATTAACGACACCAATGGCATTTTAAAATGATCCATCCAGCGGATTGTTTTGGACTACAGTCTAACCAAGAACATAAACTGAATCATAGATATGCGGACATCAAAGTTTGGTACTAATAAACTTCGGCGGGGAAGGGGGCACTTTGACTATCTTGTTCTCAGATTCTATTGTTGACTGTTTTACAAAAGTGGTTTTACTTTTTCTCGGGTAATCAAACATACTGAATCTATCGCTAACATTTTTAGGATGTTTTTAACAATTTTTTTTGATATTTTGTTGAGCTGCTGGAGTTTAACCTCTGCAGTGTTACTAAGCTTTAAATGAAGAGAGGGGCAAAATACAAAGTGAAAACTTATTCAAAACACTAAAAATATCGCCAATCGATTAAGCTTATTTGATTACCCCAGAAAATGCAAAGCCAGACTTTTAAAACACGCGGAAAGTGGGGCCTGACCAAGTCGGGCTGAAGTGCCCCCCGCCCGAGGTTTATTAGTATCTCTTGTTATGCGAATACGGTTAAACGTGTCTAGAAATGACACGAGTTTTAGTCAGACAAATTGACCGGCAATCTAGTGATTTAAAGAATAGCAGCTCTTACTTGGGGTTAGCTTACCGAAGTATTGTTTGTTTTTGTCTCTTGTTTTTAAGCTTCACATTTCGTTTGCTACTAAAAGCCTATGTGTTGACCTAAAAAATAACCTAAAAGTTGTTGACGCTACCCTGTAAACGTTGTTACAAGTTTCTAACAGATCTCTTCTAGTAGGATAGGCACATATTGCACACAATTTATTGGTTTTCAAAAAAAATGGCGCTTTATGTGTCATTTGAAGTGGGCGACGCTGAGATGAGAAGTGATCTTCTTCGATACTTCTTAGGATGTGGTGGCTTCTTCTCGTTTTCCTCTTCTTCGTCGTCCTGCTCTTCTTCCTCTTCCTCTTCACGCTGAAACAAAATAAAATAGCAAAGAGGTGAAAACGATTTTAAAATAGTGTTAGATATTAAAAGTAAAAGAGTTAAAAGAAACCTTTTTTGTAGACGAGATTAACAACGGGTCCCTCTTCCTCTGGCTGTCCACCGGCTCCTGGTAGTCCATCTGGAGGAAGAGCGCCGACGGGAGGTCCTGATGGTCTCTTCTGCCCCCTAAGGATCTTGGCGAGTTGGGCCTTGTCGAGGACGAGCTCCGGTTGAGTGGGCATCTCGGGTCCTTCTCGTTGAAGCCGGCGGACTTGATCTTGATTCCCTTCTTGTAGACACCCTGAGTCGAAAGGGACTAAATAAAAAAAAAATTAGTGTGGACAAGAAAGACAAAATAATAAGCTATCCAAGTAAAAAAACGTACCTGTTTGGTGCCCGGGTTTTTCCAGATAATCTTTGGGTCATTGTTGGTCGTTCCCTCAGGTGGCACAGAGTATACGACCTAAAGAAAAAGAATATGAAACTGGTGCAAGTAACAAAAAAAATCATATTTACCGAGAAGTGATCGCGCTTCGATGGTCTCGAATGTCCGCCTTTGGGGAATCCCTTGAAGACGAGTTTCACTGATTTTTTTCTCGCCGGACCTCAACAAAGCGAACACCGGCTTCATCTTGTAGTGCTTGGGACGATTTGACTTGAGTTTTGTGATGATTGTCTAAAAGAAAAAGGATGTAGATGAAACATGAACATGTATCAGCGAAATCACTCACCAAGCCACTTTCATTCTTGATAACGAGGTCAACCATTTGTTTCTCATGATTCGGGGTGAAGGTGCACTAAAAGAAGAAGTTTAAAAATTAAAATAAGGTTGACTTAACTACCGTAATACTTGTAACAGAGTTTACAACGATTATAACCGTCTATGGTATGTCAAAAAAAGATAAGGTCTACGGCTCGCGTTTAAAATCTAACTCAAGATTAAATGATAAAGATAAACGTTTAAAATAATAAATCAAAGATTAGTAATCCAAAAAAATAAAGTAAAAATAAGTAAAGTAGGAAAAAAAACTTGGGTCGAATTTGGGTCGAATTGGGTCGAATTTGACTTTGGTAGCAAGCTCGGAGATGTTCGGGAATGCCATTCGAGCAAGCCGTAGTAAAATAGAATGTCATGAATTTCTCTCCCCCGAGCCATTTCTTTTAGATTTGAGTTCTCAGACAAATTTTGAGTTCTCAGACAGTTTCGCGACGAATATTCAATCTTTGTTATCACATCTCTTATCTAACACATTCAGAGGCTCTACATTTCGAATGCCCCCCTCCCCAAAGTGTCTCCCTGTTTGCCCTCCGGGGGCAACTATCTCCCTAATCATTTTCGATATTTTTTGATATTTTTAAAATTCCAACAGTAACTTAAATATGGTAGACTTTTCTAATGGAGACTTTTTTAATGGAGACCTTTCCAATGGAGCAATAGATGAATTGGTTATTCCTAAATAGTTTTCAGAATGAAGTGTTTAAAGACTTATCGGCCAACCTAATAGCTTCATTTATTCATTGATTCATTGATTCATTCATTCACTCATTCATTCATTCATTCCTTCACTCACACCTAGCTCTTGCTTTTGGTATTGGGCTTTGATATCCCAAAATTGCTGAATATCCAATTTTTTTTGGAAATCCACTTGTGACTTTTTCACTTTCAGCGGAATGACTGATGTTTCCGAATTTATGTGTGCTCCTTTGGAGAAATGCAAATCCCAGTCGTCACCACATTAAGTTGTCAATGTTTGGGGAAACTCATTTGCTCTTATGGATGAAGAGGCAAAAAGAGGAGTGGAGGGATTGACGGGGTGGAGTAAACGCACTGAACTCCCCACCCATCCCCTTCCTCACCCTCCACCCTCCCCCCCTCAATCCCTCCACACTCAAACCGAGAGATGTATCGCCATATGTTACAGCAGAAAGAAAGACATAGAGAAATTGCAGGGGGAAAGTACATGGTCCGAGTGCTTGATCAGCCATTTATTTGCCCTTTTGATTCAATTTCCGGCATTCATTTCAATGTCGTTTTTCCTTTGAAACTTTGAAATCCCAACGATTACTACAAGTTTTTCTTTGCTGTCGTGGATCAATCATCTTGAAGAAAATCGGGCACAGCTGTTTGGCGGAGCCGATTTCGAATTATCGCTTCACACCCGCCAAAGCCGAGTTGGCCTTTTTACCGATCTGAGAGAGGCAAAATTTGGCAAATTATGGCCACCGGATGGATCGAAAGATGAGATTTATTTGTCTACTGCTGAGCTTATTTATATTTATTCTTCACATTCCATGGGGTGAGTTTTAAAAGAAGTTTTTTGTCGGATTATACTGTTTGAAATCGTTTACTTCTTGTCTTACTATTACACAAAAATCTTGCTATTTATAACTGTAATAATAACATAAGCTAATAACATAAGCTAGTAACATAAGCTAATAACATAAGTTAATAACATAAGCTAATAGCATAAGCCAATAACATGAGCCAATAACATAAGCTAATAACAAAAGCTAATAACAAAAGCTAATAACATAAGCTAATAGCATAAGCTAATAACATAAGCTCGAAATTTCTTTAGGCGATTGTTCGGAGGCTGAGGATCGTTTAATGATGGACATTTTTCGGGGTTACAACTATTTGATACAAGTTTGTAGTGTCAAGTTTTCTTGATAAACCATTTGACAAATTTTTTTCAGCCTGTCAGAAATCTTTCCGAGTTGCCGATCGTTGTCAAAGTGGCATTGCAATTGGTTTTATTGATCAATGTCGTAAGTTGTCAAAAAGCGAAACAATGAAAACTCAAAAGTTTCAGGACGAAAAAGAGCAAGTGATGCACACAAATGTTTGGGTGACTTTGGTGAGAGATTTGTGTAGATAGTTTAGAGAATTTTCCCCCAAATGTAGAGATGGTACGATTTTCAAATGCGCTGGAATCCGGTCGAATATGGAGAGATAAGGAATATTCGAGTGTCACCCGATAAAGTGTGGTTGCCCGATATTGTGCTGTTCAATAAGTGAGTCAAAAGATGGGATACAGTTTTAGGTAGCTAACTAGTTTAGGTAGCTAACTATGTAGCTAACTGGTTTTCGGAGTGGAAAAAGTTCAAGAGACATTTTGATTAGTCAAATTTTTTTATGTCATTGATGCAATGCTCAATTCTTTTCTCTTTCCAGCGCCGATGGGACTTTTGAGGTTTCATTTGAATGTAATGTCGTTATTGAACATGATGGATCGATGCTATGGGTGCCGCCAGCAATCTACAAGAGCTCGTGTATCATTGGTGAGGATATACGGCTAACTTTCTAACGACAGACATTTCTTCTTGATAAGCTAAGTTCATTAGCTCAATAGTTCATTAGTGACTGACATAGTTAGTTGAATTAGCCAACAGTTTAAGGAAAAGTGATAGATTGTAGCTGCAGAATAAACTTCTCAACATTCAAAACAAAATTCTGAATTTGCTTTCTGCTAAGCTAAATCTCAGTTCAGACGTCGAATATTTCCCCTTTGACGAGCAAACATGCTACATGATATTCGGCTCGTGGACGGTTTGTTTAAAAAAAAATTATGAAAGGAAGATTTATGAATGGAAGATTTAGTACAACGAGAAAGAGATCATTTTGGAGTTCAGCACCGCCGAATATGTTGACTTATCAGGTATTCAAAAGCTGTAAAAAGAAACGAAATTTCTCTCTAGAATACTCAATCTCATCAATCTGGGACGTAATCGACGCACCGGCTTCTCTCGTCAACAAAAGAAGTCGGATCGAGTTTCAAGTGAAGATTAGGTGAGTTTGAGATGGGAAAACATTCGTTTACAATAGACTTGTTCAATAAAATGTTCAATTTTGTAGAATTTAATTTAATTTAATTTACCGTATTCTCTCTAATACTAGTGCGCACTACTATTTTTTCAACCCCCTCCTGGACAGCAATACTATTAGAGAGTGCACTACTATTAGAGAGAATACGGTAATTTAATTTCCTCAATCCCATCCACTTCTGCAAAAGCAAAGCATTAAAGAAATTCCAGACGGAAAACCCTTTTCTACACGGTCGTCTTGATCATTCCAACCATTTTGATGGCTTTCCTCTCAATAGCCGTTTTCTTTTTGCCGACGGATTCAAGTTCGAAAACGATTTCAAACATTGGCTAATTTTTTTAAAGCTGAAAAGATGACTCTAGCGATTTCCGTATTGCTATCAATTGTCGTATTCTTGTTGCTTGTCACAAAAATCCTTCCTCCAACCTCGAGCACCATTCCACTAATGGCCAAGTCTGTTTTTGAGTATTTAGATGATCTTTTTCGAATTTAGATGATCATTTTCGAATTTAGATACCTCCTATTGACATTTGTTCTTAATGTAATCACTATTTTGACAACAGTTATCGTCGTGAATATTTATTTCCGAAGACCTGATACAAATGAGATGTCACCGTGGATAAGGAAATTGTTTTTAGATGTGAAATGCGGGGAAAGTTTTCTTGAAATAAAAATCTTTTAGATACTCCCAATTTTTATGTGCATGAAGCGGCCAAAACGAGTGAAAAAGAGAAAAAAAGCGGAAAAGGTTAGAGAAACCTATAGAGATCAAGATTTCAAAGAAGAAAATTCCAGAGAGCCAGCGGGATCATCACCGATTTGCCGGGTTTAGGCAAATTCTCGATGAACACTGCCGTCCACCATCCGCATTGTCAGAGTGCGAATGGAATGCATAAGTGAGTAGGAATTGGATTTTGTCGACAGCTCTTGCCACAGCGAAAGGTCGACAGCTTTCGCCTGATTATAACAATAGTTTTTTGGCCAATGACACTTTTTGTATCGTTTTTCTGAAGCCCTTAGATAGAAAGTAGGGTAGATTGAATGTAAACTGGGAGAAGCTTACGGTAGCTTTAAAGTTAGAAAGCTTAGTTAGAAAGCTTTAAAGTTACTTAGAAAACTTTAGTAAACGATTTTCCTGATCACTTTCCAGAAATCACCTTTGTCCTCCACCGGAGTCGGCGCAAATTCAACGCGATCCACAAACGTCGGCTTTCTATCCACTCACAGCCGATGCTTTACGGTAATGATGATAGATTTAGGAATGTTTTATGTGCAAGCTTTGGTCACTTAACAATCAGTGACAATGGACAATCAGTGACAATGGATGCAAAGTCAGAAATCTCAATGTATTCAGGGCAATCGACGCAATCGAGTACATCACTGATCATCTCCGGAAGAAAGAAGAGTTTAAAATGGTAAAATGAGGAATCAATTCATAAGTGAAATAAAAAAAAGAAAATTCAGTTACGAGACGATTGGAAATATGTGGCGATGATTATCGATCGATTGCTTTTGTACATATTTTTCGGGATTACTTTGGGTGGAACGTGTGGGATTCTCTTGGCCGCACCAAATGTCTTTGAGGGTTAGGAGTTTTTTTGGAAACATTAAATACCGTATTTTCTCTAATAGTAGTGCACCCTGAGCATCGCGTAAATTGCTTGAAATCTCGAGAACCGCTTACCAGAACCTATCGATGTGGGGTCGGAAAATGTAGATGACGATGAGATCTAGCGGGGGATTAGAGTGTTGAGCTTCTGGGAAAACTTTGGAAGCCGTAAATAGTCACCAACTCGGCAGGGTGCACAATTAGGGAATGCACCTTAAGGTTTGCCTAAATTCCTCGAAATCTCGAGAACCGCTTACCAGAACCTATCGATGTGGGGTCGGAAAATGTAGCTGACGATGAGATCTAGCGGGGGATTAGAGTGTTGAGCTTCTGGGAAAACTTTGGAAACCGTAAAATCGTCACCAACTCGGCTCGCCGGGGTGCACTACTATTAGAGAAAATACGGTAAACCAAATTCAATAGTTAATAACTTTCTTAAGAGATTGCTAGCAAATTATCGTATTAAATAATCGAAAATTATCGTTTAGTGGTGAACCAAGAAGAGATTCTCGATAAAATGCGCAACATTTACTACAGTCCAAAAGAATAATGAAAAATGGCTTTAAAGTGATAAATATTTTTAAAAAAATGAAACAATTAAATCAATATTTTGATAAAAGAAAGAAATTTTCACGATTTTTTAAATTTAGCTGAATCCTTACCTCAGCAAATCTCAAATAAAGAATCGCATCTTTCACGAGCGAGCTTTAAATAATGCCCGTGCAAAGAGATCATTAGTATTTGTGGGTGGAATGGAAAGCAAGCAGATTGTTGTGTTTGTCTGGCACCATTCGAGATTTGTGTCCCCTTTTTTCCCCTTTTCCGTGCCAGCCTGCACGGGGCGTTCAAAAAGCGCTCTCCGGCTTTTCCTCTTTTCTCTTCCATTTTTCTCTGTCATCTTTTTGCAAGATACCAATTTGGATGATTCCTTTTCTCTCTCTCTTTTTTGGAAAATTGGTATCCGATCTCCTGGGGCAACACCCCAATCCACAATTGCCAGCTTCATCCACACAAAACCATTTAATAAGCTTTAAACGTTTCTTTATATGCTTATGCTTTTTTTAAAAGTTCAATCATTCAAACTATCGATTGCTTTCATTTTTTGTTCAATCTTTAAAGTTTAAAGATCGTTTAAAGATCGTTTAAAATTCTTTTTTTCCTATTTTCCTATATTTTTCTATATTTTCCTTTCTAATAGGGTTGAGTTTTGAGTTCTAAATTTCAAATTCAACCTCTAATTCAAATCTAACTCATCGTTAGGTTTAAATTTCTACAACTGAATCCGGAAATGGTTTCTATAGCTAATATGGAAAGTGAATGATTGAGTTGATTAAATAATTGATGAATAAAATTGAAATCAAGCTATTGTAAAGTGGATCGATGCTATGGGTGCCGCCAGCAATCTACAAGAGCTCGTGTATCATTGGTGAGATCGAGGATATACGGCTAACTTTATAACGGGGTTGAGGGTTGAGTTTTAAGGTTTAAATTTCAAATTCAACCTCTAATTCAAAGCTAACACATCAGTAGGTTTAAATTTCTACAACTGAATCCGGAAACTGTTTCTATAGCTAATATGGAAAGTGAATGATTGAGTTGATTGAATAATTTTTTTATTTATTTATTTATTTTTTTTAAATACCGACTGGGGCTACCAGTGGTGAATTTATCGCATACACGAAATATATCAATCACAATACAACGACACACACAATACTAGGCTATATCTTAACTTAACCCACGTCATGACAGACGGCTCCCTAACCCTAAGCTCAATGGGGAACTAAATAGCTTTTTTGGTGGTGAAGGGAAGATGACGATGAAGGAGAATTGATGAATAAAATTGAAATCAAGCTATTTTAAAGTAGATTTAGTATATAAAAAGAGTCAAAAATCTTTTAGTTTTTTTTTATTCTAGGCTAAAATTCTTTTTAGGCTCAGTTTCAAATCAAAGCAGAAACGATTGTTGGGAGGAAAAAGGGTAGCTGTTTTGCATGTGAAACATTGGTGCCAGGTTGCACCCTTGGAAAGCAAGGAAATCGAGGGGGAAAAGAAAGGAAAAGATTGCTGGGTGCAGATTTTTGTAATTACAAAAGAAGTGATGGTGGGAAAGGGTTTAGAAATTCGAATAACTTAAAAAGTAGAAATTTCTCGAAAAATATCTTTTCAGAGTTATTTGGGTTCAACTTTTTTGTATAATCAATGCTCCTATCTCGTTTGAAATCTTTTTGAACCTATCTGTAAGCTATAGCTAAATAAATTCTTTATTTTATTAGTGTTTATTAGTTTTTTGAAGTCTAATAATGTTTTCTAATAGTCTAATAATAATGTCTAATAATTTAAGTCATTCTAATAATCGTTTATTATGTGAGAAGGCGTTTCTGATCTCTTCACATAAAATTTCATTTATTCTTTTCATTTATTCTTTTCTATTCTAAATTGTCATTTAAAATTCAAAGGTATTTCAGAAAAGCAAGCTTTTAAAAAAATTCAAATCTGGTCCAGGTGTGAATCATTTTGGAAAAAGAAGAGAGAAAAAGAGACATAAAAGAAAAGAAAGCCGAAAAAGGGACGGGCGGAATTTTTTCTATTACTATCTATGTACTAGTTATCTTTCTTTTCTTTCTTTCTTTCTTTTTTCTTTCTTTCTTTATTCTTTAGCAGTAAAGTGATCACAAGTTTTGAGATTACTGCTTAAAGAAAAGGATTGAAGGCAAATTTGGAATTGAAAAAGGGCCGTGTGGGTGGGCAAAAGCTTATCATTTTGTCTATTCCAAAAATATAGTCGAGATGAAAGTTTTGGCGTCATTTGAGGAATAAAATTCATAAATGTTTTTGGGTGAAAATTTGAATTCCCTATTCATTCAAATTTTGCAAGTGCGACACAAATAAGGTTCAAGATAAGTAAGTGATTTGAGGTTGAATGTTTACCATGCATAGATTTTCCATTTTGTTTTCAAATTGCTTTCTTAATCTGGCTAAAGGTTTACTATTGGGTGATTTGAAACAAGTTTGATTAAATTATTCAAACGACATTGCCATTAGCGGGTCGTTGAGAAAGGTAGTGAATGGGTTCTTGTCAAAGCTTTCCTTTATCAAAGCCTTCACAGCCAGCCTTCACAGTCAAATTCTTCACAACCAGCCTTCACAGTCAAAGTCTTCACAGCCAGCCTTAACAGTCAAAGCCTTCACAGCCAGCCTTAACAGTCAAAGCCTTCACAGCCAGCCTTAACAGTCAAAGCCTCCACAGCCAGCCTTCACAGTCAAAGCCTCCACAGCCAGCCTTCACAGTCAAAGCCTCCACAGCCAGCCTTCACAGTCAAAGTCTTCACAGCCAGCCTTAACAGTCAAAGCCTTCACAGCCAGCCTTAACAGTCAAAGCCTTCACAGCCAGCCTTAACAGTCAAAGCCCAAAACCAATGGCTCAAAATCCAAGCACCTTCTACCAGCGATTTGTGCCAAATGAAGAGCGATTGTGGGCCCGCACCAAGAACATTTCCCCAGTCACTTTATACAATGATTTTTCTTTCGCTTTGTAGAAGATATTCATCCATAAATTTGTACCCAGGGTTTTTGGCCAATTGATCATTCGATTTGAGGTATTCCTTTTGTTGACTACTCAGTTCAAATCTTTCCCTTATTCATCTCAAAATTCTCATTAGAATCATTTTCAATTCAAAATTTCTTTCCCAGGTGTCCTACTCTTTCTTTTGACTGAAAGAAGCTTCCGTTTTGTGTTCTTTCTTTGCCAGTCGGCTCATAAACAGCCTGAAACAGTCGGCTCATAAACAGCCTGAAACAGTCGGCTCATAAAATTAAAGAAAAAAAAATTGTTCAGACTGACCAAAAAGAAAGAAAAAAACAAATTGACCAGAAGCTGACCCAAAAAAATGGGCAAAATAGGGATGTATTGCCTTTAGAACTGATTAGATAACCCTTTCCTTTTTTTTTCGTTTAGTCTTTTTTTTCGGGGGTTCAAAAAAGAAAGTCAAAAAGAAAGTCCTCTTTCCACTCTTCTTTTCATCTTTTGGAGGGAAAATTTGAATTTTTTTACTATCTTTTAAGCGCTTTTTTTGATATGTTTGCTATCTGTTTAGCTTTCAAATCAGTCCCGATTTGAATCAAAAAAAGATTTGCATTTGTTTCTGGGTTTCTTGATTCTTCTTGAAATCCAATTCTTCAATTCTTCAATTCTTCGATTTACTTCATTTCATTGAATATTTTTATCTGTTATTTATCAGTTTATATTTAGAGATAATCCTAGAATCAAATACCCAGACCAGAACGAGGCCAAATCAGGCTAGAGCTGAGACTCATGAACCCTAGCCCTGGTCCTGGCTTAACCTAGATGGCACATAATAATGTTATGTTTATATAACTCCTGGCTTGACTCTGACCCTGACAATTTGTGTTCAAATTTTCAAACTTCTTCCATTTCTAACTTTTCCCCAATCCCTCCCCTTTCCCATCTCCAAAAAAGATGGAAGAGTTATTCATTGTGCTTTTTTTTTGTTTCGGGAAAGGTCCGCGCATATTTGATGACCGAAAAGGAATGAAAAGAAAAGAAAAAAAAAACATTAGAATCATCGCTATTCAGGGAAACATTATTATGTGCCATTTATTGCCAGACGGGGGGATTATTGGGGTTTTGAAGAGGAATTTCGAAGGACGGTTTTGAATGGAGTTCGCGGTTGGAAGGGGACCTTGAAATGAAATTTGAAGGGGGAAGTAGAAGAGTCATAAACTGATCAGTCAATAATATAGAAAATACAGGAAATATTGTGATCAATCATTTTGCATTGTACAATAAAATCTATCTTAAGTTTTGTCTACCATTTAAAGATTAGGCTTATCGATAAGTTCGTCGAATTTGTGGCGAATAGCCACTAAAAAAGCTACCTAACTCTGGCAGTCTAAAAATTGGAGAAATATTGAGGAAATTGGTGCGCCTTCATTCTATTTCGAGCCCCAAATCATTTATTGTTTTGTAGCTTGCTAGCTGAGTATCTTGGGTTAAAGCCTATATAAGGCAACTGTTGTTCATTTGGTTCGGTTATCTTTCATTTTCTTTCTGCTTTCCTCTCATTGTGTGAAAGTTGTGTCCTAATTAGGACGAAATTGTTTCTGTTTTTTGTATCGTCGCTTTTAATTGAATTGTCGATCTTGTGTGAAAATTGCTCAAGTGAGAGCCCAAAGATTCCGAGTCAGTCAGCTATTGAATAAAGTGTTTTTAGTTCAAGTGAGATCAGATATCTCGAAATAAGAAATAACGTGTCTTGAGTGAAGAGTACCAAGCACGCGAACAATATTTCTTTACAGAATTTTTTGATCAACTTTTAAAGTGTAATTTCGGGAAAGGAAGCCTTAAGTTTTGGTAAAAAAACCTTCAACTTTTATTAAAAGTTAGAATAAAATGACAGAATGATGGGATTTTTGAGAAATTACACTTTAAAAGTTGATAAAAAAATTCTACAAACATATCGGTTAGCGTAATGAGTAAAATTAACAGACCTTTGGCTCTAAAGGCCATCAAATTAACAGACCTTT